ACCTAATAACTTTATAATAAATATTCGAATTTTAAAATATGACTGTTTAAATAACGTTTGTGCAATAGTGGTCGCTGCAATGTGGGACATGGCAACAAAGAATACGAAGAATTATAGATAAAATCAGGCCGTGAAGTCATTGTTAAGAACATATAAAGTCGACAAAAACATCGCTAGGATAGGGCTGTCAGTCTTGGATGCGGTGTTTTCTTTATAGCTAAGAAATCACATATTAATGATAACGCACAGATCGACTGATCGTCAAATAGTTTTCAATAGACATTTACAAGAGGTCTGAAACGGAAGTCTCTAATAGAGTAATAGACTTACAAAACTGAAGATCAGTGTTGAAATATGGCTACTATAATCCAGCCTCTCAACTTGCCATGACTACGCAAATTATAAACATCGCAGATCATAAATCAACACGGTATTAAAATGCGTCATACGGACATTTGAACCGTCTGTCGGTGTCACATCACACGACGCCCCCCCCCCCCCCGGCCCCCCCACACGACACTCACCTTATCGGTAGTAATTTGGACGGGTAAATTAGCGAGTTGTCAATGTTAAACGTTTTAAAAATATAATAAAACTATGGATACTAGGACACAATTAGCCCATTTAGCACGGCATATGCACGGCATGAACTACTTGATATCACATTGTTACCGTTCAACTATTTAATTAAACATATTAACAATTACTGATTCACAGCATGTTATTTCTAACTAATAATATCAACCTACTCTGATTTTCGATTAAAGCAGTCCTTGAAATATTCGAAATATTATACAAATTAAAGCGAGGAAAGATGAGGGATGTTATCACGTCTTATTGATCAACAGCTAATTCTAAACTCCTATAATCGATATGTCCCTGTCATCGTCCACAGAGTCAATCTAGAGAAAGCTCATGTTGAGAGAAAACAGACTGTGTAGAAAGGAATGTAATACAATTAGGCTATTCACTCCGATTGCTATTCACAACCGATCATTATCTCCGATAATTCATTAAAAATAGTTATCTGTTTATCTAGATAAAATATGTTTTTATCAGTATAAAAATTCACAAGAAATTACCGAAAATACTGCCACAATACAGTAAAATTTGAAGGAAATATTATTGGTTTTGCCTCTCTCTCTCTGTGTTTAAGAGGTTTATTTACATTTGTATACCTATGGATGAACTGTAGAATTCCAGAGAAGGTTATTGGCATTGTTCTCTTTAGGAAGATGCTGGCATTTTACCTTACTACCATTCTGGAGACGGGCACGAGCATGTTACTGTTAACAGGAGTCAAAAATACCGGCAGGGCACTCAATTGAATTCCGGAAGTGTTCTGGGGGTGAAACATTGTCTTCAGGAGAAGGAATCTGTTGCTCCAAGTTATCCACAGGAGAAGGAAACGATTCACTGAATCGCTTATGGGCATATTTCAAAACTATAGAATGTTACGGTGTGACAATTTTACCCATTTTTTCCGAAAAATGTCCAAGAAAACAGGTTCATTATTGGTTAAATTATGTTTCTAAGGCTTTTCAAACCTACGATTTACATATCTGCCAAAGAAAATAGTGAGAAATCAATCCGTTTTTGAGTAATTAAAAGTCGAAATTTCGTTACGGAGTGACTAGATAAATTTTCAGATTTTGGTACACCCATATTCTGACCTAATTTTTATCTCAGATATTCTTGAAAGTTGCATTTTGACGGCTTCCAGGCACTTTTCAGACATTTTCCTTCAATAATTAATCAAGAAAAAGTGTGTATTGCCTAGGGAATAAAAAATTTGAGGCTTCAAAAATTTTGGGGATTGTTACGGAGTGACTGTTACGGAGTGACGCATCAAACAGTCTCTCATTCCACTCGAATTTTTCATCATTTTTCATCCTGTTCCTGGCTCTAAATAGTAGAATTCTTTTCAAATTAGATAGATAACACTTAAACAAGGTAGACACACAAATTTATTGATGTGAAATAAATCAAATCTGGTACAATTCATTAGTCTTGATCACAATTATGAATAAAAATACGATCATGTGATAAAAAATCAACCCTGGAGCTTACAACTCTGTAAATTTCCCTTAAAATACAGCACATTTAAATCACTGTTTGAAAAATATAAACAACTGCATAAAAATCAGTCTCATTGGTTTAACTTTCTACAAATATTACTCGGTTAAGAATCTGTTACAGAGTGACATATCATAATGAAATGTTTAAAAATCTGGGCTTATTTGTTTAAAGTTATAAACTGTACAATGTACACAGATTAACGAAAATTCAAACCTTTACACCCCACTTATAAGCAAGTTCAGGTACTTCAAACTCTATTCTTCTCCCTGTTCCCGGCAAAAGCTTCGGTATACCAATAGCTCCTTTCACGTCACTAAGTTCGTAATCATGGACGTCCTCTTTGTCAGGCCATTTCCAGATTGATCCAGGTTTTCCAGCTGGTACAAGGCACTTAACGGTAAGGTTACTGCTGTCTGGCTTGCCAATAACTTTTCCTGGGTAAAGTTCACCCTCCCAGTTAACAATCACGAATTGATCAATGTTGTAAGTTTCACAGCTGTTAGAAGATGATGGTGTTTCCTCCTCTCCAATAACTGTTGTTGAAGTCGTCTGAGCAGATGATTCATCGGCATACTCTATCTTCTTTATCAAAGATCCATCAACTGACGTGTCCCTAAAGGTAAGGATGCAGCTGTTATCTTTGAAAGAACGGACAATGTGGTGCACTTTCAAGGTTCCTGGAACTGGTCTTGCTTTCCTTCTGCACTCCTCTTCCATACCTGAGGCTAGATCTCCAACATACACGACATTGATTGACTTGAGAAGACTGTCAGCTTAGGTTGCAAACTCCTTTGGTGTATTTATGACAACCTGATTGGACAGTATCTTTCTGAAGACAGCATGTTTAATAGTTCTACCCACCCCGTCGCAGGCACCCTTACCATGGTTAGCCATGAAGAAATTCCACTCCAGGTCGTAGTGGGAAGGAAACTTGGATAACATGAAGAAGGTGTACTGTGACCGAAACTGAGAGGAACATCCATCTGACCAGAACTTAACCGACTTAATCTGTCCAGGAATTATTTCTTCGACTTTCTCCAGCAAGATCTTGTTCAGGCAGAACGTGACATCCCCAGAGTGGTCGTTTTCTTCAGTTATCAAACCAAAGTTAGCACATTTGGCTTTCTCCCCTCTTAGTCCTCGTCTTTTGTAATATACACAAGCAGTGTAGATGGTGAACTGGGTTTGCCCAAAATATGCAGCCTTGATCTCATTACTCTGATAATTATTGATAGATCAATAACAACTGTAAATAATCTTGAAATGTCAATAAAAAAATTCGTTACGGAGTGACAATGTCCCTTGAATTTGTCACTCCGTAACACAGCGTTACGGAGTGACCAAAGTTTGGCTCATCATATCTCCTCTTAAATTATAATGTTACCAATCGAAAATGTTTGAAAATCTTAGTGTAAGGTCACTGAGATACTTCAGAAAATATGGAATGCAATAGGCGTGTAGTTAAGAGAATAGATAACTTTTTGACACTTTTTTGTTACGGAGTGACAAAATTTTTTAAACCACATTTTCCCCATGTTAGCTCTTTCTCCTTGATTGGGCTTTATATCAGTCTGTAAAAATGAAATCTCATATACTAACACACAAAATTTGGGTTTAGTTCAAGCAAAGGCCTAATCTAGAGACGTTATGAAGTAGAGCACGCTTTTGAGGATTGTTTTAGTGTCGATGATAGAATGAGCTATTTTTGCATGATAGAGTAGATTGATGTCTCCAATATTGCAGATCTTCAAAGTATAAAGTTCAAACATTCTAAAATTTCCAAAATTGGATTGATAAAAGCATTTCTGAAATTTCCTCCAAGTGGAACCAGTTTTGAAATATGCCCTTATGCAGGGTATGCTCTACTGTTCCCAGGAGAAAGAAACTTTTTCGAGGAGAATTGGTATTTGGTGCACTACTGTTCTTAGGAGAAGGAAATCGGTGCTCTACTGTTTTGAAGAGTACTAGTGAAACTAGCGCTATAATACTGTTTTCTGGAGAATGTTCACCCCTGTTCTCAGGATAAATAAACTGGTGCTCTAATATTATCAGAAGAAAGGAAGTGGTACTGTACCAAGATTACTGGTAAACAGTGATAATAGACGACAATTAGTTTTTGTGATGATAATTCATGTGCCGCAAATTTCTGGGATAAAAAAATCAAAAGAGCGATTTATAGCGAATAAGAGTGTATTTCAATAAAAATTCCTATTTTTTTCCCAGATTTCTAACTCAATTTAACATGGCACCTGAATATGGCGATTTTGGGTTTTTACTGAATTTCGTATAACAGTGCTGGTGCGTATTATGCACAAATTTCTACTAAGTCGAAGTAGTAGTAACATCACAAAGATAGAACTAATATAAGCAATAAGGCAGAATCTTTATGAAGCAAACACACAAGTACTCTTTCTGGGTAAAGAAACTGTGACGTGGATACTGTATATAAGTGGAGTGGAATTAGGACTACAAATACAGTTTGGTTTAAAGATTAGGCCGGAAATGGTCCTTCGGAAATTTGTCTGGTTGTCAAGTGACTAATCAGATCACGTGACTGCCACGTCAACATGATCACGTGACAACCTATCCTGTCAGAGTGTGGCAATATGAAACTGGACAACTGAACCCAATTTGAAATTTTCCCAGACAGGGTAGCTTGGGAAAATTAGGCCTAGTTGTCGGACAGCGTCAATACATGCAATGATGATTAAGGACTAAAATTGCAAAATAATTATTAAACATGACATGATATTAAAGGCCATAGCCCATACCCAGGAATTGTGCGCCTGTTTACCCGAAAGTGTTCAACATGATCGATTTGAAAGTTTATCACAATCATTCTAGAGTAGTCAGTGCAAATAGTTTAAAAATCAAATATTGGTGGTATCTCAAGCTATGTTCTATATATACATAGATCTCACCTCGTTCCAGCCCACGTTGAGATTATAACCTGCTCCACTTCCAGTCCCAACGGTTGTAGGGTGTCCGGTACCAGGATAAAAGTTACCCTGGTCGTAGCGGTGCAGGGAGGTGTAGAGCACCCGCTCATCGTCCAGGAACATATCCTCTGTTCCGTTACCGTGGTGGACGTCCCAATCCACCACCAGGATCCTGGTTATCAGAATGTTAGAATCATGGAGAACAGAATGATAAAATCCTGGGGAGCAGAATGATAAAATCCTTGAAATCAGAATATTATCTGATCAGAATCACAGAAACTCTAAAGAACATTACCTTTCGACACCATAACAGTTTATCGCGAATTTACAGGCCATGGGGACATTCCCCAGTAAACAGAATCCCATGGGCTGTTCCGCCCTGCAATGGTGACCGGGTGGTCTGATCACGGCTACACCGTTTATAGCCTGAAATAGTTCAATGGTAAAATAGTGAAAACTCTCAGAACAAGTTAACTTGAAAGCAGTATGGATTGAAAGTAAAATATCAGTGAGGTTAAATGGAAGCTGCTGTACTGACCCTGTCAGTAAGAACCTCCTCGGTAATGGCGAGGAGGCATCCTGCTGCAAGTTTAGCAGCTCTGAACGACTCGTTAGACAGATAAATACTATCAAGGTCTGCACCTTGTTTATACAAATCTCTGTTGCTCATTCCCGGCAACATCTCCAGGAATGCCCAGTGCTCCTGGCTGTGCACCGTCAGGGCCTGGGTGAGACAGTATATTAGTGAAACACTCGTGGGAGTATTGCGTATGCCATGATAGTTTTGAATTCGAAACAACTTGTCGACTGTCGAATCATGAGTTGTATAAAGTAATATACCTCATCCCTGGTGCATTCTCTGCTGCCTACAGTTCGTAAACGAGCTAACAGTCGAGTCTCCTCCAAGAGCATCATGGGTACCAGTACCCGTTCAGGTCTTTCAGGGTGATTCCTGAGGAAGATATTCCGGTGTGCAGCCATCTCCAGATCATACACAATGGCTGTCCTACTATCTGAAACACACGATGTTTACCAGCTTGACCTTCAACCAGCTATGAAAACAATTCCTAGTATTATAGTTAAACTGACAAATATTCCATTTAAAGAGTCTTTAAGGCGAACAGAATGGTCATGATTCTTTCAAATGGTCACCCCATTGATGCACAAGCCCATTTGGCCATTTGACCAAAAGTTAAGGAATTAATGGGCATACCATACTCGATTTAGCTGAAATATAGCTGTACTTGCTAGTTATGAAATGAAATAAAAAATTTTTCTTCCGCTTATATCAGCAATCGAAATTAAAATAAAGATTGCCGATGTCAAAGAGGCTGGCCTTGCAATATACTCCAAAAACTAAGGGGTCGTTCACATATTACGTAATGAGCCGAGGGGGGAGGGGGTTTCCAAATGATTACCCTAGTGTAATTTTATAGGACGTTGAACACGACGATGGAGTATACTTTCACCGAAACTCACATTTCAGTTGTTTTTAAGCCCATGCCGATTTGACCAAAAATTTGGGATAAAATGAGCATGAGGGAAGAGGATGGCTCCCCTAATTCAGGAGACACTGGAGCTTTATAACAGAAGGCGGCAGCTCTTACCTCTCTGCGATCTAGCCCCTAACAGGTGCAATACCTAATCGTACCTTTTAACCAGAACCATCTTGAAGCCACCCATTGTACAAGGAAGGTAACAACAACTGACACTACAAAATATAAAACTACAGAGGCATCAGACAGAGGGTACATGAAGGTTCAAAAGCTAGGAGATCATATCTCCCAAAACAACATATCTAGAGAGAGTGTACGGCCGGCTAGTTTCCTGAGTTATCTGTAATAATGAGTGTACAAGATACACCCTTCATTTCCTGCAAGTGTCATTTAAGCTAGTAAACAGCTCACCTGTTATGCAGATTTTTTTAAATACAGGTGGGGCCAAAAGTCAGTGTACATACGTTGGGTCTTATACCACCGCCGCGTCGTGTTTCATATTTGAAACTTGTTGCTTTGCAGATGACATACTGTACCTATTCATTCGAGGATTATATCGACACAATTTTGAAAATTCGGTTTTTAGGGGCCACATCCAATCAACATTAAATTGCTTATACTCGAGTTTGCGAACATGCTAGAAAATTCATTGTAACATATTGCAATAGGTAATTAAATCCGGAATTTGATCTGGAAAGATGGCGCCAAACGGATTCAAATGACGAAGTTATCAAATTTGTTTATCTCGTTAGTAAAATTGATTGGGTAATCATGTGATAGCGTGCTACGACACCGTAATTGGGCTCTCTGCACGATTCCCATAGTGCCAACCCAATCACATGATCACACGTAATGAATAACCTCGTTATGCTTCATATCTCGGTCATCTGAGAAGCTAGAACTCTAATTTTTTTCAGGTCACAATTCTATACAATTTGGCTTTATCCGATTGTTCAAACTATCAAATAAATGCGAAAGTGAACCTTCATTCAAAAAAATGAACATGAATATTCGTTGAGTCAGAGTCAGACATATTCCTCGAATGAGTGGTGATGGTAAGTCATACCAGAAAGAATTATTTCAATCGGGCACTCAGTGACTGAGCTATAAAGGCCCCCCCCCCACCCCCCCCGGCCCTTGCATATAATAAATTTATCTAATTGTCCACAATCCATTTTGTAAACCTCTCACTCACTAAAGCAACGCTGTAAATAGTAAACAGCTTATATTTATAGAAAGAAGTTAAAGAATAAAAAAGTTAGAGTAGTTTAAGTAACCTAAGCAAGTACGCAGCAGTGCTTTTATGATTTACAACAAACTAATTTCATTATCAATCTACAAATTTAATAAACTAACCTGTCTTATTGTGCGAAGCTAATGCTAGTTTTGCTTTCAATCCTTCGATGTCTTTCATGCAATCTGAAATTAAATAATTTTATGAACAAAGAAAGTTTTAAATATTTTCAACTCTCCAAATTTCAAACCAACTCGCTCGGCTCCATTTGTCACTGTTTCCGAGGACAATCATTACCTTTATACAGAAGATATTTTACCGTTTCATACTCACACATCGTTCTCACACTTATTACAACAGACAACTGAGAGGGACTGATAAATAATTATTATTTATTACAAGCTTAACTTGAAATGAATAATATACAGCCTTGTAATAATGCACGTAAAGTAAGCTCTCGAACCATTTTAAATGCTTTTTGTGACTGTTTTGTTGTTCCTTTCATGGCCCCACCAAATAGAGGCTGTCCGCTGTGGAAGTGGACACTGTGTTAAGTGTCTTTCAAGGATCTGTAAAGAAAACTAAGGCCTGGAAAAACTGTCAGAAGTCTAACGAGTATCTACAGAGCGGGTACAAGGTAAACTTTTGGAGCCCGGTTTTTATTTTAACTTTCTCATCTACAGTCCGTTCTGAACCACCATATTTACTGTAAGTAGGAATTGAACCCAGGTGAATCAGAGCGCACCACTGTAATTATTCTAATTGCAGATTGATAGTTTAAAAGCGGAGAAGAGAAATCACGTAAATTGTGAGTACAAGAACTCTTCAGAGTTTCAGAACGTGCTGGCTGATGCTCTGGCAGAGAAGAAATTGAAGATGGTTCAGAAATATAAAACCAGTAAGGAATTCAAGGATATAGATTATAGAAGATGATATGCGTGAACATAATTTATAGATGAATACATCCTAAGTCTTCAGAATATACGAATAAAACAGCTTACCAAACGGTGGAAGAACAAGGCGCGGAACGACATCAGCAAAAAAGAGAGGAAGAGTTTTTAACAGAAGTAAAAGCACTAGAGGAACTGTGGGACAGGATAATATTTGAAGGGCTCATGGGATTTTCCATTTTGAACAGTGGGAGTGGTCTTTCATTCAATAACTATTGCAGAGGCAAAACGCGGGTGCCATGCCATCTCAGTTTCAAAATAACATCATCATCATTTACCTTTTTTGGTTGGTCCGTTGATTGAAACCTTGGACATCTGTTTCACGATGTCATCCTCTTCTGAAAAAGTTAGGGTGTCACAAATACCTGATGTTTTGTGACAAGTAATATATTGGACGGTTATGATTTACGACTTTACGGTATAGATCGATATCGTAAAACATTAAGTTTTAACGCTATTGATCATAATTGATGAAGATGAGATAAATATGTGTTAAAAGTTTAAGTTGCAGGCCAAAAGAAATATAAGAATATATGATCGAAAATTACTCCTAATATATTTCTTAATCATATCTTGCGACAAATCGTTATGAATTCTGATATTCTCACCCTTAGCAGTTTGAATTTCCTGATCTTTCCCATTGCTCGTTCCATTATTTTCCGCCATTGCTGTATTGAGAATTTATTTATTGTAATACTCATTTAATTGTAAATAATACGAGTTATAAGCGGCGGGTGCAAAAACCATCAATAATTAACTTGGTCGTGCAATTTACAATTTAGACACATGAAAACAAGTGACATTGCATGAACCAATCAAATGATGGTGGTCAATTATTGAATGTAGTACTTTAACACTCAGATATAAATCCATTTATTTGAAATTGAAAAATTGAAATTTATTTTTGTACCAATTATTGAACTAATGAGGGTCACAACATTTATTATTTATCGTGTTGTTACTATTATTGTTATCTTAATAAGAATAAAGTTGCAAAAGTCAACACCGTAATGTTCGATTGCAAATCTACATGCCATGGGGACATTCCCCAGTAGAGAGGTTCATAAAACCAAAACATATCCAAATAATTTTTGAACAAAGCTTATCTGACGTTCATAAGGCTAAATAACAACCAAAAAATGTCCAAGTCCCAACTTCACCGGGAAAGTCGATTACATGCCATTTGTTTGCTCTCCAACAAAACTCTAGATCCAACCACACTCACTGCCACAGCAAGAGCAATACATTCAATTCTCTCTGTGAACGAACAATATACAGCCTATTATAAGAGCCCAGATTTCCACTCAAATACTGGCAAGTGCATAATGCTATATATAATAGGACCTTAAAATAAAATTGAACCATACAAACTCGATTTATTTATTTTTCTAAAACTAGCATTATATAACATTTCTAAATTATCCCTACACATTTGTAAATAATTAGAATTGTGTAACTTAAATTATTTCAGAATTACAACTATTGTGTACTCAATAAAGTAATTATCACTTTTGTATCCTTGTATCCTTGTATCCTGCCACGCCCATATATTTTACCAAATTTTAACAGGTAAAAATCTCTAAATCGTCAATTTAGACATGAAGGAGTACGTTTGAAGCTCTTAAAGTGTGGAACTCCAAAATAAACCGTAAGAAAAGGTTAACTTTGGTCGAGGTTTCAAGTCTCTACGATGTCAGGAAGTTCCCGCATGGAGTTTGCGGGTTGCGACTGAAGCGCGGAATTCACCGCGCTCAAACCGAAGGTCGTAGAGACATGAGACCTGACAACACTCAACATGAGCCGTGACAACACTCCTTCGTCCTCAAAACGGTAATTAAGTTATTATATCATTAATGTGATCCAATGAATTCCTCATAATTCGTCACTGACACGATCAGTATTAATGATCAGGTTGAATGATTACTTGATAGCTTATCACTGACAGGGTCAGTATTAATTAGGTTGGATGATTATTTGATAGCTCGTCAGTATTACATGATTAATGAGATGTTATTTTACTTTCATATCTGTAAAGTAAACTGTAAAGTCCTAATTCTAAATTGATGTGCACATTTTTTGCTTTTGAAAATGATAATAATTCACATGACATTTACACACAATATGATAATGGCTAATAAAAACTTTGAAGATCGGTCTTAGTCTTCACACTAAATTGTCTTCGGTGGGCTTCAACAACCTGCATCAGCTCAAGTACTCAGGCCGGTGTCTGCAGGCCATCCAGAGGATCTGTCGATTGAGGAGCTGCTGCAGAATTGTACATGCTCCTTTGTGGACTCCAGTATTTGACGATGTCGTATCAAATCCCACGGCGATAATCTTGTCGAGTTATGAGTTAACAAGTGCTATAATACCTCGTCCCTGGTGCATTCTCTGCTGCCTACAGTTCGTAAACGAGCTAACAGTCGAGTCTCCTCCAAGAGCATCATGGGTACCAGTACCCGTTCAGGTTGTTCTGGATGATTCCATCCCACGTTGAGGTTGAAACCAGCTCCACTTCCAGTCCCAACGGTTGTAGGGTGTCCGGTACCAGGATAAAAGTTACCCTGGTCGTAGCGGTGCAGGGAGGTGTAGAGCACCCGCTCATCGTCCAGGAACATATCCTCTGTTCCGTTACCGTGGTGGACGTCCCAATTCGCCACCAGGATCCTGGTAATCAGAATGTTAGAATCCTGGAGATCAGAATATTAGAATCCTGGGGATCAGAATGATAGAATCTTGGGGATCATAATTCTAGAATCCTGGAGATCAGAATGACAGAATCCTGGGGATCAGGATGATAGAATTCTGGAGATGAAGATGTTAGAATAATGGAAATCAGAGTGTTGGAATCTCTTAGAAAATATTACCTTTTAACACCGTAACAGTCGACGTCATATCTGCATACCATGGGGACATTCCCAAGCAAACAGAACGAGCTTGGAGCCTACACTCCTCCAGTAGCATCATGGGTTGTAACACCTGTTCAACTGCCATCTCCAGGTCGTTTACTATCGAGGTTCTGCTATCTGAAACACACGATATTTACCAGCCTGTACTTCAACCGGCTTTAGAAACAATTCCTAGTGTTATAGTTAATCTTACAAATATTCCATTAATATAAACGATTTTTTAAGGCGAACAGAATAGTCATGATTACAGCAGCAAAAAAGAGAGGAAGAGTTTTCAACAGAAGTAAAAGCACTATAGGAACTGTGGGACATACAAATATTTGAGGGGCTCATGGGATTTTTCATCTCGAACAGTGGGAGTACCCCACCTAATCCTAACAAATGACGTACAGGAGAACGGTACACAGGAGAACTTTCAGCCCAAACACAATCAGATTCTTGCTCCTGTCCTCCTCTGCAGCCGCACTCTTCATCACATTCTTCAAAATTTTACTGTCGCAGACCGTACCACTTGTACTGTTCTTTTGTACAGCTGCACGGTAGCTCTTAATCCCTGACTCCACTGTTGTTTGTACTGTCTCTTCAACCGACGTCTTAAGCGGTAGCATGACTCCTGTCCGACAGCTACTCCTGTCCGACAGCATTATTTTCTTGTGTTTGAAGTGATATCTCATATTTGACACATAGAAATTCACCCAAACTTGCACAGAATATTTGTCTTACTATCTGGAAAGTTTCAAGAAAATCGTATAGTTTGATCTCCAGATATATACCTTGGTACCACTACAAACCACCGATTTGAAGATATTTTTGTGTTTAAGGTGTTATCTCAACGTTGGCACATACATGAGACATTCGCCCAAACTTACACAGATTATCCGTCCTATATGGTTGAGTTTCCAGGAAAATGGCACACAGGAGAATAGAACAGAGGAGAATGCGGTATAGGAGATAGTACACAGGAGAGTGATATACAGAAGTGTGGTACACAGGACTCAGGAGAGTGGAGACGTCCAGTAAACCCAGACATATGCCGAAAGTTTTCCGGCCGGTCTGTACCGCCGTCAACTCAACCCAACTTATACACATTACTGCGCGTGCGCGCGCCTGCATTACAAAGGAGTGAAAAATCGTATTTTTATCACAAAATATTGTTGGCGTCTTCCATTTAATCAATATTCTAGAGGCAAAAACGCGGGTTCCATGCGATTAGATCTCAGTTTCAAAGTAGCATCATCATTTACCTGTTTACGAAGGTCCTATAGACACCTTTGACATTTGTTGGACAATATCATCTCCATTATCTGAAAAAGTTAGGGTGTCACAAATAACTGATGTTGTGTGATAAGTAATATATTGGAGTTGAAAGTGCAATGGTTTAAAGTCAGAATTCGGACAATGTATTAATTGGCAATAAAATATTAGATCAATCAATAATAATAATTACTACAACAAATTACTCAATATCATTGCCAACGTATTTCTCAATAGCGAGTTCTCAAACTTACCCTGCTATGCTGTGTAAGCGAGCAAATGTCATAAAGATGACTGCTGTATGCCCGGTCTGGGTTTATCCAGAGTTTTCCTCTTTCTTTTCCTATTCTCTTTTCCTCGTCTCATTTTTTCTCCATTGCTGCATTGGGTATTGAGTTAATAAATAATTGATTGTAATACTCATTTAGTTGTAAATAATACGACTTACAAGCTAGAGCTGCAGGTAATTGTGGGAAATGTATTTTCTATTATATCTGACAAAAAGTAATTTAAAATTCAGACACAAGAAAACAAGTGACATTGCATGAACCAATCAAATGATGGTGGTCAATTATTAAATGTAGTACTTTAACACTCAGATATAAATCGTATCCTATTTATATTATGATCTTCTCGTCAATAAGAAGAATCTATTAAAAAGATCGTAACTTCAAATTAACCCACACAAAGTGAAGATACGATTCAAATACGAGGAAATGTACAAACTATTGACCTAATCAAGGTCACAGCATTTAATCTTTATCATGTAGTTACTATTCTTATTTACTTAATAAGAATAAAGTTCCAAAATACACTTATATCTCCCAAAATAGAGTTAAAAACTTAACACATAAAACTATGCATCTTTCAATATTTTTGCTCAAAGATTTCAGCAGCAAAAATAAAGTTAATGATCTGTCCTCCATGATAATAAGTCAAAATAATAAAATTAAATTAAAAGACTTGGCAGCCTGCACCTTATAATTAAGAATATATATGTTAAGTTAGGAAGGTACAAGCTGTTGGATCACACCTCACTAGCGCCTGTAAGGGTTGTAGTTGTTCTGATTTCTGTTCTGATGTCTGTAAGGTTGTCGGTGGGGGGCCGGATGACGCTGTCCCGGGGGCGGATATCTGGGACGGTCCTGCGGAGGTCTGAACCCACGCACCATGTTTCCTAACATTCTGTTACCCACTGTGTTGGGGCCCTGCATTGGCCGCGCTCTTTGGAACCCTGTGTAGGGCCGATAAGATCCCCGCCTGTTGTCATTCCAATCCTTTGGTTTGAGGCTCTTTTCAGGGAGCTTAACATTGGGGAGGAGCTTGGCTGGGAACACGAACCCTTTAACAAACTGGGGGTTCTGGTAACCTGCTGAGATAGCTCCAGTGTTGTCGAAGGGAGCAAGTGCGGGGACTGGGGACCTCACAGTCTGACCAGGTAGGATAGCCTCGTCATCAGGGCGCACATTACCTGTAGTACCCCTGCCTTGAGTTGGGTCCAACTCCACATACTCTGTTTTATCAGGATACTCGTACAGAGCCTTGAAACTCTCGTACCAGGGATGTTTAGACGAGATGAAGATCCGGTCCTGACCAGGCTTGTTTCGCTTTACCTCCCGTTCGTCCAGAGTGTCGTAGACTGTGTCCAGCGCTCCTAGCAGACGTTTCTCATCAACAAAAGGAAGCAGCGCAACTCCTTGCCAAGCGTACTTCTTGCCGTTCAAGTCAATCTTGAAATCAGAGGGGTAAAAGTCAATGATCTGAGAGTCTGGCTGGTACATTAGTTCGGCCCAATCATCCGGCAGAAACTTCTTACTACCTGACATAACAACCAGTTAAAACAACAAAAATAAACAATTTGAGAAATCACTAGCGTTTAGTTGTTTGTTTTCAGACGTGACAGAGACCAATGAAAACTACTTCAAGGCAGGCCTGAAGTACAATACATTAAAAACAAGGCGTACCTGCAGGAAAAACGCCCATAAGTTGCTCCATCGGGTTGAAAGGTTTTGTATCAAGGGGGAAGTCTTTGAACATATCAGTTATGTGTCTGAAGTCGGAGGCAAATGGAGCGTAGTGGAATGGGAAGTACCAGTTCCAGGAAGCGCATCCTTGATAGTAGTACCTGATAAATTGGGGATATGGTGAGAACACTGAGCAGTTAGGGATGACATTCACAAAACAGCAATAAGTGGAATAAATTCGGTTCAATAAAATAAGAAAGCCAAAGGCTACATAACACAGATGATATTGATATATTATACGAATCTGATGGGTTGTACAACTTTTACTGTCAACAACAACTGTCAACAACGATTGGGCGACTCCTGTACTGTGGTTCGATACGCACGGAAGTTTGACTAATAAAGTTCTCCAGAAATCACGCCTGTCGATCTTCGGCGCTCGTCGAACCAGAGTCCAGGTAGCGCACTAAAGTTCGACAAATATTTCCGACAAACCTTAGTACGACCTGAACTAAGGTTCAGGTAGCGAACTGAGATTCGACTTTAGTGCGTTTCGAACTATAGTACGTGTACCCTCCTGTCCGAAAGTAAGTTTTTCGGACAATAGTTTATGTCCGATCCTACCATACAACAAACTATCTAGTTGAGTAGCATACCTGAGAACCCAGCACAGCCCGGTGACGTATGCTGCCACTACTTTCTTAACAAAGGTTGTGTCTTCAGGTGACACCTTGAACTTTTGTAGATAGTACCTAAAAACATATGATGGGGTGAAAAACACAGAAAGTTTAGGTACGTTTCGACAAATGTCCAGTCATGAATAAAGTTATTCAAAATATTAATAATATTAAAGTCAGAGTAACAAACTAAAGTTGTAAACCTATCCCTCCAGCCGTCCTCGTGTAGTCTGACGTCATCAGCAGGTTCCTTATCTTCTTCTTCTTCCTCTTCTCCAGCTGGTCTCTTCTTTCCTCCTTCCTCCGAGCCTCCACTCTTTTCTCCGCTATCTTCACGTGCTTGTTTTATGTAGCTCGCTACTGCTGATGTCTTACCTGCTCCATTCTGAAATAATATCACAGTTACTGACAGTCTGTTATAATATCACAGTTACTGACAGTCTGTTATAATATCACAGTTACTGACAGTCTGTTATAATATCACAGTTACTGACAGTCTGTTATAATATCACAGTTACTGACAGTCTGTTATAATATCACAGTTACTGAAAGTCTGTTATAATATCACAGTTATTGACAGTCTGTTATAATATCACAGTTACTGACATGGACAGTCGCAGTCTGATATATGATATCAAAAATACTGACAGTCTTGTTATTATTATTATCATAAAACTAAATACAGCAAACACGAGAAATACATCAAGTGGTCGAATACCATTCTCTGATATTGGGGGATTAGGTCTGGGGATGCTGACTTGTATCACAGCACGGATATGGTTCAGAACCCCGGCTAGGGTTAGCGTGAACACTTTCCCAGCTAAGCTGTCACCTTGGTAAGCACCGATGTTTATTACAAATTCACCAGATTGTGATCTGTCGACAGTGACCTTTAGTTTGGTGTTACACATCAGGTACTGTACTAGTAAGCGGATGTCGTCTCTTGAGCACCCAGCATCAATAAGTTAATGATAGCATTATCTATTATATGATAGCATTATCTATTATATGATAGCATTATCTGGGACCAGACTAGGTCTGCACAGCTGCGACCACGTTTGTGGGCGGCCTGCCAAGGGCCAGTGTACATGTCAACATGTCATTTGATCCTGTTCAGTGCAACGAGTGACATTGCCATTCAACATTCAACAGGGTGAATAGGCTGCACAGGTCCACGTTTCTTTCCTGGCTTCTGAAGGGAAGCTAAAGTACCCTCTCCAATGGCTGTAGGACCAGCTGCTTTCATCACAGCCTGTTATAATATCACATTTACTGACAGTCTAATATAATATCACAGTTATTGACAGTCTGATATAATATCACAGTTACTGACAGTCTGATATAATATCACAGTTACTGACAGTCTAATATAATATCACAGTTACTGACAGTCTGATATAATATCACAGTTACTGACAGTCTGATATAATATCACAGTTACTGACAGTCTGATATAATATCACATTAACTGACAGTCTGATATAATATCACAGTTACTGACAGTCTGATATCTCCAGTTTTTCGGTGATTTTAACCATTTTGCAAAACTTTTTTAATTCGAATTTAGAAATTTTTTTTAGTCTCGAAAAAGTTTAGCTATAAATTACTTTTTCTCCTCCTTTCAAGCGATTTTCCTCATTTTGGAAAACAATTTGATTATAACTTGTTAAATGATTGACTGATAGTCCAATTAAAAAAAACAGGGTTTTCTGTAATATTGATAGAAAAATAGAATTTACGATAAAAACTTACATTTGATTCTAGTTTCTTCTTGTCTTCCCACGGATTCTTCTTGTCTCCTCCGAGAGCTACTGGTTCAGAGAACTGTTTGTATAATCCAGACACAGCGCCTGTGACACACAATTAAGTTAGGCAAGAGTTATCATAATTAAACAAATTTCAATAAAATAGTTGATTTTACTACAGAGTACAGTTATATTAATTACAGAATACAGCAATTATATTAATTAATATTGATTGATTAAATACTAATCACGGGTCAATTAATAGTCCCCTCTGTAAAAATTTACGGGAAACCAAGCACGGTTTAAGGACACAAAGAACTGAGTCCGCAAATACAACTTGAATAAATGAGAAATGATGAATCGGACGATTATCAAACGCGGCAGTCCCAACGCAATACGCAAGTTACACTCGCCGATTAAAAGAGCGTGTAAAAGATATAACGGCTTTTAGTCACGTGACTAGAATATAACTCTCTGATTAGTATGTTTAGTCACGTGACCCGAATACAGCTTTCTCGTTAGTACGTGGTTAGTGAAAATAGCGGAAAAATCATTCTCTGATTTGTGTTCAGATTATCTGTCTTTAATCTACACCTGATTATTATATTATGACGCAGTGAAACTGATATTCCGCGGAATAGGTTGCAAATCAGCTGGTAATTAGTTGACCTGGGGACGCGGACAGGCGGACGGACATAAAAAGCACGGTAAACGCACATTTGACGCACACATATACATAACGCATATTCGGTCAACTGTTGTTGTTGTTGTTGTTGTTGTAAAGCACAGTTAGCAGACATTTGTCCCCGTGTAGTTCAGTCATCATTTCTACCCCGTTTCTGTTTGTGTAAAGCTATTCCTGGGTCATGTGATGTCAGACTGGCTCTCTGATTCGCTCTAAAGATCAAGTGGTCCCCTGTTAACTCGTGCGACGTTGCACCAAGCAAGCAAAACGCTGTGCGTTGCTCGTGCGTTCGCGTTAAGTAACCCTTATGTCTTATCTGTGCTTTAACCGTGCGTTATGCGTCCGTCATCAGATTACCGAATTGCCAAACAGTGTCAAGCTGATCAAGCAGAGGAAATTAAAACGGAGGATATAATGAATATTAGCATATATAATATGATGCATATTAACAACAACTTATTATCTTTATTTCCAATAAGAATATACTCACTAAACAACTCATGTATCCCAATCTAGATCAAGCTACCATGGGAAGATGATGAATCAAAACCAATTTAAAAACTTTAACATAGAAATGTTATTGCCAATTATTAGTTGCTTATTACTACTAGTGGTTGATCTTTTTAAGGAAATGCTAAGTTGTTGGCAAATTATGATATATGTCTGGTCGTGTATTTCCAGAAAGTTCCGTTTAAATTTTTAAACTGGGGCGTGCATTTCTTCACGCACAACAAATTTGTCTCTGCGACTTTCACAAACGTAGGTAAATCAAAATTAATCAGTAAATGTTTTCTTCTCAAAATTGTTCGTAACTTCAGCCCCGTTCGGATCCAAATAGCGCAGAAATTAGGTCCGTGCGCAAATAGTGATCGATAAGTTATACTGTTGGGAGATGGCTTGTTCACACAGAGACATGCCGAATGGTAAACGAAGTTATCGGGAAATATCTGCAAACCAAATAACAGCTGAAGTCAAATGATAACACATATTGAATATTGATTGAAAGTTTACCTTTAATGGACAGGTCACGAACAGTGTATTATTGGGAGAAGGTTCACCAATACAGCCTCTGAGCCTCGGGTAAGGGCTAGGGCCCCACACTGATAAAGATCTAGAAGGAGCGAGCGAGATGGCAAGTGACCGCAAACACTGGGGGGAGATGATACGACACAAACGGGAGTTCATTGGTGCAGGCCACTCGAATGATTGAGGAGACCTAATCAGGTACTTGAGTAAGTAGTATTTCGCCCATAGTTTATTTTCCCGTATCGTGCTCTGCTGATTACTGCAGTAATTATTCATAATTACAAAAACAGTGGAAAAAGTGCCATGTGAGGGAATCGAACCTATGAACTAGTGTTTCTCTCCAGTCTCCAGTGTAGGTGCCCCTATCTTTTGGCGCCCCCCCCCCTCCCCCCTCCTCTTAAAGTAAAAAGGTAAAATTGGACCGATTAGGTAATTTTAGAGGATATGCCGGTAAAATGTCTAACAATGTGTGTTTCCAGAGCAAAACGCGCAATTTTGCTAGTACTTTATTTAAGTTGTCCCACATTCAAACGACGATTTGGCGCCCCCCTAAGCCGGCACACGAGTAAATAACGAGTAAATTCAAACCGTTAGCGGCAGTTGAAGGTCGGTTAGGAGTCCAGTGAGGAGTCTTCATCTTCTCTCTCTTTTTCCTGTCCTTGTCCCGCTTTCTGAACATCTGCTCCTTCTCATAACGAGCCTTGAATATCTCGTCTTCCATCTTACCGAGCTCTGTCATTATTATCTGTACCTGTTTCACATGTCACATCAACATTTAGTCATTTATCAGTCAACTAGGATCTACCATAAACTATGCGGTAAAATTTAACCTAGATAATACATTTTAAAACGTACTTGGTATGCTTTTTAATTCATGGTAGTATAAACAAAATATCATCATTGAAATTAGCGAAAATTAAATAAAATAATTTAACGTTGCTCACCTTTCTCAAGTCAGGGAATCCGTCCTTACAAAGATATCCTCTAGTTTTATCCACAGTATCTTTATACAACCTACACAACCTGTCAATAGCTCCCTCTCTGATTTCCAGAGACGGCAAGTGAGCCAGGAAATCGTTACCGACAAAGAAACACAGGAACACCCAGTCATCAATAGCTCGCTCCAAACAGTAGTTACCGTGCAAAACGTTCTTCAAAGTGGACAGTTCGTCCTCAAGGTACTCCCGGAGAACGCAGAGCCGCACGAAGATATACTGCTGTTCCATTGTAACCTTAGCTCCGACCCCCTCAACATGGTCCTCCTCTTTAGCAAGTCCCCGACACATCTCCACATCATGGCCTTCTTGTCCACACAACTCACAGGGTCTTGAAGGAGGGGGACCTGGTTTGAACTCCTCTCTGATAATTGTGAAGTGAGGCTCATGAGTTGCAAGTCCCAACATTATCAAGTCAGCGTCAGCTCCACACAAACAATGGTGAGTATCAGGCTCATAGTGGGGGCTCTGACGCTGACGTCTGATGAAGTCCATTATCTTGTGTTCTCCCTCCCCGGGCACGTTGGAGTCGGACAAGTAGACCTGGATGTTTGCCCAGCCAGGGTCGTTATTCAGTCTTTGGAAGCAGTAGTAACGCAAACACTCTGCTAATCTGAACATGAATTCGGTACCTGGTGTGATACAGTTACTGTCAAATCTCTCGCCCTTTTCTTTCTCTGGAGGTAGAATACAACCCTGCGCTTTCAACCTTTTCCTCATCTCACTCAACATCTCCTCTTTCTCCTGAGCCTCCTTTGCAGACCTGAACCTTCTAGATCTCTGCTGGTTCATCTTGGCTCTTGGTGCAACACCATCAATAGCCATGTACAGGATCTTCCTAGGTCGGACGATGTTGAACAACCTGTCCAGCATATCAAATATAGCGATCATCATCTCGTTCTCATTCTTAGGGGCTGGGCGATCTTCAGGATGGCAACAAGGATGGATAATACCGTTCATATCAAGGTAAAGGTTATCAAACTCCATGTTATTAGGGTTGGGTAGAGAAGTATTGATCGGTACCTTGATGCCATTTACCTCCTTTTCCTTCTCCTCGTGAGCGTTGACAATCAGACTCTTGTATTTCCGGGACAGCCATCGAAAGAAGGCTGGAACTCCCATGAAATAGCCAGATTATCTACCTGGTAAGTAGTTATGTTACTATATATCAGGGACAAAAGGATTTCGCGGCATGTACGAAATCGCGAAATTTCCCATTCTCCGCGACAAATTTTATGTATAGTTTAATGTATAGCCTGTTAAATTTCGCGGTACCGCGATTTTTGGCCAAAATAATCGCGAAATCCTTTTGTCCCTGCTATATATATCTGAAAAGTTATTGCCTAAAAATAAGGTTGAATTCATTCAGGGGAAGGTCAGTCGACAATTATTATCTGTTTGGCAAATATTTTCGCTTAAATGGTACTGATCTAAGACACTACAAGTAAAATAAATTCAACATATTTTATATTATATACTATGTTATAAAATTAGTCAAACCATTATTTTTATGAAATTCTGACCAACAAAGAAGACTTGGTATTCGCATATCGTGTAAAAACGTAATGACTAATTTGTGTTAACACAATAATAGATAATATTCATAAAAAGAACTTAATGATTTTAATACGTTTCATGATAATTAAAAGTTTAAAATAATTGGCATCTAATCAGCTAAAAACTTTCGGCTTCAGTTGACAAAATCTTTTCAAAAGTGGCACAGCAATCTGGTGAAACATTTCCCTAAAAATCAACTTTAATCCCATAAGGGGAAACTTAAGGTTTCTATACTGACAATCGTGAATTAAACACGAGGAGGTAATTCTGAAAACGGTGGTTACCCTAAACATTATAGAGAATAGCAACAGTTCATAAGCAGCTGGCCATGGGTAGCAATGCTCAGAAACTTTATAGTTGTCAGAAAAGTTAACAATTGTACCAGTTAAAATGTCTTTTAAGCAAAGCAAGGTATCGTCTGACAAATAAGGTAATCGAATACAGCTTTCTATTGTTTCCCTAAAATTATGCTTAAACATATTCCTTAAAACAGGAGATGATTTCACAATGCAACATTTAGTTATATCAATTTTAATCTCCCCATTCGTAATCACTATGGGAACCTGACGGTCTTTAATATCATCAATGTTTCCCATGTTTATAGAACTTTCATTTAAAATGTGTGAGTCATCATCAGAAATGGAACAATGCCACTTAATCAAAACACTTAAATTACCCAGCAAGGCACTGAAAATATCTAAATCAGCTTCATGTCTATCTAAGACAGCACCAATCACGTCATTTCTCAAAATTTCACAGATTAAAGTATCCTTCCTTAGCAATAACAAGGATTCTGACAATGCTTGGGGACTTGACAGGGTAGAAGGATCTAAGCTATGTAATACATTGGACAAAATCAGTTTGCCGCAGCAAGGAAAGCTAGCTATTTTCCTCATTGAACTGGGAGCTGATCTTAACGGTTTATGATTAAAATACTGGTCCTCGGCAGAAAGGGATGAACAGTCCAACTCATGATAAACGATACTCACAAAAGAGTTATGTATCAAATGAGTAAACTGCACAGTAAACGAAAGGTAAAGAAGATAATTTAAGCAGTTCACACTATTGAAATTTTTCAGTATACTGACAAGAGTTTTACAATGATTTTTGTCAAGAATTTTGTAATCAGTTGTCTTTTGCATTAGGAGAAACACTTTAGGCAATATAGTCTGGCATTGAACGAATATTTTGGGATCTATAAAAGATGACACTATGATATAGTTTGCTAATGATAGAAGTGCACTGTATAACCCACCATCGAGAGCATACTGAATAAGCTTTTCTCCGGAGTTGAAGATGAAGAATATACTTACCACAATGCTGATAACTCTTAGATTCTGCATAATTTCAGAACATTCTGGATTAACTGAATGAACAATTGCACACCCTTTCATAAGGTTAATAAGAGTGGCACAAAAATTTCTGTCAACAAGTTCAGTTCTGTAAGAGCCTTCTTGGCAAAGATTCAAATATATTGTCAGAACTTTAACCCTTGTATTTGAGTCATGAGGACAAATGAGCATTTCTTTGAAAATTGAGTCTCTAGTCTTTTCTGCGACATAGCTTATGTAGTGTAATGTTTTTGGGTGATAAAGATCAAGCAAAATCTCCAATGACTTGGAAGATCTTTCTCCAGACAACCATTGGATAACATCAGACAGTATCTCTTTAAATGAATTTTTCACATCAGCAGGTGTTTCTTCGTGTTTGATTATAGCCATTGACACTTTAGCAATTTCAAAAACTTCTTGGGGCTTAAACACAACAGAAAATTTGGATTTTTCAACTTCAAATAAGTCCTTAAATGTGGTTATTACTGTTGAAATATCATTTTCTTCTAGAAAAGTAGACCAGTCTGATACCAACTGTTTTTTGACATAGGCAGGAAGAAATATCACAATTTCTTTAAATATGGCATCCTTATTTTTAGCAGAATTATCCCCTGGATGATACTTGCAATATGACATCATTGTTACAACACAGTGCAGAGGAAAAATGAACAAAGCTTTATTCTTGCTAAGACTCACGGAGAGAAATCGTAATGACCGATAGTAATTGGCAGGGTTCTTAAGGAAAATCTTTATAACAGCATCATAAATTGGGGATGACAGCAAATCTTCAAAGAAGTCATCGGCCTTAGAAGCATTGTACAGCATTGAAAGGAGTACATTAGCGACACCACTTGGGATATCTTTATATGAAATGATGATAAGAAAGTAATCTTTAAAGTCAGTTTTTGATAGCACATTCATGCTCTCAATCGATTGACAATATTCTTTAAAGATAAACTGAAGAACTGAGTAAATGCTCCTATAATTTCTGCCATCAGGACCAGGAGTAGTCAAAAGGGCATCCAGTTCAGTGATTGCTTTGTCGATTCGTGTGCATTGACGTTTTGATGGATGGCTCATATAATCCTGTAATGCAAGTTAGAGGGTAAAAATGTACTCAACGAGGAGGAGGGAGATTAAGATCAATGTTTCCCGCAATCAAACAAAGAATGAGGAGAGAAATTAGTGCACTGAATCACTATCATTCAACTTATTATTGGAATAATGTTCCAACAGATCTACGAAATCTGCCCGATGTTAAAAGCTTTAGTGATTCGTATAAGAAACAGCTACTATCATCTATAACAACAGACCCTAATTATACCGTCGACAATTCATATGACAAATTTTACACTGCAATCATAGTCGCCGATAACTAAGTAACTTCTAATTCTTTTAAATCTGAGGCATATATAATTGATGTATCGAAAAGATATTCCCTTTTTTACCACCTTACCATTCTGATTGATTTTGCACATGACTGACATGTTTTAACTGGAGAAGGGGTTCCCACAGTGGTAGTTTTATAAACCACTTTTAATTTATTGACCTATTATACTTAGTGGTAGTTTAATAGACCACATTTAATTTATTAACTTATCATACTTAGTATTTTTTTTTGGTGACTGTATCACCCAGTTTTAACATTTGATAATTGTACAGTTTATTGACGACACATTGACTGAATGTTATTTTATATTCTAATTTATATTCTAGATATTTTATTTATTTTACAACAGACGACAACTTCCTGTTTTTTTCTTCTATATTAGTTACTCATATCTCTTGTACAGACTTTTTTACAAGGACATTGACAAATGATACTCACATTAGGCATTCATTATTGCATCTAAATTATTTCACTTGCATTAGGCTTAGAAATTTTTTCTCTGGTCAACAGATTTCAAATGTTTAATTAATTTGTAGTATGACAGTAAGGTATATAAGAAGTTATTTAATTTTGCTTGGGCTATTATATTGACTAGGTATTGAGGTTTAATGATGATATGGAATTTGAATTCTATATAAATTTACACTATGTGGTTGGGGCATTTTGCATAGTAAATATGGTTACTACTCATATATATCATATTATTTGATTGGTATTCGATTTCTGATTATTTCTCTAGGAATATGATTATTATATCTCAATTTGGCTTTAGGTAGGGTGCCCCGCTAAAAGAACTGGATTCTTCCAGGAAGCATCCCGTGCACAGAGCTTGGTCTACATATATATTAAATTATTAACCATTCATTCTGTATGTGCACGAAAATTTATTTCAATCAATAAAAAGAACTATATGTAAAACATTGACATCCAATTTCAGTGTACTCGAATATAGTTGAGTATCTTACAAATGATGAAATTGTCAGATTCAATTCATACAGTTACTATTTGACTAGTTGACGATTACTTCTCTGCAGTATGCCCAACTAGATTTTATCAAATATGTCACAAAATTAGATTGTAATTGTTGCTCCTAATCTGATAATTCTAATGACAGTGACTGCTCCCTATTAAGAAAACTAACCTACCAACATTTTCGGTCGAACCCTTGAATTACTAATACCAAATTTAAACCCCACATATGCGTGGTTACATTATAGTCTCCAAATCTTCTCTCTGCTCTCGAACTTTTGTTCTTTTGAATGAAACTGTTTGTATACTTTAACAAATAGTGATTGTAACTTAGAGATAAACTGCTTTATTATTATATTTTTGTACCAATGTTCACTTAACTTAACGTCTTTCACTGACACCATCGCCCGGCAATCAATTTTAAATTAAAATTTATTAACGATCTGACTACAGACTAGCGATCAACGTTCCCCGTCTAATATATAAGCTAAACAGAGGGGGTAATCAGGGCACGTGTTAATGAAAAATTTACGTGTCCTTCCACAATCTCTTCTGTTGGGTCACACGTTTATTGGGGACTGAGATCGCTAACGTGCAACTAGAAGCAGTATATGTAAAGTAACATAGGTGATAGGTGATAGGCAATATGAAATTACAAATTTTATTTTATCTCATGGACTTATCAATTAAGGGCTGGTGGCTACTTATACTATTTAAAGTGGTGTTGATATAAACAGTCTAGATCTTAACTTGGAGCCACAAGGCCAAGGGTAAAAATTTCTTTGATAGTTAAGGGAATTTTTTGAATTCTTAAAGGGTTGATTTTATATAGGGTCATTGCTATATTATGTGTATATTGTTTGAATATTTTATAAAATTCTTTTCCTTAAAGTGGTGTTTATAAATTTTATTTAGTTTTCTATTGAATTTATATTGAATTTTTATATAGGGTAATTGTTATATTATGTGTATATTGTTTAATTAATTTTATGACATTTATCAGGAAAAGAAAAGAAAATTAAGGGCTGGTAATGATGTCATCGTTTGTCATATTCAAAACGTTTCGCGGTTGCGAATGCCGGCCCATCGAGGAAAATCTTTTTACTTTGTTTTTTAACCATTATAAAGTATGATTAGTCGGATATAATATTGAGTTCAAACAATTCCCGAAACGAAAAAGAAAACATTTGATTATGTTTTGGCGACTGAATTGTCAATGGGCCAACAAATATTTGTTGTCGAATAGTATTGAATACTCATATCTACATGATTATTGATTTAATTTAGGAATTGTATATAAATATCTTTGACCAAGTTTAACTGTCAATGAGAATGCACCCCAGCACTTGGCGCGCGCGCGCGGCGTCTTTGATGTTAGTGGCTACAAGTTAGGCAACTGCTGATAAGATGCCGCGCGCGTTCAGCGTACAGTTTTTCGTTTTTGATTTTACAGAGCAACTTTTAATGATTATTAATGAAATTATCGGATATTTATAATTCAATATGTACTGATTCTTCTGTGGAAAATAAAAATTGTATTTAACTGTAAACAAGTTAACCCTGTTTTCATGAATGCGCGGCTTTGACGGCCAGTTATTGACTTATACATAGAATTGAACTTTAAATAGAAATGCGGATTGATTGAAATTTAAAACTTTCAAAACAGAGGCTTATAAATATTATTATATCAAGATTGTAAAATAAAGAATACAATTTTAAATTTGTTTCACTAAATTTGTTTCACTAAATTTGTTTCACTACTTATTCTGAATGCGACCAAGTTAATTAAATTTTGCCTAATATAACCGTTGGATAAAAACGCAAATCCCATGGTCTCAGTAATAATGATCTTTAAAACAAAACTTATGGCAGGAAAAAAATCGTTCCCATACAATTGGCATAAAAATAAGCAATACAAAACTCGATATCTATGAAATTGGCCTATCAGAGCTTGGCTTGGTATAGAAAGTTACCATCTATCTAGAGTTTGACATCCCAGTGCAGCCCCCATTGTCCTGTAATCATGTCCTGTTGGTTGATAAATTAACCATTCTCTTCCAATGGTCTGGCCACAAAACATGAGCTCTCTATCAGAATGTCTTGTACATTTGCATCCCAGTATTTTGCATGTTCCGTAAGCAATTGCCTGGTAGAAAATGTTTTACATTAATACTTTAGTTTTACTTTACTTTTTAACCTAGATGGAAATGTGGTATTCATTTGATTTTACTTGCCATTGATTTCATTTGGTTTTACTTACCACCAAGATATGGAGGATTGGGTATACCAGTTATGATGGACATGGCAGACCGAGAGTACAAATTCTCATGTAGAGCCACAAAACCCCGTAAAGAAGCTATTCTCAAGCAGGTAGACAACTACACAGAGGACTGGAGAGTAAGCAAAGGAGTGAAAACTGAGATAACAACTGAACGAAATCTCTTCTATCGACAAAAACAAGCGGAAATACGCCAGGAGCTCGAGTCAACACCACTGGCAAAGTTGATGTTCCAACTAGCTGCTGAGAAAGGGGCAAGTGCTTGGTTAACAGCACTACCTTTAAAAGAGTATGGATATCTGATGAACAAACAACAGTTCTCAGATGCAATAGCTCTCAGGTACAACCTGAACTTAAAGGACAGCCCTAAGACATGTACGTGTGGCCAAAAGTACTCAGCAAACCATGCGCTCATCTGCAAACTCGGTGGATATGTATCACTGCGGCACAACTCGCTGAGAGACACCTTTGCTGAACTAATGAGAACTGTGAAATGCAAGGATGTGCAGACTGAGCCAGTTCTTCTTCCAGTTGATGGTCTGAAGTTGCCTAAGGGAACAGTACTTGGAGACCAAGCTAGGCTGGACATTTCTGCAAGATCGATTTGGAATGCTTCAGAGAGGGCATATTTTGATGTAAGGGTATTTCATGCCCCAGCCCCCTCCAATGCAAGCAAATCGATCCCAGCAATGTACCAGTCCCATGAAAATGAGAAAAAGCGATGTTACAACGCAAGGGTTCTTGAAGTGGAGAAAGGAAGCTTCACACCTTTAGTGTTCTCGACTTCTGGTGGAATGGGTAGTGAAGCTGAAAGACTGGTAAAAAAGCTGGCCAGTAAGATGGAGTACCACACTGGCCAGAGGTACTCGGATGCTGTAGGTTACATCAGAAAGCGCCTTCGCTTTGAAATCCTAAGAACAACAGTGATTTCTCTCCGTGGAGACAGAGGTGCGAGAAAAAACATTGTTAATATAAACAGTCTAGATCTTAACCTCATAAAAAGAGTTAGGAGCAAAATTACAACAATCGTTGCATAACAAACTTTTAAATTTATGTCAGGAACATAAGTTCCAAATTTGAGGTGAAATGGATAAAAACTCTAGGAGAAGATAGATTTTGAAGTAAAAAATTCGAGGTTTTCAGGAGAGGCAAAGAACTGTTTTTTATGTTATGTGATTTTTTGAGTATTTTGCCTTTATTTGTATATTTTTCAAAGTTTAACTGCTGATATAACACAAAAACAATAAAAACAAAGCTTATCGTAGTTTTCAGTTGTAATGGTTAAATGAGAATTGGTTAACCTCATTTATAAAAAAAAGTAAAATAGCTACAGACAAATGAGTGGTGGCAAAGTATCCACCACAAAAATATATATTGATTCAAGGCATAATGTTTTTTTGCATTTTTTGAAGCCTCGACCCCCCCCTGTGGCCTTAACTTGGAGCCACAAGGCCAAGGGTAATTGTTGAGTGTTTAGGGAATTTTTTATATTCTTAAAGGTTTGATTTTATATAGGGTAATTGCTATATTATGTGTATATTGTTTGAATAATTTTATTTGATTTTACTTGCTGACAATTAATTTTATTTGTTGAAAGGTAAACTTACGTGAGCAATCCATGGTCGTTGAATGTCCATTCCATCATTTATGAAGATACTTTTATTGCGCTTACTAGGCCAGAACAGGTATCGTTCCGACACATCTTGGCCAAGTTTGTTGAAGAACTCCATGTCAAAATTGATTGTAAAATCAAAATCATCACCCTGAAATAATTATCCAATAACATTCTCTTACCTAGATTATTATATATAAAGTGTATCTATTTTGATTAAGCTACAGATGCCGGAAAGACTGAGGTGTTGTTATATTTAGATGATGCCCATAAGACGTTACAGACGTGGTAAAAGAGATAACTCTGCATTCACTAGAAGCTTAAAATTGTTAGTGTGTCTCTTTCAAAGACTCATTCCCCTGCTCAGATAGTGGCTGGATATGATGTTCATAAGGAGTTTATTACAAATATAGGCACTGATCTTATTGAGGCATAACTTGAAGCTGCAGAAAAAATGCCGCGCGCGTTCAGCGTACTGCTTTTCGTTTTTGATTTTACAAATGACAAAGCAACTTTTAATGATTATTAATGGAATTATCGGATATTTATAATTCAATATGTATTGATTCTTCTGTGGAAAATAAAAATTGTATTTTACTTAAAAATTGTATTTTACTTTTGAACAGAGAAGTTTAGACACAAAAAACTGTTTTAAAAACAAATCTGTTAAAACCAGGATGTCCGGATGTAAGTTACTTTGGTGTTTGAATATTTAACTTTGTAAAGCACGAAAAGGTACTTACATTAGTTTGAACAAACTTTAATGTTGGACAGCCATGATTTCTCAAATGATCATTTATCTCAGGATTAGTCCACGCATCAAAGCCCATTTCCATCCATTCCTTAACCTCTGATAGTTCATGATCCATTGTGTAGAAAATTACTTTATACTTTACTACTTTAACATTTGTCTTGACGACTTTTCTAACTGCGTCTGTGAAGAAAAACCTTTATTGGTTCTTTTATGAGTTATTTTTAGTCAATATTTTGATGTGCATGTATTTCATCTAAAGTAATCTTAAATTTTGATAAAATTGGAAGAAAAAACAGCATACCTCAGAACTTGATAGATAGACAAATTAGACATAAATTTAATATCAGGAACTAGCTAGAAAACTTTGAAAAATTTGAATTAATATATGACGAACAAACCCATTAGTTTAGCTAATTTTCGGGAAGTTTTCTTTCGAGAGGCCCTACTTTTCCCTCGACGAGTATCAAATTCGATTGAGGTTTCCGTTTGGTCTTTTTCATTGTGTATTGCTGTTAACGAGCAATCAACCTGAAAGGAAAACAATGTAAATAACTCAATTTTATCTTTACATATTTTGGAGTTTGGACATGCATTATATTGAATGACTATGTGTGTTCAATGCATCAAATTGATTTTTCAGTGTTACATACAAAATTTAAACAGAACTTACCAACAAAGTTGACAGGGTAAACACCAGAAGCACTACTATTATAGTGTTCGTTGTAATCATTCTCAAGATTAGGTAAACGCAAATGCAACTGGAGAGTAATGATGAGATTTTGTCACAAGTTCAGTACACAAAAGGAAAACATACGTGAGGACTGAAGCAATCAAGCAATGGGAATGATGCATTTTTCCCATTGCCATTTTAAATGTAACGTTAAGGGTGGTACCATCAACCTTAGACCTACTCAAATGCATTTTTTACCTTCAGACAAACTCAAGTCATTCAAGACTTCTTAAGATTACTGTATCAAATTGCACATCACATGATTAAGGATATGGATTTTCTATATGAGCAGTGGCGTAACGAAAGGCCCTGCTGACCCCGCTGTGCAGGGGGGCGCCGTCGTAGGGGGGCGCCAAATCGTCGTTTGAATGTAGGACAATTTCGAAAACTTAACTAAAGTACTAGCAAAACTGCGCTTTTTGCTCTAGATACACACTTTTTTAGAGATTTTACCGGCGTATTCTTTAAAATCACCTAATTTGTTCAATTTTAGGGAGGGGCACCAAAAGGGGAGGGGGCGCCAACAGGGGGGCGCTTTTTTCGGCAGGGGGGCGCCAACAGGCAACGTTACGCCACTGTATATGAGTATTATATGAGCTTAGATTCAGGTCATAGTTCTGAGGAAGAAAGTACTTGAGCAAGGGCATCATCGAACTGGACCCTGGGAAGGCGTTTCATTCTAGAAAACTTCTTTGTAGGGTGCAGTACTTTGACCAGCATTTTACCCATATTTTTTATGATAGGAAGTTGAAATGTGAAAAGACAGAATGGCCTGGAGGTCTCACGGGAAGAATCATAGAGATCTGGTGGATCAACTTAAAAGTAAGCAACCTTTCATTCGTTTTAAATCTTTACTAACATTTAATTTATATTATTATAAACTGATATCCTACTTATAATATATTAATTATGTTGATTTGACACACAGTCTGCTATTATCAATAATATAGGCATTTCAAAGTTTATCAGAAAATTAAGGTTTCTCAACAGAGGGTTAGCCTGATTAGTTAAAACCTACTTAAACTGTTACAATTCAGGTCATGGAATTATCAAATCACCAAGTGTTTACAATGCCATGGCAGCTGTCGATAGGAGTGATTTCTGTCACACCCATGAAGCCTACAAAGACAACCCTCAGCCTATAGGAAGTAACGTGACAATCAGTGCCCCTCACATGCACGCGCATGCTCTGGAGACACTTGTGTCACATCTCAAACCAGGCACAAGGGCACTGGATGTGGGCTCGGGGTCTGGCTATCTTTCCACTTGCATGGCTATCATGGTAAGAGTCTTACAGATTGAAGTCACGATATTTCGTGTATTATATCTTCAAATTTACTAATTGACAGTTATTCATATCATAGTCCTAAAAATGGAAAGTTGTTGTTATTTGAATTGTTCGAAGCTGACTAAAAAGCCACAATGGCCGTTGAATGAGAATTATATATTACTGCTGCACGGCTTGTATCTAGCATCTAAATTACCATGACCCCAGGTAGGAGAGGCAGGGAGAGTTGTTGGTATAGACCACATCAAGGATCTGGTGGACTTGTCCCTGTCTAACACAGCACGTAGTCATGGCAACCTCATGAAGACTAACAGACTGAAGTATGTGGTGGGAGACGGCAGGAAAGGTTACTCAGATGGGGCTCCTTATGATTGTATACACGTGGGGGCTGCTGCTCCCACCCTACCTCAGCCTGTGAGTTTGTTAACATTGCAGTGTATTCTGCTTTATAAGGCCCTGACTCTTCTAGTCTTACAGTTCTGATTTGGTTTTAGAAGAAACATTTAGGACTGGAAAAGCTGGAGCCTGGATTACCTGAAGGCTAAAAAATGCATTGAAGTTAGGAATTCAGTTTTCTCAGTTCTAAGTCCACGATTAGCTTACTATGAAAATAAAACGTGGGAGACTTATTGATGAATTAACGGTAGGACTGTAAGTAGAAACAGTAAGGGCTGGCGTTGAGAAGAACAAAACATCAAAAATATCATCACTCTATATGGTTTATTATATGGTATGTGATCACGCATTAATGACCATCTTTCGGAATGTTGGAGGCTCTTATCCAGGTTCAAATGAAGCCTTAGAAAGCAAACTAATTTTTTAAGAATTTTAAAATCGATTAAGTAATCTTGATAAATAAATAGTACAAAAAGGATTAATTGATGGTTACGATAGGTTACATAGCGTATTATTAAAAGCACCAACTGCCGTGACGCATGTTTGAGCCAACTTAAAACGTACCAATACGCTGCACGGCATACAATGGCGGGTCATTAAAAACATGGGCACCAATATAATGTGATGTAGTATGATGTTTTCAAAAATAGTATTGTGTAAGGTATTGGTACGCCACTTAAAATATATATATTATATTATATTATATGTCTTAAGTGGAGTACCAATACCTTACACAATACTATTTTTGAAAACATCCTAAGACTGTAAGTGTGTTGATATTGTGGTGAAATTGTCTCTGAAAGAAAAGGAGAACACGTGATTTTCTAAACAATAGAGGGTATATGCGATTGTGTCAATCCGCTTAATTGGCGCATTGTATCGTGGGAAAGGTATTTGGTTGAAAATGTTCGGAGCAGAATTCCTATTAGTACCAGTCTATGTATGTCAAAGAAAGCTTTTAGCGAATAAAAGACCAGAGACGTTGACAACGAATATTAGTCAAACCACGATATTAATAATAATATTTCATAATAATATATACAATTGTTTTGAAATGTACAATATTTGCCATGTGGCGCGTAATAAAATGTTGTTGTATGGTACGATATCACGTGATCATATTACAATTTATAGTTCACTGTTTTGTTAGGGTTCGCACATTACGTAAGGCCCTTTTTTGCAGTTGTTGACCCCTCTAACTCGCTCACGTAGCGCATGGTATATTTCGTTAATTTTAAAACAATTGTATACGTCGCATGGTAATTGGTATCATTGTTAAAATTTACTTCGAACAATACTCGCTGTATCCCTTTTCGTCATCAACCTTACGTAATATTAATGATGAATATGTTCTATGATGACTAAGTTATATGTAGTTCACTACGTAATGACAATGTCATTTAATTAGCGGTTACGAAGGAAGTAGTAAATTACCATGTAAATTTTCGAGCAGTTCCGAAACATGAACCAGTGAAGTGTGAACCTCAGTCGGTCATAACTTCTGAAAAGTTCCAAGAAAGTAAACCCCCTTAATCAATTGTTATGCGTCAAACTAATGTTCCTCTCATAAACCATTACAGTTGGTAGATCAGCTAGCTAATGGAGGACGGCTAGTGTGCCCAGTAGGACCAAGTGGAGCTATACAGGACTTTATCCAGCTAGATAAGGACGATAACGGGAAGGTGACGAGTAAGAAGCTGATGGGTGTAGTGTACGTCCCTCTCACCGACAAGAACAGACAAGTTTAAATGCTATTTCCTCGTGTGTGTTTTGCTGAAAACTCTTGAAAATAACTCTGACAGTGTGCTGATATGAACGTTGTAAAGGCTGCGTTAGATGGGTCTGTAACTGCAACTGGGAGTACTCAATTTTGTTCGTGGACCAATAAAATTCTAAAATTCTATATCGGTTTTTACTTTTTTTAAAGTTTCATTACTCTTAAAAACATTTTCAGATGATTATTTGAATTTTCTAGCTGATAAGATGAAAGTTATATAACGAGTATTTATTTTTTATCAGTTCTGGGTTTAGAGCAAGTAAATATTTAATGTACGTATTCGATAATTTACTTTCGCACGAAAAAATCATAACTTCAGAAACTGTGTAAATATTTTATAGTTTTAAATTTGAATTCGATACTTCGAACGTTCTTTTGTTTTACTGCGAACCTTATCAATACATTATGTGAGAGAAGGGACTGCTTGGGCCCTGATGGGAGAACAGGTGTGCCGTCACTCTGCTTAGCTAGGGAGATATTCCCGCACGTCTATGTTTATCCCGGACATATTGGAATATTCTCGAAATTTCGCGACATTTTGGACTTTTCTCGAAGCGTGCATTGTCGACAAACGACATCCATCTCGAAATAAAATCTTAAGTTAAGATGCTGTTATAACACCATTTCTCACTGATAAGGTTGGGATGGGATTGCTACCAGATATACCCACTACTATGCTTCCATCTCAAAATATTACCTGTTCTAGTAGAGGACCAGACATCCACTAGCTGCTTGTAAAAGGTACTATCATCTATTTAACATAATTAATAATTACATAATGTGATGTGCTCAGTTGCTTTAAAAGCTAAACTAAGCTAATAAGTGTATTAATTAGACCCTTCATCCTATAGATACATGATTTTAATTGTTAGTTTTGTTAATGATGTAAAATGATACTTTAATTCATCCTCGATTTAATTCCTCCGATTAAATTCTTGATAATTCGTGTCGATCATCCATTGCCTCTGAGTATCATACCTTTGTTTCAGGAAAAGAAGATGGAAATGAGAGGTTCAGGATCAAATCTACCGAGCTGTTCAACTGAGGTGAACAGTACAGGAACAAATTCCAGTTTGACAGGACATAAAAACAGTTTAGAAGATAATCTGACGAAATACCCTCTACTTCCACCGTGTAGGTGTAGAAAACATTGCTATAATCTCTTCTCAGAACTCTCCCGTACTCGCATTCATCGATTCTTTTGGAGTCTGGATCACTTTTCGCGCGGTCTCTGGATCTTTAATCGCATTACAAACAAACCAGTTTCTAAGCTGACGAAACCCACAAAATCAGGCAGTAACAGGAGCTGTGTCAGGGCTTATTTCATGGAGGCCAGTCTCAAGATTGATAATCCGGAAATTGTAAATGTTTGTCAGAAGTTTTTCCTGTCTACACTAGGTTACAAGAGTGATAAGGTAATCACATACACTCTGAAAGTGTTCAAAGATGTTAAAGATCACTCAAAATTAGTTCCTAAATCTGATGACAAAAGCTCGTCTCGTGGCCGTGTTATTACAAAAGTTGGTAGCCTGAAGATAAAATCAGATACCACTTCAGATGGTCCACCAACTCTGAGACCTCCCAACATTCCTCATAGTTCTGAAACACATCCATTGCTTCCTCCCTGTGCGTGTAAGCAACACTGCATTGTGAAAATATGTAACGATGAACGTCAAGGTATTCACACAAAGTATTGGAGCTTGTCGTACAGTGATCGGAAACATTGGCTGTATTCTTGTATTAAATCGTTACCAATCCAGCGTAGAACAAGCAACACTGGCATCCAGCGAGCATGTTCACGGCAGTACTTTCTCCCTCTGTCTAACGGGAAAAACATTTGTGTTTGTCAGAAGTTTTTTCTCTGCACTCTGGGTTACAATAATGATAAGATAATAGTGCACACCATAGCTGCACTCTCAAATCCTGGAGGGGTCGCGCTAGCAAGCTCCGGTAGAAAGAGTAAGAATAGATTGAGCGGGAAAATAGTGGAATTGATGAGGAAACATATTGCAAGTAATTCCTCTGATTTTAAGAAACGTCCCGTCAAAAAACTTTATGAAGACTTCCTGACGAACCATCCTCGATTAAAGAAAAAACCCAGCTATGAAAGTTATCGATTACTAGTGGTAAGCATGAACGTTCGAGACAATCCTAAACCTAAAAGCGCGGACAATCCTGGAGAATTTAAAGGTAAGATCGAGCTGGATGTTGATGAGCTCCACTATTTTGAGGATCTGGAGCTTTACTCTCCTAACTTGGGTTTGGGTTACCCTTCTTATCTGGAACAACTGTCAAGTAGTCTACCTGTTGAGATACCCTTACAATTCCCTGCTGAGTCTCTCCCTTCCCCTCACCAGTTTGTAGAGAGTCCTGAGTCTAGCCAGTCATCGAGACAAGCAAACAGGCAACATCAGTTCCTCGTTATGCCTGGTAATAGTCTGGAAATGGGCCACCTGGTTACTAATGACAATTTGATTATGTTGTAGATTGAGGATATTACATAATTTATGTTATTTCAAGTGAAAATTTATGCTTTACTATTTTATTGCTGTGATATACAAATATTCTCTGTTGATTTATTTTCTGACATCTATAACTTTGTCATTTACGTCTTGTTTTATCTGTTTGCCATCTGTAGAGTGTAGATTTTATCGTTCCCAGCTAATTTTCTCTTACAAAATTATAATTTTTAGAGAGAGGAGAGTTCAATCTTTATTGTGCTAGTGAAAACACTAGTCGCACTGAAATTGCCTAAAGTTAAATTAAATTTGCTCACGTAACCAGATTTAAATCAGTTAACAATCTATCAGGTTGGTAAATATTATTAGTATGAGAGATGAGCTTTCTACTTGTAATACTAGAAAGAAGTGGTCCTAACAACTGAAGAAATTAAAGATTATCGTACTGTTTTTATGGACGAAGAAACGTTGCTTCATGGATATATTTTGGAACATAAGGCTAGATATGAGAGATTGTTGACTAATATTGAAAATGGATTAGAAGAGGAAACCAAAGTGTCAATACATATGGTCAATGATGACTGCTTAAAGAAGATATTGCTGTACCTCAGCCCCATCGATCTTATCAGAAATGGAGTATTTGTTTGCAAACGATGGTTTATAACCTGCACTGAAATTATATTTTGTGTTTGTAAGTTGAAGTTATGTGACAAAATAATTCCTTGGAGTCCGAGGGAAAACTGTTCATTCTACAGGATGGTACCTAACAGACTGTATTTTGCTCTCATTTTTTCACAGGAAGTTGTTTCAAATCTGATAATATCTGGTCCGGAGATTTGTGATAAAAGAGAGATTGAGTTTCCAGACCTTACAAAGGTCACTTTACCAGCTATCTCTGTATTCTGTCCGAATCTCACTGTTCTGGAGATCTCCAGATTCCATCTTCACAATCTCACACCATGTGCTTTACCTGGAACAATCTGTGAACTAACTGTCAGTTGCTGCGAACTCTTGGAGGCTGATCTGAATAGTATTTTGTGTGGTTTGTGCAGCTCCCTAGTGAAACTTGATGTGTCTGAGAATGCATTAATAACTGGGGCTAGCATAATGAATAACTTACAGAACAACTTAATGCGAAATATAAGTGTAAGATCTTGTGCTAGTTTAGATCCTGCTGTAATGGAGTTTATTTTCAGTAATTATAAAGAAACTTTGGAGGAGTTAGATGCATCGTTAAACCTGGTAAAGTTATTTCAGATGTTGATAAATTCACCGGAACCGAAGCCTAAAATGAATGTTCTCAAATCTTTTAAGGTATCAGAAAAATGTTACAACGATTTCTTGAGAGATGCCCGGGGAACAGTTGTCTCAACGTTTGACATGAGAATAGTACCAGTTTTACAGAAAATGCCTAGTTTGGAGGTTCTCTATATTGAGACTGTCCCATATTGGGGCTTTAGGAATGTCTCATACGTGTCACGTGCTGATTATCTGGACACTTTAGCTGATGTTTTACTGAACTTGAGAGTACTGAATCTTACTAGATGTCCTAAGAATGCCAGGTGTCTGGAGCAGTTTAAGCGGCTTCAAGAAGTGACTCTAGACTTTAGTTTTGGTTACATTTGTAATGATCGTTACATGTCCTTGCTTGGTGAGAGTCTGGTTAATTCTGCTTGTTTACAAATGTTACATATTGTTGTGGAAAGTCCCAAATTGAAGTTTCACCCTGACTCTGCCTCGTTGATATACAGACTAATATTTGATTATCTGACAGACAATGTGCGGCTTGTTACTCTGACAGTTAGTGTTAAGGTAATTAAGGGAGAATCATTAGGACCGATCAAGGTGGACAGTGAGGCTATATCACGTGGTCTACGCAGCAGAAATACTCCACTGAGGATAGTCCTCCGTAACTCAGAGTTGAAGGACTCTGATTTTATTGATATTCCTTCTTGTGTAAGCTTTGTTTTTGAGGGTTAAAGTTACGTGAGTGTTTTTAAAGATTTGGGTGTATTTACATTTTTTAAGGATTTTTTCGATTGATGATCTGTAATATTTTTCCATGTTTCATGTAAATATAGCTCAAATTACACTTTCTTAAGAAATGATCATTATCATTATTTAATTCAGGATGTAGTTGTATAATAGATTGTTTGAATTCCAAGATGAAAGTATCATAGTTAGGTCGAAATTATAATCTCTCTTTACCTCAATTCTAATCAGAATATTTTAAAATAATCACACCCCTTCAATCTTCATATAGTACAATTCATACAAATAACATATCATTTTACCAGCTATATTACCTAACATTGATTGTAGGAAAGAAAACAAAACATGGACGACGCTGGACTGGATGCCATCAGACAGAAGCGCATGGCTGAGATGCAAGCTCAGGGTGGCGGTGGTGCTGGCGGTGGTGGTGCTGGTGAACAGGCGGAGAAACAAGCCAGGTTAAATTTTGAGATGCTTTTTATTTGTTAAGTACACAATATTAACACATAATCTGTTGTTCAGAGGCGTGAATCTTTGTGGTAACAATCAATATTTGCTGTGTTTGGTCAATGACAATGATCTTTCTGCAGGCAGCAAGAGATGAAAAACAACCTTCTTACTGCAATACTGGATCAGAAAGCTCGGGCCAGATGTAAGTTTTCTTATCAAGCTTGTTGAGGTGTTACTTCACCAATACAAACGTAATTTTTGTCATATCCTGGGGCCTACTATTGCATAATAGTATAATATATCTAACCTGTGGTAACGGTTATTTTCTGTTTAAAAAAAGGGTCTACACAACGTTTGATCACGAACGCGCGATACGTGTAATCATGATCATTATAACTGCACGAACATTTCTTTTGCGCGCCTTCCCGCCCTGATTATTTGTTAGAAAATGTGAAAACTGTCGACGCTTACAGAAAATGACATGCATTATTTATCGTAACTCATAACTTCATAACTGACAACTGTGTGCTTAAAACTCGCACCTAGCTTACCCAGAGTGTTATTTCAGTAAACACGATAGCTCAAGTGAAGCCAGAACGTGCGCAGAAGGTGGAGATGATGCTGATTAACATGCATCAGCGGAGGCAGATAATGGGACAAGTCGGCGAGGCTGAGCTTATCAAAATGCTTGAGGAGATAAGCAAGACAGAACCCAAAGGCTCCAAAGTTAACTTTGACCGACGTAGGGTCACCTTAGATTCGGACTCGGATTAACTTTATACGGAATTAGTCCCCAACGTTTGGGGTTGGTTTGGTGGGGTATTTGATCTTTTCAATCTATTTGATCGTGAATAAAGGAGACTCTTTTTCTCTAGACATTTTTATAACTAATTTTATTAGTTCACAAGTAATACATGGATATCTGTGTAAGCTGTAACTTTGTAAATAAGCTATACTAGTATACTTCATACATTAGTATTTGATAAAGTTTCGGTTATAATTCGTATCGACAACTGTTTAAAACATATAAACTAAAAAGTGAAAGCACTGAGATTTACAATCAAGTTCATCCTGACTCCATAACGACTAAAAAGATTATCAGGTCCGTTATAATTTTAAAAACGATGTGTACTAAACTGAAGGTTATCTGGTAGGTAATTTGTGTCCATTTTATTCATGGATCACTGTTTCGATTAGAATAAACATGCCAAGGTCTACATCTAGTAAAAACTGCTACAAACGGATAAACTTTCTCAATAAGTTAGGTAAAAACTGAAAAATTCAGACGAATCAATAAAACCACAAATTTAATTAGTTACTAATTATTAATTAAGTTAAACAGTAAATACTTCGAATACATTAACTAAATTACACATTAATAACTACACACTGGTCTGGAATGTGGTCGTCCTTGATGTATGTTTTTTCCTCAATTCTTCTAATACCGGACCAACCTTAGAAAGTTCCAGAACATGCTTTTTGGATGGATGACACAACCTAAGAAATAAGAAGTTGTTGTTCATTAATCGGTATGGGGGCCATCTACTTAGGACGTCCGCCAAAATCGCAGATTTTCAGACCACCCCCTGTCCGGTTGTGTCCGAATCTTCAAAACCACCCCGGACGTCCGGATTTCCAGCTACTTTAGAGAGTACAAATAAAACCAATTCAAATTCATTGTCAAAGAGTTAAAATAAATGAGACTTTTTCGTTAATTCTGCCAACATTTCCGAATTTCCAAAAACCACCCCATCTCCCTATCCGGATTTGTCCGAAATTCAAAACCCCCCCCCCCCCCCCCCCTCCCTATTTGCCGGACGTCCTAAGTAGATGGCCCTAATATGCCTTGAGTTTGAAACATTGTCCGGCCGTATCTACAGTTGTATTACCGATCGGTCCTAAAATCATGTCACACATGCAATGCAGCGCGCGCGTTAAAAAGTGCGTGCTGCGCGATTGGTAATACAAATTAGCGATTTGGCGTAAGCGCAGGGCTACACCGACTAATGTTAGATCGTTTAAAAATGACGTGATTTATCGAATAACAACTGATTAACATTTAAGGGGGGGGGCCAATGGGTATTTTTTTGTGAAACTTGATTTCGAGATAGCAATTGACCAACAAACTAAGACCAGTGACCGAACTTTTGAGGGGGTCCCGGACCCCAACCGCCAAACGGAGCGCGCATGGCAGCCACGCCCATAATTGGTCCAAATTAGGCCCAATTTAGCCAAATACCCTGAACATGCCCAAAACCAAGGTTTATGGTGCTCTACTTGTAGCTAGTGGTCTCCTGAACTCGTATATGAAATTTCATCAAGATTGGACAAAAAATGACTGAGTTATGAGCCAAAAACCATATGCCCATATTTGGGCATACGCACCAAATTTGGTAGATTTCGTCCCATAAATTAGTCAAATGTCAATATTTTTGAATGAAACTTACTTTATATGAAAGGTAAGCCTAAACTACATATTATCTGTAAGTTATAGCTTTATATCTGTTTAAATGTGGATACTAAGGCGAAAAACCCACAAAAAATGAACTAAATTGCCCATATCTCGGTTCGCGATATTTGCGGAATTGATCTCATTAAAATTGTAACAACTCAATCAGTTTTCAAAATTTTTGCATGAAATTTTCGGAATCGACTCGAAATCGCATTTCCACCTTATTTTAAATACGGATTTTTGATTTAGGCCTCCAAAAAAATTTGGCGGCCAAATTCTGAATTTTTGTGAGATAATTTTGGAATTTGGCCGCCAAATTTTTTTGGAGGCCTAAATCAAAAATCCGTATTTAAAATAAGGTGGAAATGCAATTTCGAGTCGATTCCGAAAATTTCATGCAAAAATTTTGAAAACTGATTGAGTTGTTACAATTTTAATGAGATCAATTCCGCAAATATCGCGAACCGAGATATGGGCAATTTAGTTCATTTTTTGTGGCTTTTTCGCCTTAGTATCCACATTTAAACAGATATAAAGCTATAACTTACAGATAATATGTAGTTTAGGCTTACCTTTCATATAAAGTAAGTTTCATTCAAACATATTGATATTTGACCAATTTATGGGCCGAAATCTACCAAATTTGGTGCGTATGCCCCTATATGGGCATATGGTTTTTGGCTCATAACTCAGTCATTTTTTGTCCAATCTTGATGAAATTTCATATACGAGTTCAGGAGACCACTAGCTACAAGTAGAGCACCATAAACCTTGGTTTTGGGCATGTTCAGGGTATTTGGCTAAATTGGGCCTAATTTGGACCAAATATGGGCGTGGCTGCCCTGCGCGCACCGTTTGGCGGTTGGGGTCCGGGACCCCCTCAAAAGTTCGGTCACTGGTCTTAGTTTGTTGGTCAACTACTATCTCGAAATCAAGTTTCACAAAAAAATATCCATTGGCCCCCCCCCTTAACATGCAGCTTCATGAGGTGACTTATCAACAAACGAGCACACGATTGAGCAAGTGAGTCACTTGTTAGCTCGTACTTACTGGTAGTAGAAGAGTGTTAGAATAGACCCAATTATCGTTCCCCCAACAACCATGCATATTAGCATTATTCCATAGAAATCAGGTTTTGAGGGCTCAGAATAGTGGTCAAAATACCACAATAGTAGCATTATTAAGTTCTGAATCAAAGTGAAGCCATGATAACCACACCATCGGACGAAAGAGTTTCCTTCTCTGAAAATAATTATCCCAATGATAATCACCATAATTCTTGTCATCGAATAAGCAGGTGATCAAATCTCAGAAAGGTAAATAATTCTTTAGAATGGTTAATAATATCATAAAAACTCACACAATGTTCATGAAAGTAAGGACTAGTGTAATACTGGTTATCAGCTTAAAGAACCACTCGTTGTATATAAGACCACCATAGAAGTGTGTTTTAGCGTAACACACATACAGCAGACAAGATAACCAATGCCCAATACACACAGCTAATACTAAATACCCTGATAATGAATTATAAGTCAATAATTAGATCCATAAATTTCTAGATTTATCAGAGTAACTGTTATTTTCATGAGAAATGTGAATCTAACTAATTCCTAGTTCAATTAGTGTAAATAACCGCTTAGTTATATTATGTATTTAAGTACACAATAAAACCCAACATAAAAGTTGTTGTTACCAGAGTAAGTAGCAGCTAGGAGTATAGCAGTTATCCTACTGATACACATGAATAGCTTTATCAGTATTGTGATGAAGTAGGCGTACATGTCCATACTTGCTTTGTCATATCTGAAAAGAAAAGTCAATTAGTTTCACGTGACATTGATTGGGGCACTTTTATATGTCATTTATACTTTACTCAATTTAATACTTTAAACACTACTATATAATAAATAATTAAAGGACGTTCTCTAAAGATGATATTTTATTCGATGATTTCAAGAGCCTAAACAGTAAACTGTGAGTGATTCGCAAACAAATCTAAATTTATAAATTAACCCATAGAGAAGCATAGTCGGTTCAGAACATAAAATATGTTTCTACTTAATTTCAAATCATGTGTTACGAACCAACATAACAGCGGAGAGACAGTGTAACTTTTATTCGGACAACAATTTATGAACAATGGCAGGCATATTTTTAATTAGTTCATGGAAACTAGGAAACCGGTTCACCTTTTTCCTTCTACTGCTTACCTGCTTCTCTTTTACATATGAAAAGTTAAAACCTACTTCATTCTCGGTATCAATATCTTTCGTTACGGCCAACTTTGAACAATTTTGGTAAGGATAAGACAGATACGATTTAACGATTTCTGATAAACGAATTTGCGTGTTATTTATTAATTTGTCCCCTGCAAACAATGGAACGTCTACAATTAGTAATAGCTATCTGTTTAATTGAGGCTGCATCACGTAATGCTCACTACCGACATGCTTCCCAAAGGGTACCTCAATTATTCCATATATGGCTTCCACGTTTCTCATTTCACATTAAATACCTTTCCCACTTTGTTAAAGACTTAACACTTCATTATTTGCATCAAATTTCAGACATTTGGTGTATATTTTTATTATCTAGTCTACTTCTAGCACAACAAAATAATAAAAATAGAAACATACAATGTACTCATTAATTAAAATGAACTCTAAGGTGCTCAGAGCACCAACAAGCAAATTAATGAACTCATTTCAATCAAAAAAGATAGCAAGACACACTCACAAGGCTGCCCACCGTCCATCAACCAATCAGAGCACAGTAATTACAACATGTGACACAAACTAACCAACGAGAACACAGTATTTACTCACGAGGCTGCTCGGTGCTCGTAGATGTAGCTAGTCATACTCCACACAACACTAGTAAAACTGACTGCTACCGAGAGGTAGGTGAACCAGCTAGTTGTCCACTGTGTGTAAACCACTATTATATAGAGTTGTAGTAGGAGTTGGGGGGTGGACTCTAGTGAACCTTCTATCTGAAAATATGGGATAATTTCCAATAATTGACAATATTTAGTACACAGTCCATAGTTTGGGTACATCTTTATTCCACACAAGATGTCAATACAGCCAGGTATCCAACAGATAGACGACACCTCCAAGTACATCCTGTGACCGCCCATTTACCAATCAGAGCACGGTATTTACAACACGAGACTAAAACTAACAGATCAGAACACATATAGAATCTCTCACCAATCTGAGAAGAGCTGCATCTCGTCTACCATGGTACTTCTCTGATAGATCCTTGTTAAAGTAAACCTCTTTAATACCCCGCTCAGTCGCCTCCTTCACAAACAAGTCGTATTTATCTGTCAGCTCTTCTCTCTTACGGTAATTTCTGAGATGTAAGTTAGTGAATTATCTCAAAAACTGTTCGAATTTTTAATGCCAAGCGGGCACATTATTATCAATTGGAATATTCTTATATCAAACTAGAAAGGCAAGTTGTCGCAATGTTCTCTCCAATTTTATCATTGATTATGTTGATTAAAATTAAAATTTAATGTAGATATTTCACTGAGTAGTCTATAACTTAAATAATGTTTTCTTGAGGTACACGTTACCTGAGAGCCTGTAAGAAGAGAGCCCCGTATCTGGTGATCCCTGGAAGACCCAACACGTGAAAGATAATCTCAATAAATCTTACTTTATCCAGAGAGGGTTTCACGGGTTCTATTTTTAGTTCTTCCAGCGTCTTGAAAAACACTCGCTTTCTCTGGTGATAATGTTACATTTGTGAGGGTGATTCGTAGATTTGTTTTAATCATTATACAGAGAATTGTGATACAAAATAATACATGAGAAGAACAGCTAAAATTTTATTGGCTATGAAAAGTAAATATGTGTGTAATACATTTTATACATTATATCATTTACATGGTAGATAAGATGTCTGTTTAAATGTATATCGTATGTATAAAAGTGGATTCTCAGATACGAATGTGGAATGATGTATACTTTATACCTTTATAGCGGTTTACTGATTATAAACATATATGATAAAGGTGCAGTGTAAACAACGTGTATAACTCTACATGACAATACTACACACAATACTCTTTAGGTTCAAACTTGTAAGGTATTGTTAAGAATATGCAACATATACCCAATCATGCTGCGACATCTTCTGTGTATTGGTGATTAATATAACGCAGTTCAGATAGGTTCAATATAAAATGTACATGTACCATACACAAGTGAAAACAGGTGAAAGCTACTCATTGAAAGTCAGAATGCTACTCATTCACATATCATTACTTCTCATTCACATATTACTGGCTACTAAATATGTCACATTGGACAGAAACATCAAAATAAACAATATAATAATATGCCATTCTCCAAAGTACGAAGATACGAGCAAGTAAGACAGGGTGCAGCCATGATACTTCATAAGATACAGCTATTATCACCTTATTAAAACAATTTCTATCATTTCCTTCCACGGATTCAACTTCTCTAATCCTACGCTGCTCATCTTCAGTTAATATGATCACGTTCCCTTTAATTTCACCCTTGAAAAAGTTACTAAAATAGAACTAAAATATATAATATCTAAAACTTAAAATAAGATCATGAGCAATAATCAGATTCGTTGATTGCTGAAATAATAAAACTCACATCTATGGTAGGGCCGGTGATGATAAGAGGGTATCTGCTGAGACCAGCATCAACACTAATCTGACTCTGTTCTCTTTTAGCTCGTGCTCTCCACCTGCTAGCCTGGCAACAATTCCTATATTTAGTAAACATTACCCTGCTCTCCACCTACTAGCCTGGCAACAATCCCTATATTTAGTAAACATTACCCTGCTCTCCACCTGCTAGCCTGGCAACAATCCCTATATTTAGTAAACATTACCCTGCTCTCCACCTGCTAGCCTGGCAACAATCCCTATATTTAGTAAACATTACCCTGCTCTCCACCTGCTAGCCTGGCAACAATCCCTATATTTAGTAAACATTACCCTGCTCTCCACCTGCTAGCCTGGCAACAATCCCTATATTTAGTAAACAATACCCTGCTCTCCACCTGCTAGCCTGGCAACAATTCCTATATTTAGTAAACATTACCCTGCTCTCCACCTGCTAGCCTGGCAACAATCCCTATATTTAGTAAACATTACCCTGCTCTCCACCTGCTAGCCTGGCAACAATCCCTATATTTAGTAAACATTACCCTGCTCTCCACCTGCTAGCCTGGCAACAATCCCTATATTTAGTAAACATTACCCTGCTTATTACAAGCTACTATTCAGTAAAACATGATCCAGAAACTTGCTAAGCTTCGGTACCTGTTTTTCAAAACACGGGGCAGTGCCTATTCTTACTGGTGGCAATTTTCCAAATAATAATAAACTTGTCATAGTTAAATTCGAAAACTTTATTCTTGCAGGACTGGTGTTTTATTATTATCGGAGTGAAACCGATTATTGAACCACACAAAAGTGGCTCTAGAGTAGAACTAGAGTAGAACTAGAGTAGAACTAGAGTAGAACTAGAATAGAACTAGAGTAGAACTAGAGTAGAACTAGAGTAGAACTAGAGTAGAACTAGAGTAGAACTAGAGTAGAACTAGAGTAGAACTAGAGTAGAACTAGAGTAGAACTAGAGTAGAACTAGAGTAGAACTAGAGTAGAACTAGAGTAGAACTAATTGCAGAGCATGTTAGTGTGTGAAACTCATGACTTGCTAGCGTGTAATTTGATACACACGAGTGTTACACTGCCATGGTAACAGCTACATACTACTGACTACTGACTACTGACTACTGACTATTGACTGCTACTCCGGCCGAATCTTGCCCGCAATTTGAATAACATAATAATTAGAAGGTAAGTTAAAGTAGTTGAATTAATTGTTCCCGACAATATGTAGTGGAGGGGGAAGAATATAAATATTGAGACAAAATAGTTAGAAAAAGGCTGTAAACATTAACATAAACACATCGTAGTTTCAACTAACGCGTGAGGGTATGTTTCTGTCGAATGTCGCTGCAGCTCCATTCTCTGCTGTCTTGTTCTCATTTGCTGTCCCCTCCCCTGCTACCTTCTTCTCACCGTCCAACTCTATTTCTTCCATCTTCTCCGGAGGATGGATCTCCACATCCTCATATCTTTCATCTGAGAGAGGAATTTAGGAAGGTCGCTGGTCAACTCCAGCATTATAAAGCAATATTATTTTAGCAGACGTCGGAAGACTTACCTTTACTCTTCAAATAAGTTACAAAGATCACGTGAGACTTATACACTTTACACATGTGACCGATACATTACTATTACGTCCCGGCTCTATTACAGTATTATTTATTATCCACGGTATGACGGTATTATGGAGAGTAACAAGATTACGGGCTATAGCTATTCGATCATTTCCCGTCTTAGCGATCTCTGAAAGTCAGGGCTTTGTGCTGACTTAGTGAAATAATAACAATCCATCTCAACCTTGAGTATTACTTTTAGAGTTCGTTTTGTTTGTTGTGTAATGACTAATGAAATATAATGCATTTTTCACGTTTTTAGTCTGTTGAGTGTTAATAATTATGTTCCTGTTTTTCTGATGATAATATTGAGAAATAACTCAATATAAGACTAAGAGCAACTTAACCTTCTTTGAATTATTAATTTACAATTTGCTAGCTAATTCCACAGATTAATGCCATGTTTCATTTTATCGCACTGATATATTTAATAGTTCAATTCACAGTCATCAGATAAAATTGTCATCGTACTGGAGACTGAATATGATAAACGGAAGATTGTGAATTTTAGAAGTGTTAGTTTCACATGTTGAAATTTACAGTTCTAATGAATACTTGCTGCCACCTGGTTAAACTCATTATATAAGAGCTACAAGATAAGATGAAACTATTGAACTGCCAGTAATGATTCTCCTCCTCCTCCTCCTATCGATGACCGTCCAGTACGCACAGCCAGCCAGCCTACAGATACTTCAAACCAAGGACGGACACGATCACCCGGAACCCTGTGCGCACATCTGTTCGGGGGTGGCTAACAACCCCTTCATTCTATCTGAGAACGGTTATTGGTACACTCACTTCGACATGAAACCTTGTGGGTTTGTGGGTACACCCAACATGTCCATAGTTCCGGAGGGAACTGTCATGGAGATTTGGACTGCTCATAATGTTACTAGTCATGGTGGTATAGTGGTGCTCGGGGGTGTGGGAGGCAAAATGCTAGACAAAGAATGGAAACTCAGTGTTATGTGGACAGCCTTCGGATTCGTGTGCTAGATATTATTTTTAGTTCCTATTTTCAATTTCTTAAACCCTAATAATCTGTGTTTTTTGTCCGTGAATTGACAATTTTCAAGACTCATACTTTTTCTCAAATTCGCGGGTCACTAGTTACTAACTAGTCAATATCATTGGTCTTAAAATGAATAATAAGTTAATAAGTAAGAGATAAAAAGAAAAAAAGAAAATTGAAACTAAGTATGAGTAGTCATATCCTGTACGTAGCAATTCGGAGTTAACTTGGAGCCATGCCGTCATTCGTCACATCGCGTAATAAACATTCCGTTAAAAACGAAACTCGAAATTATCTCATTAAAAGTATTACATCTATCAGCCATGAAATCTGTTCATTAATACGAACTTCCAATCTAATATTAGAAGCGAGTAACACATTGCACATTGTGGTATTTGCCAAATTGTGTTTCCTTCCTACGTTACTCGCTTCTGTTAGACATTTTGTTAATGCACATTGCACATTTTGTATGTTTTTGCGAAGTGTACGGTTTACGGAATAATCCTATGTGCCGTACCGATAGTTAATTATCTGTAATTTTGATTCATAGCGGCAAAGATGCTAAATACAACTTTTAAAGTGCTCAAATGATGAATTTCTTTTCCAAAATAAATCTTCATCTTCCAAACCATTATAAAGCTTAACTCAACCACCTATCTAGAACAATGTTACCTATTGAGGACCTATGGCATTGTCTGAACCTCTCAGCAATACACTACAATACCGACCACAGCCTCCCCAACATAGTTCTGCCAGTAGCAGACCAAACTCTCTCCTCTATAGGAACAATCATTAACATTCTCCTCATTCTCACAATCCACGTTCATTGCAAGATATCAGGCGACGTCTCCTGGACCCTAACATTCTACATGAACATGTGTGTTGCTAACGTGATGGAGTGTGCTAACAGCTGGCTGATCTACGAGAGTGGTGAACATGATGCACAGATCAGCACTTATCTTGTAGTGGCGTCTGGTGTGCAGGACACAGTCACTTCGTCAGAATAGGGTTCATGTTACCACTGTATATCATAAGACTGCTCTATGTAGCCTCACCAGCCAGGGTCATGGGCGGGGACCCAGGAAGGTATATGAGGAGAGGCAGAATATACTGCTGTGTTATCTGGACTTTAGGAGCTGGTATTGGTGCTGTTAGAACCTACGCTAGGACCAAGATAAACGCGGGGACAGATATTCACCCAGACAAGACGATGGAGGCCATGCAGGAAATATCTTTTTGCCTGCTACTGGTGAATCTAGCTGCATTTGTGCTCTGGATGACAGTACCATTAGTTACCATCCTGTACTTGATGAGGCTGGTGTACAAGTACAGATATAATGGAGCAGATACAGAGTCCCTCCTGATAGAGAACCAGGACAATCACAGGATCTGCAGTTCAGTAAAGTCAGCTCTGGCATCTCTAATGCTGTTCTACCTGACTGATCTGATATCAGCTATCTACCTGACTCTGCTAACAATCACTGTTCTCAAGATTCACTACACTCCTGGCTGTTACCCAGCTGTGTTTGTACTCATTAGGAACTACCTTGGAACTGCCACTAACTTCGTGTATTCCTACCACTGTCTAGGCGTTCTCTACGGGACGTGTATCTGTGTTATATTGTTCTTACAGAACACGATGAAGCAGACTGTCAGGTTTATGTGGGAATACAGCGGCTTGGTGGCTACGGGCATGGTGGAGACTGCACGACGGCGACTCCTCGCTTCTTCTTATTCTAGGGACTATGTTATATCCGGATAGGAATATTATTTATGAGTCGCATTGTTGTGATGTTTAGAGTTAAAAATGTATGATAATTCCTTATTATATTACTCCAGGGACTATATTTGACAATACTGTCAAACAGTGTTATACCTAGTGTTATAACAGTGTTATACCTAATGTGTACCTCTTAATAATAATATTAATTCGAATTAAATAATTTGTTAGAATCACAGTTCAAATTATCTTAACAGATTTCTTTTTTGAGTATCTATTTATTATATTTATCCTTCAATCAGGAATTTCCCTTATATATTAGCACTAATCATCGTTTGTGTAACTATTGCAATTTTAAAATTGCTAAGGTGATAGGAAAATATCGCCTGATAACAATACCACCTAAAACGTAATACACTAAATAGTATTAGCCTAAATAGTACAGAATCCGTAAAGAATATAATTTGCAAATTTATGGCCAACAGAGCAAGAACAGACCACTCACCACACGATAACATTAGTAATATACTAAACAATAATAATATCATTAGCTAATCATTAGTTAATTAGTTAATGATTATAAAGCTTTCAGACTGGAAGCTGGTATAGTATAGTGACACAGTCTAGACATTAATGCTCACACTGCACATTAATGATCAGCACTTGAAAGAAAGCAACCTTGCAGCTCGTGATGAATATAAGAGTGTGATTGTGTGATTAGAGTGTGATTAGAGTGTGATTAGAGTGTGATTAGAGTGTGATTAGAGTGTGATTAGAGTGTGATTAGAGTGTGATTAGAGTGTGATTAGAGTGTGATTAGAGTGTGATTAGAGTGTGATTAGAGTGTGATTAGAGTGTGATTAGAGTGTGATTAGCTTGAACACATCTCACTTGAAGCATGGAATTATTGAAAGAGGTTTAAGGGGACATACACCAAAAGCTTTTATGCCCTGGCCCTGCTGTTAACTTCATATTAAGAAAGTATACATCAAAACAATAAGATTTGATACATTAAAAATTATTTTTGAGGACCCGCACTTTCGAAAAAATAAATATTTTCTTTTCCGAAAATTTTGGAAATTTTGAGAAGTCTGTCACTGTAATACCGATATTTCGGTCATTTTAAAAGTCTTTTGGCTGATTTTTTTACTTAAGATTACTTACAATCGGTACAAGAAACCTCTGAAAGGATTATATAATTGAACCATAAATGACGAAGTTATAAACCAAACAAGGTCGAGAGAAGCAAAATTGAAATTTTTGTAAAAATCAAAGTTGTATATTTTACCATTCACCCAGGTCATAAGATATCGCTTCAAAAATTCTTGTGAGTGTAGCTGATAATCATATCCAACTTTTTGGAACAGGATTTCTCTCAATTTTGAGTTTTAAGGTATGATTTGTGGCCTCAAACGACTAAGTAAAATTCATCGTAAAAAGGGCCAAACATGGCAGATATAAGGCTTAAAATGCCTATAACTGACAAATTATCAATTTTTTTGAAATAATTTTTACAGAATCGTAATTAGCTTGAGAAAACGAATCTTTTGGTACCAAATTTATAATAGTTAAAGACACAAAATTTGTAAAAAAATGTGTACAATTTGTACAAAATTTATACAAGGGGGGGACCCTTGTGTTCGAGCTAGAAAATTATTTAAGACAATTTGTCTTCTAAAATCACCTATTTGGTACTAAAAGATTCGTCTTCTCAAGCTGATTACGATTCTGTAAAAATTATTTCAAAAAAAACTGATACTTTGTCAGTTATAGGCATTTTAAGCCTTAAATCTGCCATGTTTGGCCCTTTTTACGATGAATTTTACTTAGTCGTTTGAGGCCACAAATCATACCTTAAAACTCAAAATTGAGAGAAATCCTGTTCCAAAAAGTTGGATATGATTATCAGCTACACTCACAAGAATTTTTGAAGCGATATCTTATGACCTGGGTGAATGGTAAAATATACAACTTTGATTTTTACAAAAATTTCAATTTTGCTTCTCTCGACCTTGTTTGGTTTATAACTTCGTCATTTATGGTTCAATTATATAATCCTTTCAGAGGTTTCTTGTACCGATTGTAAGTAATCTTAAGTAAAAAAATCAGCCAAAAGACTTTTAAAATGACCGAAATATCGGTATTACAGTGACAGACTTCTCAAAATTTCCAAAATTTTCGGAAAAGAAAATATTTATTTTTTCGAAAGTGCGGGTCCTCAAAAATAATTTTTAATGTATCAAATCTTATTGTTTTGATGTATACTTTCTTAATATGAAGTTAACAGCAGGGCCAGGGCATAAAAGCTTTTGGTGTATGTCCCCTTAATTCAACAAAGAGGCTTTGAAATATAATGATTAAAATCTTAATAAGGCTAATATCAGCGATGCTTGTAAATAAACCGAATCTAAAATGTCAGGAAACTATAAATTCACACAATCTTCCAAATCAAACCACCACTGCTTAGACTCACATGTGATAAAGTTTAATAGCTGATAAGTTGGGTTTCCACCTAATTCAGATTGGTTTTTATTAACAAATTCTCACACAACAGAGTAGAAAAAGCAAGATTTAAAGTAGATTGCTTCACAAGATTGAAAAGAGAAGATGAAGTGTTGAAAAAGAAAGTACCTGATAAATTAATAGTGTTGTGTTCAGTGTCCACATCATGCTGAGGGAGAGGGGCTCCTTTCTTCTTGAAGTAATGGGTGTAGTCACGTGGTGCATGATATCTCTCTTGTGTCATCAGACTCTTTATCCTGCATATTAGTCATAATTTACAATTTATATTTAGAATATACGGTGTTAGTAAACCTTTTCCCAGCCGTCTTATGATCAAGATAAAATAAAATATCATGTTTCATTGTCTTTGCTGGTCTAGCTTCTTATCTTTAGCGTAACTAGGATAACTAGAGCACAATACTTTGTCACAATTTACACAGTACACCATTGTGTGTGATATTTCCTCAGAATGACGCAATAATAATACTCAAGGGAATTCGGAAATTTGTAAGGAAACTTGGCAAATTATAATCCCTAAAGACTTTTCATTCCCGTTATTACGTAACTGGAAGGGTCTAAATTCCTTTTATAGTTTTTGACTCAGGAACGCTACACCAGCCTCTATGCTATAAATACCAGTATGCAATTAGCCACCTCGCTTCACGCTTAAACATGAATACTTACTAAATCTTGGAGCGTTTCCAATGTCTCATCTACTCAAATTTCACATAACAGCGAGATTAAGGATACACTAACAGTAGCCCTTACAGTAAGTGTGTACTAGAAGTATACTAGAAGTATACTAGCGGTGTAAAGTTCTATACACTTCTAGTACACACAGCTATGAGCTAGTGTTACTTACATAGATTCGAGGGTGGAGTCGTACACTATCCACTGGAAGCTAAGGGCGGACATTAGGAGACCGGGGAGAAAACAGAGACATAGTGTAGCAATCCCAAACACTGTGTCATCGTCTGATAGGTAGTTGAAACCTACTATTAGATCTGAGAAAGAGAGGATTTAATTTCTATCTTTAATACAATAAACATTAAAATATTTACAACTGTACGTGATTTTATATTTATAGATTCCCAGAGAAACCATAATTTATGTACAGCAACTTTATAAGACGATCATGCTATAGTTTAATTGATTAAGAATTGACGAACAAAAGCATGATGTATCAAATTGTAAACCAAATAGATATTAACAATTTGCTTAGTTAAAGAATATGAAAGTGAGATAGTAATAATGTAACAGTAATCTTACCTAGAACTGGATCAGCAACACTGAGGAGGACGGATACAGTGTAGTAACCTAGCTCATAAAGCAAGTAGAGTGTTCTGAACGAACAGCAAACCATCTAGCTGCCATTTTAGTTTCCTATACCATCTGGTTTAGTTGTTAGTATTAGTTACAAACTGAAAATCAATATCTGACGGTACAATTAGATCATGTTGACTAATTTCGAGAGATGTGATGCGATCCTGTTTTAACTGCTACATAATATGTCGGTACACGGTATACTGTGATAACAAATATGACAATCACAATATTAGTTGGACACAATAAAACACCAATTTGATATCAAAACTGTAAAATAAATAATATAAAGTATAAAATAAAAAATACAAAATAACATAAACATACAACTTCCTTTTCTAATTCTATTCTAACTCTATTCTAAGTCAAAGACATTCCTTGATAGCTACATATAAAAAGTAAAAATAAAACACAAAAAGCAAGCAAATTCTTTCATGAGCAATAATCGTGGTAAATAAATTTCTATCAACTGTAATCATTGGTAAAGCAGTGCCAATTGATTGGTATTATTATGTTTTCAATTTGAATAAGATCCTATCAAGCCGTTTAAGATTTTGAACGAAACAAAGGTTTTCAAAAACCAAAATATTCATATCTTTCCCTTCCTACCCAGCTATACAAAATTTGCGTTTCTGTTTCATAAAAATATTTTTGAAACCATGTTTTCAATGCACGAATCACCATCAATTAACTAATCCCTTTCAATCATGTTTGAGTTGACAGAAATTGAAAATATATCGCTCAATTTAACTTGTCTTAACAATGTTGATAATCATAATATAAATATAACTAACTGAAATATAAAAACCGAATTTATAATTATAAAAATATGTATACCATTATATGAAAATTACTATGAAATTGTAATTTAGTTTTAAGACAATTATTTACAAGAACCACGTTCTATACCTGTCCCATATTGTCAAAGTGAGTATGGAGTGGGGACCAATCCTAAAAAAGTGAGCAAATGTTCCCTTGTAGAACCCTGCCACTCCCTCATGCTTGTACATTTTTGTGATACAGTCCAAAAAGCCATCATAGTACAGTCCATGCTTCTGGTTGAACATCCTCGTTGCAACAACATCAAATGGAGTCATGGTGAGAGTCAAAGCCAAGCTGCTACATACACTTGCCATACAAACAATGCCAAACTCAGACTCCGTAACATTCGCAGCAATCAAAATCTGCTTAATCCTGGTGAATGTAGCCAGTTGAGTTGCTGATCCAACACTGACCCTTGCCATTGCACTAGTCAAGCCTTGAGTTAGACCTCCAGAAGAACGGTATGCTGTAGATAGAGCTTGCATAAGACCAGAGTGGCTGTGTTGATATCCAACAGCTATGGAAGGATTTGCTGCAGATTGCATTTGTACCTTAGCCAAGTAAAATGGATTGGCAAGTATAGATCCACAGCACCCCGAAAATGCTCCTGCTAAAGCAAGCTTACAAAATGTTTGTTCACCTGAATTATTTGTGGTAATACCAGAATTAGTTATGGTTTGGTAAGTACCAAGCCGTGTACTGTTCATAGCCAATTGATAAGCAAGGGCTGAAGACAAACCCTTCTGAAGACCAGTGATTCCTTCGCGTTGGCTAATTTTGATGAAGGCATCGATAATATTTTTATACTTCACTTCATAAGCACCGCGTGTCTTCAACTCTCCTTGAAGTTGAAATCGTGTTTTCACAAGATCCAATGGGTTTGTGAAGAGACCTGCTGTAGCTGTTGCACAACCACCAAATAGATATTCCTTTGAGTAGCCAATGATTTTAAATAAATCTAAATTATTAGGTAACTTGTCACCAGTCATTGTTTCCTTGGTACCTTTGGAAATATGACAAGACTAAATCAGCTATTTCATGAGATCAGAGGTTATACAAACTGGGTATCTTGAATTGATCTACTAATATACAGTGGCGGAACGACCGCCCCTGCTGCCACCCACTACCCACATGGGTACGTTTTGTCACTGCTGATATAGAAAACAATTGAATGTTCCCACAATCTGACAGTGACAAAATAATAATAATAATTCTATAGTAGTAGTAGTAGGTGGTAATCCTGCGCGGTCGATCGCTTATTGCGAGACGTAATACAGCTTAAAAGTTGAAGACAAGTTCAATCAAATGGTTCTTTAGACACTTATTCATCTTTCGTGCAATTATCTTGAAGTAAAGTTTTTTAGAATGGAAATACTTTTAGCTTTACTGATGGAAAGTTTCACGATGTTCTAGAGTCAACGTCATCCATTTAAGTGACAAAAGGACGCTACATGTCACAGAATGACTTGATTTTCCGTTAAAAGTAGCCATTAGGTAACTTCATAGCCTTAGCAATGTTTATTTCGTGTTGGAAGTAAATTATAAGCTCTCTGTGGAATTTGGCTAAACGTGGTATTGACGAAATTAACGAAATTACGTATAAATTGACAAAATGGCGACAAAATGGCGTACAAGGTCAAAATTTGTAACGGAAACAAAACAGCGCGCCAAACAAGGTAGACTGGCTGAAACATTTCTCACGTGCGATAGCTCTACTGCGCGTTCCACAGACATGTGGGCACCATTTCAGTGAAACTTTGGTTGTTTTGCGCCGTTGCTAGCTGGAGTTATATTTCAAAATGTGTGCGAGTAGGCGTGTTTCTGACTTGACTTACATTATTGCGTTTATCAAATACACGGATATTTGTAAATTTATCATACTTTATGCTATCGTTTGGAAAAGTTATTTGTACATAGATTCCAGAAATTTTCATGATTGCATCATTTTATTACAATTTATCATGAGCTTTTGAAAACAGTCCGACGCTGAGCCCAAATTTCAGCAAAATAACGCCGTTTTTTCGTAACACTTTTTTTGATTCAATGCCGTTTTAAAATCACGATATTCCAACAATGCAAGTTTTCCCAGAATTATGGCCGTGTGTTCTGATCTCATCATCGTTAGAACTATACCATGATACCAAAAATTTGTAAATCCGAGAAACAAAATAATTATTGATTATCACCTAGTAGTAGTAGTAAATCTTTCAAAGTACGAAATATCTCTTTAAAAGAGCATCCTAGGCACCTTATAGATATCAAAACGCATAAAAAAGAAAACAAAAACATCAACCATCTTCTAACTTCTTCCACTCCTCCCTATCTAAAGCTAAAAATCTAAGGTCTTCGAAATCAGTCAAATTCTTAAGTCTAATATCAAGATTTCTACTAGTCAAGTCTTTTCTAATGACATCTAATAAGTTTAAACATGGTCTACCCCGTCTCCCTTCCATAAAAATATCAGAATTTATAGCAAATAACATAGAGGTGTATGCTGGTGAGTCTTCCTGTCCTCTTAAGATATGTCCTAACATTCTCCATCGAAACTTAGAGACTCTCACAGACAAGGGAGTGACATAACAACGAGCATAGAGTGCCTCATTAGAAATAACCCCAGTAGGCCATCTGATGATGAGGATTCTTCGGAGGTGTTTGTGATGAGCAATATCAAGTTCATTCAACGAAGCTAGTGGTGCAGCCCAGGAGTTGCAGTTGTAGAGTAGAATAGAGACTACTTGTGCCTCGTAGATTTTGATCTTCCTTTGGACTGAAATCTTGCTCTTCATCCAAACTTTCTGAAATTTACTAAAGGCAACATTACCAAGGAATATTCGATTCTTGATATCCTTAACAGTGCACATCAACGATCCTAAAGTTTTGTTAGAGCGCCACTCTTCATCACCTCTATACACTTTTCCAACAATCACCTTGCGTTTAACAGTGGGTTTAGGATCTGCTAAATAAAAATGGACAAATTCAGTCTTGGAAGAATTGATATGAAGGTCCCACTGCTGGAATATATCTTTAGCGATAGGAAGCATTTCTTTGAGTGGAGCAAGTTCAGTGTTATTAAAGTCAATATCATCAGAGTATCCTGTTTCGAGTGGCATGAATTCTTCTGAGATAGGAGGATTAGGGATTGGATGATTCACTGGGTAAGGTGTTGATGATACTTGGGAGAGTACAGATCTGAGGTGAATAAGTGCAGCGGCTTCAACAACAGTAAATAGATTACCTGATAGTGCATCTCCTTGAAATGCTCCAGTTGTGCTTTGGAACTCAATTGATACAGTATTATTGACTTTTACTTTCAACACTGTGTTTGATAGTAGGAGCCGTACCATCCTAATTTCATCACTAGTACAGCCAGCATCTTCAAGAACATTGAGTACTGTTTCTCTGCTGATGGTGTCAAAGGCACTTGACATGTCTATACTCATTCTGTGGTAGCTCCAATGCTTTCTAAGTACCACTGAGGTTAGCATACGTTGAGACCAAATTATATCGCCACAACTTCTACCTCTCTTGTAAGCACTTTGTGTAGGACCGGTGTACTGATCTAGCTTGCCTTGGATACGTTTTAGGGTAATCATTGACAGTAATTTTCTGGAGCAGTTTGAGAGGGTGAGAGGTCTGATGTTTGCTGCTGGACCAAGTGGTTTCTTAGGCTTTTGGAGTGGAGTAATGTTGCCTTTTCCAATAGATGTTATGGTGGTGTTTGTTTCAAATGCGGTATTTATACAGTCTGCATATTTCTATACAGTTACATAATTGAAACAATTATTGAATTAATTCGACAATTTCATTTATTGATGTCAAAACATTAATTACAAATATGAATATGATATCTTTTTGTTTTATCGACTTGGATTTCAGAAAATTTAAATGAAGTCAAATTGATGACCAAAAGTCGGTAGCATATATACAAACATTATTAATTCTACTTAGAATTGGTGCCTTTACAAGTGGTGTTTTGAGATATAATATATATAATAGATTTGATGACTTCTGTTAGAAAACCTGCTAACAATTTTTGGATATCTGCTTGTTAGGTGCATCTGCCTTATTTAGTCATGTTATATTTTACATTTATTATCGCCTGTTTTCTGAACAGTTTCTTGTTCCACCTCCGTCTAAGGCAAAGATGCACACTCTCGTTAATTTAATTGTCATTTACAGCTGAGCATAAGGGTTAAATTTAAATTATTTAGCCTTTTGGTGCTGTATAAAAATAACATTAATTTATTATTATAAAGGGTCTCAATAAGAGGTCTCGACTGCCTAGGCGTCAAACCTTGGCAGTCGGTAGTTTCCCTCTGGCCCGGGATCAGCTGACCCTAGGGACCAGAGGGTAAAGGTGTAGAGACTATGTGTATCTACAAATCTTTCGAGGTTGTTTTTACAAGAGACAGGGCTTGCTACGCAAGGGAAGAAAACCGGGAGAAACAATCACAAATTATACAAATAAATATTATAAAACCTAGCAAAAAGAAATTCAAACAATCCTACACTACTACAAATGTTTATTACATTCTACAATGTAATACACGATAAATAAATGCTATATAATCAAGAAACAGGGCTTGCAGGGCAAGGGACGGAACACAGGGACTGGCTACAGAGTGTATAAAACAGTGATTCAGCAAGTACCCATTGGGTATTGCTGAATCTTACCCACAAAATACCACAATCAATACAAGAATATACAATATTTAAACAAACGTCATGTTTATACAATAATCAGGGCATGCAGAGCAAGAGAAGAAGGTAACTGGGCTGTGTTTATGACTGCAGTCAGTCAAAGATTTGAACTGTGGATTAGTAAATATCTGTCATAAAATCCAAGCAAACATTCTAGAAGACTTTTATAAATAGTCAATAGTGTCCCCTAGACCGTAGGAAATGTAAAAATCTTAAGACGATGAGGCCTGAGTAAGTCGTAAATTTTGATTGGAGAATGCAGATTGCTGTGAATTTACGTGAGTACTTGATTCTTTTCAATCCCAGTTTATTGCTGTCCTAAAAATTTCTTTAGTGCCAAATGACGTCTAAAACACCCTGTTTCGCAAAAAATTTCCGGGGGGCTGCGCCCCCCTAAACCCCGCCAAGGGGCTCCGCCCCTGGATCCCGCTGGGGGCTGCGCCCCCAGACCCCTGCCACAGCTTGCTCGCTTCGCTCGCTGCGCAGCTGGATTGGACGCGTCGGCTCGCCGACAGCCCCCCTCAAAGAAAACTCCTGGCTACGTCCCTGGTCATACGTTGTATGACACGCCGCGCACGAGTGCGCGGCTCACCCTGTATCGTCCATAGTGAAACGACCGTGGGGATTGCAACGTTGAACGTGATACATAACAAGTTAGGTGAATGCGAGATGCATGGCACCACTGGGCCTCACCGAGCTGTTATGTGAAGGGTTGACATTGTCAATCAAGTCCGCCGCGCACCTTGATTGACGTTGTCAACCCTTCCAGATCGTTGAGCTTTACGTGGAGAAGCAATACAACGATCTCGTCAGACTAGTAAAGCTAGTCTGCGTGGCGCATTAGCAGTTAGGAAAGAAAATTTTTTTCCCGCAGTCGTCGACAGGGGGACACTTTTTCAGCGGGGGGTTGGGAGGCACCAACAGGCAATGTTACGCTACTGGCTCATATCGTATTTTATGGTGATATCAGTTCATGAATTGGGCAATATAATTCCATCATGTCATTACAGTCGACACATATATCAATATGTATGTATATAAGACCTTAGTGCGGTAAAGTTGATCAGATGCTTGACAGGTTATTTAAGAGGATACACTAAATATTGGGGATTGGGATCATGTGAACCTTTTTACACCGGTTTCCTCTTAAATCTTGGACTTTTCGTTTCCCTCGAGAAGCCTAGTATATAAAAGCTATACTGTACCTTGATCCTTGCTTGAGTTAACATAAACATACAATTTTTATGTGGACTTAGTGCCAACTTTAAGGGTGCTTGTAAGTATTATATCTCAACTTGTTTGGTGTGTTACTTTGATTTTGAGCTTTACCATTTACTTTCAGTCTAAATAATTTTATGTCCATTAACATTCATGTAGATGTCTAAACTTTTATGTTTATTAACCACTGAATCGCTCTTGATTGTGCACGAGTGCATCGCCTTTAAATTATTATGGGGAAATTTGTACTTTAAATAACAACCACGTTGTGATAACTCAAGTGACTGGTCGACCACTTTATTTCATTGTGTTTTAAAAGTATTTGTGTTTCTAGCTTTAGGTGCAAACATTCTTTGGGATTTTATTTTCCTACTTCAGATCTATCATGCTATTTGTTACTTAAATGCTTTTTGTATCCTACAACAATAAAATTTTCATCATCATCTGAACAAGGTTAGTGTTTGTTCATATCTTTTTCCATTTAACATTCTTTTCTCTGTAAAGTAAAACAAACTTTTTTCTGTAAAGTAAAACAAAGATTTTAAGTACTGAAGATTTAATCAAGCAATAAAAACATATAAAGAACTCAATTGATAGACCCATTTGAAAATAGTGTACTAAAAAGGTAAATACTAAATAAATTATACTACCGCATTGTCAGTAATTGTTACATAACTTGTTTCACTCTTAAAGCTAAAACTATTTGTTTAAACCAGAGGAAAACTGGCCATCGAAGCAACTCCGCAGTGATTGTAAAAGTTTCGTTTCAGCCAGAAGTAACCAGATAATCCCCAGCCAGTTCCCCAAGAATTCTTTATAATCCAATAGTCACCCTTTGAATTTGAGGAGTATCCAACAGCCATAACTGCATGATCAAGATTTTGTGAGCTGCAAGCTGGTTCATAGTATATTCCACCTGAAATGATTTAATCAAGATGCTCCTTGTTTTTGATGATACTGATTTGTTATTATTAATGACCACGTGCACCCCCATTTTACAAATGTGAAATGGTCTATTATATGAAACTAACCTGTGTAAAACTGAAGAGATCTGTGACTAGCATCAATTGCTACAGAAATTGGGCCAGTTGAAGCAACTGCTGTCTTGAGAGCGCTTTCTGAAGTCGGAACGTTAGAATATCCTTTCACTTTGGCTCCTACGTATGCAGTATTGAATCTGCAATGTCCTGCCTGCAAAAAATCAGAGGTTAGTAGAGAGCAATAACATTATAATGAATTATGATATTATGTCAAATTTACCTACAGTACATGAAACCCTGGCTAATTGTTTTCAGTCATTACAAATTAGAAGTGAAGGATATCTTGTTGCTGATGTACTTTAATGTGCAGACAAACCTGTGCCTCATAAGGATAAGATTGTTCGGTCTCAATACCTCCCGCTTGTTTAACATATAGGAAACTGTTTGTCATCAGTCCCCCATTGCAACCGTTGTTTCCATAACCTGAAAAATAGAATACCACGGATCAAGAATTTGTTGTTCCTGTTTTGAGTTTGCCCTATGTTAATAAAAAAACTGGAAAGTCAAAATAACTTCAGCTCTAGTTCATAAAGTTTTGGGTGAATTTCTACTGTAAAGTAGAAACTTTTCTGAGACAATAGAGAAACTGACCTTGTCTCACTAAATTCAACCACTTTCCATAATAACAAGAATTGCGCCCGTTCTTTCGTTTTGGCGGACGCTAGATTTCCATTCCACATTTACTATAAATTTAAATATAAGCTCCAATCAGCTCACTTCAATCTTCATGATAATAATATTCATAAATTATGCATCAAATACGGGAAACACTTGAAATTCAGTTCAACTTAACTTGTATCTGTAATTCAAGAAATTATCAGCAAAGGTAAACTATACTCGTGTACACATCAATACACTACGCGTGCCACGTACAAATTGGGCGTATTACCTAATATTAATATTATACATTACATGCATCATATACATTAAAACACAGTCGCGCCGCGCATTCATAGATCACATGCTATCTATACATCACATCTCCGCAAGCAATCCTCGCGCGCGCAAGTTTTTCGTTGCTTGGTAACGAACGGAAGTAAGCAAGGAACACGACATATATTTGACCCACCTACCGCAATCTCCAAAATCCACGTTTTTCTGCAAAAACCTCCATTCGTAACCTTTCACTATTGCCTTTTTACAAAAGGGTGAAATGGAAAAAATACTAACGAATAAAGTTTTTAAAATAATTATATACAACCACTCAAGAATATTTCCTCAAGTTTACTTCTAGTTAACTAATTCGTGGTTTAAGCTCTTATTTTATTTATGATTAAAGGAATGTAAAATAAAACTTATTGTTAACCTAAGTGTTACTCACTAGTAGAACAGTCCATGATTTGTTGTTCACTAAGGCTGATCAAAACATTGTTCTTTCTGAACCACTGTCCTTCAATGGCTCCTGTCTGGAATTATTTACTGTGTAGATAAATGCAAAATTATTTAACAACAAAGACAAATTTAGCTTGAGCAGATTGCTAAAATGTAAAGCTAATTGCTAATGTCACGAAAACTCACGGATGAAAACGAATAGCAAGATCCACACTGTCCTTGATTTTTTATTGGAGTGACAGCACCTTTCGATCTCCAATCAACAGATGATGGAGCTTCAAAGTTTTCTGGAGCAAGGAAAGTAACAGCCTCCTTTTCCATCCAGGCTCTGATTTCGTTTGTGTCATTAACTGATCCAGTCAACATCGTTCTAAACTCTTCATGGGTCTGAAATAGACAATATTGCATGTAAACATGATTAACTATCTAATATGTGAATATTTGTGTATTAATGCATATCTTCAAAAACAAATAAGAACACCTATTGGACATTTTCAAATAGTATGAAAGCATGTTTCTAAGATATTTCTCACCAGATCAGAATATTCGTTGTTTCCGAGTTCCATTGTGGTGTCTTCACGAGCATTGTACTCTGCAATGAACTTCATGTTGTCTACGAAAATCTCCCTCCTGCTAGTTTCCTCATCAGGATGGTAGACCTACAACATGAAAACGAGTATTATTTGTTCACTATTAGCAGACGGACAAACTGTTTTTTAATCCTTATCAACAGCTTTTATCATATTATTTTATGTTTTTAATACATTTCTACTTCTTACTTTGTTGAGTTACTTCTATTTTGATTTTTAAAGATATATATAATATTCGTATCGCTCAATGTTTGATGTTTGCAGCAGACTACAAAGACAACTTTTGCACTCAACTAACCTTGCCATGAGTCTGTTTCCAAGCATTAAACTGGTAAATTGTGGGTAGAGAGCTTGTTACAGCAAACAGTGAGAGTAGGACAACAGTCAGCATCTTCAGGGATGACAATTTAAAGAAAATTACTGATCAAACTAATTACTACATACAATTAACTTATCAAATGAACTAATTGTAGCAATTCAGAATATTATAGGGCCCATAATTTATGATCTTCCTTTCTACGATGTGGCATCACAGTGTGAGTTTAACAAATATTGTTATAGATTGGGCAATAAATTGTGGTTAAATTAAGGTTTAGAGGTCTCGGAAAGATTACATAGCATAGCATACTAGTAAACTGATCACAGAAAAGTTGTTGCTTTCTAACTTGCTCAAACTGTATTGTGCACCACATCCAATTGTTAAACAGCAAAACGGAAACTTAACAACATTTTCTGCTCGTTCGTTATAAGGTAACAAAATTATCCTAGTTTTCATCCACGTGCTTGTTGATAAGGCTTATCTTCTGCAGTACCGTCATGTGGACGTCTCTTCGCTATTTAGCAATGTAAGGTCATCATACTATCGTAATTTGAGACGGTAGGACATGATGTTAGGGTTGTAATTTCATTGCTTCAAAAGCAAGATAATTTGTGGCATTAAATGTCATACAGCGAGTAATCTTTAATTTACATTAAACTGTACTCTAAAGAAAGATATGTTATGAAATCAATTGAAGTTCTGTAGAGATTTGGAGGATTTTCTGTAATTAACCTACTGTACTATTGCTGATTATTATTCTTCTGAACTTCGATTAATTAATATTGGGGCAATTAGAAGACAATGAATAATGAAAAAGAGCTCAGGCTAACTTAAATTGAAAGTGTTTAAATTCATTATCACATACACATTAATTCCGTTGTAATTAAAAACCAGGTATGTTACAGTTTACCCTTCATTCTAGGAGAATTATATACCATAATGCATCTTCCTTAGTGCATTCGACTAGTTCAATGATTTAAAACAATCATTCTCAAATCACTACTATGCTAACGGAGCTTGTTTAAAGTCTAAAATCAAACTATCACATTGGTGATATGGTGCTAATAATAGTCATCATTTATCAGCAAAAGAAACATTTGACAGTTCTTCTAAACAAGAGGATAGCTCGCCATGGAGGCAACTCCACACATGTTGCCGGAGTTTCTTGCCATCCTGATGTACCCACTTTCTCCCCACATATCTCCCCAAGAGTTTTTGACGATCCAGTAGTCTTCTCCATTGTCGCTCCCATAGCCCACTGCAAGAACGGCGTGGTCAAGGTATACTGAACTGCAGTAAGGCTCTGAGTAGATTCCATCTGAAAAATATGAGTCTAGAATTGCTTTGCAAGATATCGTTAACTAATAATTATATTTAATATAAGAATGTGCACGTGATGCCCATATAAGGAGTTATTAATATCATAACATTGTACTCCACTGGCCATTAAATGCTCATTACTGGTACAGTTCGTGAATAAAACAGTATTGCAAGATTTGTTTACCTGTGTAAAATTGGAAGGACTGTTGGCTTGCATCAATTGCAATAGAAATAGGACCGATTGAAGCAACTGCCTGTTTGAGGTCTCTCTCATAGGCCACAACGTTGACGTAACCGGTTACTTTTGCTCCAACGTAACTAGTCTGGTATCGGCAATTATTCAACTGAAAAATGTGGAGTAGTTTATGATGTTCATGATTGAGAAGAAATATAGATGACGCAACATTCATTGTTAATTCTATTTTTTTCTAGTTTTCTGTAAATCTGTACAAATTAAACAACATGTTAAAGGTTTTCATGTGGAGTTTACCATAGCCTCATAGGGGTATCGGTATTCAGTATCGATACCTCCATTGTGTATTACGTAAGCAAAACTGTTTACCATCAGACCACCATTACAACCTTGGTTTCCATAAGCTGAAGAGTTATATATTTTAGACAGTTGTTGATACACATGGAAAACATCTCAACAATATTATTATCCTAGTAGTGAAGATTATCCCGAAGTGAAGATCAGGCTTTTAGCAAGGATACATTTCCAGGTTGCGATCACATTAGTTTATATTTGCAGATTGCAGTATACTAATTATACTACTATCTAAATCTGGCCTCTAATTGTTGATAAGGTGCCCTGCCAACATAATGTTGGCAACATAATAATGATAGCTCAGTTTGTGAACACCCAACATCAATATTTGATAAAATACTAACATCTAATGAGACTTAAATAAAACAAATAATATACCTGTAGAGCAGTCTAGAAGCTGCTGCTCGCTCAAGCTTACTAATGCTCCGGACTTTCTGAACCATTGTCCTTCAATGCTCCCTGTCTAGAATTAAGAAGTTCTTATCTGAGTATGAGTTACAACAGTGAAAGTAGTAGTTTGATTTAAGCACAAGGTAGATCTATGTGACATTGAAGTTTCAAACTTACGCTAGAGAAGGCCCAACAGGACCCACATTGCCCTTGGTCTTTGACATCGGTCACATAACCTTTGTTCCGCCAGTCAACAGAGGCGGGTGCTTCAAAGTTAGCTGGGGGCATGAAGGTAGAGGCTTCCTTGTCGAACCAAGCTTGGAGTTCTTTTGTTGCATTAACTGATCCTGTCATCAAAGTTCTGAACTCTTCGTTGGTCTGTCATGGTGAGATAATTAGAAACTTACTAACATTAATTAACAATACCATTGATTCATAGTTTTGCTCATCTTATTAAATATATACAGAAATTCTCGGTACTTTTCATTTTAAATGGTATATCTATGGTCCAAACCAGGTCAGCGAATTTGTTGAGTCCAAGGGTCATGGTCCTGTCCTTGCGAGCGTTGAACTCCTCAATGTACTTCAAGTTGTTCATGAAGATTTCCATCCTTTTCACTTCCTCCTCAGGTTGATAAATCTGCAAATTGTTTACTTTGTGATGCAAAAATGGAGTGATTTTTAAATTTTTTCATAAATTGTGGCCATTCAAAATCTTTTTCAATCACCCTGTATATCCGTATTAAAAAACGCCCATAATAACTCTTCAACTGGCTTTTAAATTGATTATTTTTTAATTGCGTCAGTGATAAATCCCCTGAGCGATAATTCAGCTACTGATATCACAATTTGTGTCGGTTTACTAACCTTGCCATGAGCCTGCTTCCAGGAGTTGAACTGGTAAATAGCTGGCAGGGAATGAGCCACTGCAAATAAACCAAATACGACCGCAAACAGCATTTCTAGAGGAGAGAGTGGATTGTGAAATTACTGTAGTAAAGTATAAAAGTAGGACATTATTACAACATTACCCCAGCAAAACAGTAGGTTGTAATACAATTACACTATTAAAATAGGAAAGTTGCAATGCACCGTTGAAATACAATTTACATATTATGATAATAGTCATCAGATTATCCAATCTAAAATTTTCTGGGTGTGCCCCAATTCTATTGAAACTCTACCCTTAGAAGAAAAGTCAAACAGATACGCCTCACAGCACCACAAAATAACCCCTAAGTTTACTCTTCCTACCCGCTTAGATCAGGAAGGAAGGAATAAAATGAGGTGTGAGGTCTCTTGGTTTTTACTTAATGTATCGTCTTTAATAGAAATAGTGATCTAAAGGCATTTCGAGTACCTAGCAAACCTTACCTTGAGTACTATAATAGATCACTCCCCGAAGGTATTCACTGTATTCGTTAGTCATCAGCACTATTTCTAGAGAATGATCACTGCAGGGGAAGAAGGGGCGTACCATTGTGTCATACCTCATCACCTTCCCTACCCATTTCTATGGAAATGTTCACCTGATCTACAGCTCCTGAGGAATATTGGGTGAGAACATTTAATGGAAAGGTTGCGTGACAAAGGATTAATAGGGTTATGCTAATTATAAATTACTTCAGTCAACTGCAGTGATCTTAATTAATCTGTGATGGGATTTATCTTTAAAAATAGATTAGGAAAGACTATAATTATTGCCGCTATAGATCTATATAATGACAAGGAGGTGACCAAATTTGTTTTGATACGTTCCAGTCATTCTGGGTTTTCATAATTAAATGCTGAAAGCTGATCAGTAAATCGTGGTGACGTTGTTAACAATGAGCGTAATAAGCCGTTGTGACGTTGTTAACAATGAGCGCGATAAGCCGTTGTGACGTGTCCGTAAACAAAATTGTTTGAGGTTAGTATATCGGTCCTTTCAAGCTAGAGACTACGTTTCTGTAGTCTAGTTCTGTAATCTAATTTATTTAGATATCAAAGTAAAGGTTATTGGGTCAACAGATGCATGATATGATCTCGAATACCTTAGGAGACAGATTTGTGTTGAACACATCTCCCGATCTCCGGAGATAGAAATAATGGTTGTACGAAGTTATTTTCTCTTTAAATTACCAAATATCGTATCCACTTACACATAATTATAAATTATACTCGTCCAAGATATTTTAAAATTAATACCTTACGATAGTTCCAATTTATTACGGTCGTCTAGTTTCTGTGTATAATAACTTACTTCGTATGTACAATGGACTCAGCACTGCAGTCTGCAGCAAGACGAAAGTTTGCCTAATTTGTAATTTCCGGTAAATTGTTGTTCACGTGCTATTATAGTCGCAATGTCTTTGAAGATGATCCAACAATTTACTTTTGGTTCGAATACTATACTTTTAATTCGCTGATTCGAGAAGTCCAAAAAGATTCATCATTAATTGATCTTGTGACAAACGAATCATTGTTATTTCTAATTTCAAAATAAATTGAGGTCATGCATAGCCATTATTTACACTTCGAAACCTGTAATAAAAGTGACGGAATTTTCAAATTAAAGTTTTCGCTACTTTTATAGTCTGTCTTTATTATGTAGATATCGGTAAAACACTGCTTTGATGTCTTCTTAAAACAATGAATGTGTCGAATGCTCCATGAATTCTGCTATCATCGGCATAATTTTTGAATAAATTCCATGGAAACTCACTGGGTACTGCCGGGAAATATTAACGTTTAATAACCATAGCAACTGTGAGGCAATATATCGATTAGTTTATTAGTGTGCCAATTTTTATTATATTTTGTGATGAAATCTGAGATGAAAGTGTTCGTGGCGCTGCATCAAAATGGTTCACTCTTCATAATTTTGTGACTATTGCTGCTACGCGATACTGGTAATTTGTACAAAAAACTATTTTCTTTTATTTTGGGTGTGGATACTGTTGAGAGATTTTGTTATTGAAGTTCTCTTTAGATACGAAATGAATATTTTACTTTTCCTGAAAAATTGTCAGTGATAGAATTAGACTGATAGTATATATAATATAACATATAATATAATAACTACAGAGATTTATCTGGTAAATATTTCGTTTTTCCTGGTAAATCTACCAGAAGTCACTACTAAATATCACACCATTAACCATACTAACCGGTCTCTCTTACAGTAGGTAACAAAATGAACGACGCACTGACCCCTTTCCAGCGAGAGAAACTCTCGAAAGTGTTCAAACAGTTTGACTCTAACGGTGACGGCACCATCTCTTTAAGGGAGTTCAAGATAGCGTGCAGGAGGTTTAACCCTAACATGTCCGCCTCTGAGGTGGAGATGCTGGCAGGACAGGTAGTTCTAACACAGCATCTTGTACCGCTGTGGGTCACGTGACTACCTCGTGTCACGTGAGGGTTCGACTTCCTGGTGTGGTTCATAATTATCAGAAATGCGTTGTCAATTAATTAGATTACGTAAGCGGCAAGAAGTTAATAATTATTGTTTAATTATTTTAATTATGACCGCTCCCCTTTTGTTGAGAAAAGATGTTGCAAAGTACCAAACTAGGGAGTCGAACGGTTCGACTCGAACCTAACAGTATAGTTCTACTTATTCAGTATTTAGTCAACTGAATTAAAACAATGAGTTGTGAAGGAAGCACTAATGAAACTCTTATGTCAATGAAGCACTATTGAAGCACTAATGAAGTACTCATAAAGCACAAGAGAGCACGGAATTACGAGCACAAGTTAGAAATTAGTCTAGCTGAAACATTAAGACATTGTTAAAAAGCACCTATGGACTCTGAGCTCTCTCGTAATTTAAGTAGGGTAACTATACAATGCGTGTACAGAGTACTGACTATTATCATGATTATGTCTAGTTCATGATTATGTCCCTTATGTCTAGTTCATGATTATGTTGAGTTCTCGACCCGTAAGTCTCTTTGAAGACCTTGAGTTTGCACGATCTCGCTCTCCTGTAAACTGGAGATGACATTTAGATTCCAAGTCGGTAATGTCATAATGTTGATATTGTGGGGATACATCTTAAGTACGACAGTTTGTATTGCAGTTACTAGTTAGTCTTGGTCCTCATAATTTGTTTACAATGATCTCGTATTTAAAGTAACGTTTGATTGGCCGACAAATGACTTAGGATAGTTAATGAAAATTAGGCCGTTCTGGTACATTTTGCTCTACCATTTGGGATCCGTTTGTATTTCGTAGCAGACCTGATATTAAACTGACCCCATGCCAAGGCGCACTATGTGTTCCTACCTGCCGTCGCAAGACCGCGCTCGGTTGGAGCAGGCGTTCCGGCGATTAGACCGCAACGGAGACGGAACTCTGACGGTCCGGGAGTTTAAGATCGCGTGTTCGCAAGTTAACCCCAACATTAGTGACCATGAAGTGCGGAACTTAGTGGTGGAAGTAAGACGCCCATTTAACTGATTCCTCACTTTCTCTTCTATTGCAGTTCTTATGTCTCTCTGATTCACAGTGCAGTATACCATATCAGACTGCTTTATTTTCTCTTTATTCCCTTTTCACTTTTACGCAAGACCTCTAATAAACTGACATTGTGAAGGTGTTTTATATCATCATTATATCTGGTACCTTCTATATCTAGTCTGTGTTAAATTACTTTTAAAACGACTTTTTAAATGTCCTATGCCAAGTTTTATCTGAAGGATATGATATCGTGAGATTAAAGGTAGATGATTATTATCCGATGAGCATTAAGGTGGTTTATAAGCCCTAGTCCTTAAGTCCTAGTTGATCAATAATTAATAAACTTTTCTGATGACGTTGTACTTTCTCTGCTGAATAATAACAATTTCTTTAATTTAACTAACTCTTCTAGTACTATTTAGTATTTAACTATTGATTTATCGCTAATATTCTCAATTGCTTACAAATTACTCAGGATAAGAGAAGATCTCTGAACTTTGCCGCTAGCTGACTATGTTGTTAACTGTATTGTATGTGCTGGAAAAGTGCTAACAAAGTGCTAAAAAAGTGCTGGACAAAGTGCTTACAAAGTGCTAGTTAACTCCTTTGCTACTTCTGGCTACAATTCTTAACTTGTTACTCAGGTACAGTGTACACACTGACAATGAAATTTATAATTTGCCTAGTTTCCAGAGATTTATATTATTAAACCAGAGTTGAAGTGCCGACATTTCGTCACAATTTACAATAATTGATCCCATTAGCCGTGGAATTATCCAATCTTTAGCCAAATTTACATCCTGGTTGCTCTAAGCTATTTCTTACACTCCTCCAAGTACACAAACCTCTACAAAATTCGGACAAATGTCGGTTCTTAAGTTACTAAGCAAGAATTAAAAGAATCACCCTAATAACCGGCGTTTCACCCTTTCAGATGGACATAGACGGTAACGGTATGATAGACCTTGAAGAGTTCTGTCTGTGTATGGCGCGACACGTGGCAGCAAGCAGACAGCGCGCCCAACAGCAGCAGTCCGCAAATAAGCCTGCCCTCACTTCCAAGCAGCTCAGAGACGCTTTCAATTACTTTGACAAGGTACATTAATTATCTAATAATTAGTGCGAGAGGTCTAGATGTGTTAGTCCTGTGCACAAACATAACCTTTTTAGTGAAATTAACTGATAGATTTGCCATGATCTGTCTTGATGATGTTCGTAGGTTGGAGAGTGCCATCTTATAAAGCCATATCATGGTTAAGCTATCAACATTCTTTATATTTCGGCCCCAACTCTTCTACTGAGTAGATTGTGATTTTACTCCCTAACAGTACGCCCCCTAACAATAAGAGGCTTCAGAGCCAATCATAGGTGCTGTCTCAAGTCACTTGACTACCTCGGGTCACGTGACTACCTCGTGTCACGTGACTACCTCGTGTCACGTGACTACCTCGTGTCACGTGACGAGTGAGCTGCACCTGATGTGCACAGTTCACTCGTGATCACAAGGTTTTTTTTCCTGCTGTATTTGTATTTACAGTAAAAGCTGCAATATGAGGCGACAATCTCAACTTATAAGATGTTTTTACAACTTTACTGAGAAATGGGCAGTACCTACTGTAACTGAGAAACTTGTGTTGATTATATTATTATGTAACATGGTGTAGTTGGGTATCAAAGCTTAAGATAAGGGATGTATCTCACTGAATCTCGTATTGGGTCCAGCTACAGTTCAGTACTGCCTGCACAGGGACAAAAGGATTTCGCGGCGATTTTGGCCAAAAATATAATAGTATATTAAACTACACATAAAATTTGTCGCAAATAATGGGAAAAATCGCGATTCCGTACATGCCGCGATTTCCTTTTGTCCCTGTGCCTGCAGTGTACGCTATTCAGAAGCTTCCAGTGTAGCCTAAAAACATTTTCAAGTCTAAATCTTAACGTCCTACCCTACAATTACAGTTTGATAAAAACGTACATTATGTACTCCAGATCACTTTCAATGCTGGTTTAACTTTTGACTTTTGGATGTTCGACTCCTAAAATCCTGATTTGAAAGTTGTGACCAGGTATAGGCCTTGAACTGACGCAACAACTCAATTATAGATAGTTCGATAATTGTATATCTGATTTTACTAGCCAATGTTCTAACATTAATGAGTAACAAAGGTCGGGCTTTCCCACCACTCATTTCCTTTGATGCAACTCTTTGAGCAATACCAGGTAAAAGTAAGTAAGTAAAAGTCCAGGTTTCCATAGCATCATATGCACATTATCTGGCTCATGTTATCTGATGTTGGCGGGTAATCTGTATGCGGTTTGCTTTGGTATGCTAAATATGTATGAAGCCTAGCATTCTGCACAAATACCACAACATGCCATTTGCCAACCTCTCTAAACGCCGATTAAAAAGCTATCCAGCTAATTTGTACCTCCTCACCTCACCAGGCCGCTCTCTTCTCTTATGAAGTGAAAGTGAAATTCACCAGCGTAAGTGAAAGTGAAATTCACCAGCGATGAAGTGAAAGTGAAATTACCAGTTTAACCACATTGACCACCTCTGAATACTGCATTCCAGGAATTTTCAACATTCTCCGAAGAGCAGGCCTACAAACCACTACTGTATACTCAATATGCACTATGTTATTACCAGATGTCACGTGACCAAAAGGGCGTGTGCTAAGTTATAACAGACATACTGTCTACCTCAACCACATAACACAGCCTCTATTAGTGGTTCTGTTGCGACGGTTTTGGGTAGTTAACGTTATCATAATCTAGTAATTAGCCAACTGTCATGTAATTATGCAATTATCTGTAATTATCTGCCAGACATGGTATTTATTTGTCTGATACAGCATATGATTCAATGTATTCAAAATACTAAGGTATTAGTTCACGTCTGTATAATTAGTCCACGTCTGCTACATGGATTCAAATCGGATAGATCATTGAGCATCTTGATAATTTTCAACAAATTTTAAGTCATTGATTTGATATGAGATATCATTAAGTGCTAAAGTTGCATTTATTCTAAATTATTGAGAGAAATAGATTAATCTCAGGGCCAGTCTTACTTTCCGACGGAACTATCAAAATTTTAGAAATCTGAGATCGCGATTATAAAATATTGTTTTGGTACTGCAACTGTATCAGTAACATAATATTAACCCAAAGTCTGCGGTAAATCGGGGTTTTACTGTAATGAACCGACTCCCGTATTTTTGTTGGAAGATATTAAATTATAAAATTATTGTCCGTCAAAAATAAATAGGCAGATAAAAACTTTCCCACCTCCTAACACATGACATGTAAAAGTGGCCAAATGTCTGGAGATAGTGTAATTTAAGTAAAGCGGAACGTATTGTTCAAATCTGTAGAACTAAAACTTTGCTTATCTGCCAAGATAACAAATTAGATTCCTTTTACTTTGTTATACCGGTACTACAGTCAAAATTTCATTAAAACCATACACTTTAGAACTGACTCTACCATCTGGCAAATTTGCTTGGTGGGTGGTGTTCGTCTGAAAAAAAGCGTACACTTTATTTATTTTAAAGTAGAAAAACAACAATATTTACGGTCTAATTTATACACTATGTTACCGCTTCACCAGTTATCGTACCCATCATTAAAAAAGTTGATTTTTTAAACGCTGTTTGGTTTCAATAAAAAAAAAACATACATTTAAATTTAGGGAATAGGTTAAAGTAGAAGTTAGGAGCCTAATAACTCAATAACTCAATAAATAGGAGTTAGAAGCCTAATAACTCAATAACTCAATAAACAACTGTCAGGATAAGAGTGGGACAATAAGTCAGACAGAATTACGCCAGGTGATGCAAACTCTGGGAGTAAAGTGCAATGACACAGAGTTTAAAGCCATGCTCGTCAACATCGACACTAATGGAGATGGGGTGATCGACTTTGAAGAGTTCTCGAAACTTCTTACTTCCTTCATGTAACCTCTCTTACACACTTGAAGGAGATGTACTACATATTACGATATAATGTTTTCTTTGCTGTATGTTTAACATGATGAAATGTTTTGACGGCTTTCAGCGTAGACTGGAACTTGAATGATCGAAGAATGAGCTGAAAAACAATCTTGAAAAGTGTAAAATACAAGTGAAAAGTGCAAAATATGTAAAGTACAATTAATGTAAATAAACTCTACTGAAATTAAAGATTATCGTAGCGTTTCATATCATATTTGAACGTTCGTGAAACTCATCCAAAATTATTGTGCTATTTAAGTTTGTTTGAAATACTTGTTATTCATACAGTTCAGTATGATATACCTTGATTATTTGAAAATTGTTACTACTATTCAAATTCTGATTCAACTTCGATTGCGCAAGGGAAATCAACTCATTTAAACTCTAATTTTGTAATGATATTGTTTATGTTACTGCAAGGAAGATAAGCCTTGTCTATCTTAACAACCCTCTATTTACCTTTCAAATCTCATCTACCTGTTCTCAGATACTCAGACTGTTCATTATCATATTAAACGACTGTACAAAACATTTGAATTATTCAAAACTCGTAATTAAGATTGTACAAAACATTTGAATTATTCAAAACTCGTAATTAAGATTGTAGGAATGAAGGAATGTAGGAAACATGTGGATGATTCGGAAAAATGTTCAAATTGATGAGGTGTGGTCGTAAAGTAAGTGAGTAATTACTGGGCTGTCTCGTTAAAGTGGGACCTACACATTCCTAGTTATTAGTGGTGATTATGTTTATTACAAACGTCATATCACCCATACACCACTTATGTTTATGTTGAAGTGGGGCACCTTGACGTCATGATGCGCCTCAATTCTTACACCGGATCTTGTTGCCCCAGCTCCGTCGCTTGACAATTATTCTTATGTCAATCGGCAAAGTCCGGGATGCCCCAAATGTATCGACAGCAATGTAGGTCAAAGATTTCGAGGTGAATCAATGACCCTAACTTTAATACTTAAATTTCAAGTATATAATGATTATACGTGTTTTAATATAATGATATGTGTTTTAAGTTTTAACAATAACGACCTAAGACCATTTCGGGAGACCCTGGCGCAAATGGTCTGGGTGATTCTGACGCAAATTAATTCCAAATTAGATCCCGGTCTAATTATGTAAATACTATGAACTATCTGATAAATTTTGATCAGTCAACTTGGCGACTACAATCGAACCCCGATTGATCAGGATCTTAACAACTAAATATTCTCTTAATTACTGAATTTACAAGTGCAATTAAAAAAGAATTAGTGTCACCCTCCTGTATCTCGGGGTTTGACTGCAACAAACCTTTTTTATTTCCACCTGTTGAAATTATTTTTTGTAAACGAAAACAGCAATAGCATGTTCAATTTTGTTAACTTCAGTTAACTTACAATGTTAGGTTAAAAACCTAAAATGTAAAGTATGTGTATTTTGAAGTATGGTTTAATTCGTGACAATATATCAAGAAGCACCTACCTAGCGGCTAGGATCGTACAAATTTACTTTTGGATTTCTCATTTTCTATTGACACCGAATAAGTTTAACGGGTTAATAGAAAATATGTACACATTTAAAGTAGCTATTTGTTAAAGTCGCAGTATGAAAGTTAGAAAATCTTTGATGTTTAATTTGAATAGCAGATTGAGTTTTTGTCAGAATATAATGTATAGATTGTTGATAACTTATGAATATTGAAAATACAATTTTCTTTTGTTTTCTTCACGAAATCGTTTGCAACCTTGAACTAAAGCTTGAGCCTTACATTTTGTATAATACTACACAACTTCACGTCTCAAATTGAGATTCTTAAAGTTTCAGTTTTCATTCAGGAAGGTTATAAGATAGAGAAAAGGTTAAGATTATATTTGAGCACAATTTTCATCAATAAATAATCCTATGACTACTCTACAGAGTCAGTAAAGAATTTATTTCTGTCAAAAATTTAAATTTAAAGATAATCCCAGTCAGACAGCAGAATGGAACTGTTGCCACATGTCATTATATTGGGACTGGTTGGATTTATAGTGACAATCAGCTGGAGTCCTACTTCTAGTCTCTTCTCCTGGCATCCTACACTCATGTCTGTCGCTGTAAGACATTCCTCAGCTTACATTCCTATTGATACTTGTATAGATAATATCTATAGGCTTTTTGTCAGTAGTAACGTTCTAGAAGTTTAAAGCTTTAAAGCAATGTATCTTACACTAGTCTCAAACACAGAATTTTGTAAAACAATAAAATAATATGATCAATAGTTCCTAGGCCTGCAGTGCGAGTCGATATTGCTGTTCCATCCCAGATTTAGTCCTGTGACTAACCATGCTCTTAGAGTGAAACTACATCAGATTTTCCAGGTATTGTTATTCATCTTTCTAACTTTTTAAAACTCCTCCCCTATTGAGATTTAATGCTTTAATGACTAATCATTTATTTTATTTTGGTCGGTATTTTGAAAATTATCCCTCTAATTTTATTCACTAACCTTCTAAAATGTTCCTGTAAAATGATAATTTCATCACTTAGAACCCTGCAAAAGTCCTCAGTAAATGCAAATTTAGAAAAGTTGCACGGAGGGAAGGAGGAAATTTGACCCACCTTCCACTAGTAAATAGATAATCAATAAATGGTCTTGTAAGAACATCGGTTAGCTTTTGCTGCTGTGCAACTATTTTTGTATGGGATCACAACAAGGCCTCTTATCATGTCTGCAACCACTCACAAACGGTTCCTTAACAAAGAGTTGGTTCCCAACGTTTTCGGTTGTGTTTAGGCGACCTTAAACGTGTTTAGTAAACTCTGTACCTACTCTTGCTTGTTCAAAATCCCTTGTAGACCGACAAATATGGGATTTTACAGCTGTTACCACCATTCTAGATTTGTGGACTGGTGTCTAGAATAAGCATTTTCTTTGATAGTAAAGTATTTTAAGGCAGTTACCAGTACGTTTGTGACGTAAACTGTCGTCTGGTAAAACTATGTCAAAGGATAGCAATATCGGTAAGATGTGATGACGGTGGGTGTGGCAGACTGGCAATGACTGGATCCTCAGTTGGTCCAGTTAGTAATGCTCAGTTAGTTGAATTATTACATATTTGAAAACGTTGGTAGAACTGAGGTGGATCCATGCTACTGTTCTCCACCCTACTACTATACACTATACAGCTTATTTTTGAGCATGAAGATACTCGTTCCTGCAAATATTACAATTCTAAAATCTCCAATTCAGGCTCCCATATGGTCTTGATATGGCTTCACAGGACGGTTTATCTTTACCAACTGCCCTGAGATACATAATAACTACGTAAATCAACCAATTACTTAATCAGCTAATTATCTACAATGAGTCCTGCTGACTCAGTACTGTATACTGTGAATTCCCCTAAAGACCTGCAATTCTATAGTTCTATGGCTGTTCTGTAAATTAGCAGCGCGGTTCACGGTATATATGGTGCTCTCCTTAAATCTAGGAACTAACCGGACTACCAGCAGAGTTCATGTTTCCCGGAATTGTAATACTGAGCACTCTAATTTACTACTCTTGTAATCAAACCGGTCCCACTGTCTGATAGCTGACTATTAACCCCATTCATTGTCGTCATTCTGTACCTAATTAGACTAACGGCAACGCTAAAAGTAGGTATAAATGCGTATTACGAGCATTATAGAGGAGTATGACGTGCACTAAAGGATTCCAATATATTGCTGACTACAAAACTAAGTAAGGGGTCGTTCGACGTTCACATAAATTTATATAATCATTTTTTGGAACATTTTCACCCCCCCCCCCCCCCCCTCCGTAATCAGTTTTACTCATAGCAATTGTGTCAAAATTACACTAGCGTAATCATTCGGAAACCACCCTCCCCCCTTCAGCTGATTACGTAATATGTGAACGACCCTTAACGAGAAATTACTTTAACTAATCAAACAGAATGCTATCGTCCGAATCAGATTGTTAAAATAGGAAGATTGCAGTCCTATTTTTAACACGGAAACTTTCAGATAGTTGGTTTTGTGCTTGGTTCGATTGGAATGGTGATTATCTACATTTTAAAGGAGAACGCTGGGAAGCCTCACATTTCTAGTTGGCATGCTCTATTCGGACTTAGTGCTATGATACTGACCCTTATCCAACTTGTCGGTGGACTTCCTTTAATTTACTCGCAGGTAAAGAATATCGAAATAAGGATTTAATTTACATTTGGCTCTTTAAGCTCCTATCATTCTAAATATTATTTCTATAGTAGATCATTATATCTGATGAAGGGCGTTGACCACATATTATAAAGTTATAATACCTTCATTTCAATACTAACTACCGGTATACTTCTGACATAATGTCAATGACCAAGCACGATAGGAAGGTAATAGAATACCCCCAAACTAAGTACAGAGTTGTAACCTGTTGTAACCTGTTGTAACCTGTTGTAACCTGTTGTAACCTGGCCAACGAGATTTTAGCGTGTTCCACGGTCACATTCATATTATCTTTCAGATAAGAAAGATATTACCGATGAGCAAGTCCTTGGGTGAACTGAAGCGGAAACACGCTCAGATGGGACTGATAACTGTGATATGTGGTCTCACTACTGTTGGTTAGTACAGATTGAGTACTCCAAACCTCTAGGCGATGTTTTCTTTATATTTGTGACACATTTGTGACACGCCACCATTAATGGCTTCTGGCACGCTCGCCCTTATCTATATCTGATCGTTTTAGAGTGGTTCAGTGTATGTGTTTGGTATTATGATTACAGTAGTTGCCAGTGGCGTAACGTTGCCTGTTGGCGCCCCCCTGCCAAAAAAAGCGCCCCCTCCCCTTTTGGTGCCCCTACCTAAAATTGAACAAATTAGGTGATTTTAAAGAATACGCCGGTAAAATCTCTAAAAAAGTGTGTATCTAGAGCAAAACGCGCAGTTTTGCTAGTACTTTAGTTAAGTTTTCGAAATTGTCCCACATTCAAACGACGATTTGGCGCCCCCCTAAGACGGCGCCCCCCTGCACAGCGGGGTCAGCAGGGCCTTTCGTTACGCCACTGGTAGTTGCTATGAAGGTAAACCAATAATATTAGATGATAGATCGTAAAGTAAACCATCTTAAGAAAATTAGGGGTTTTTACTGAAATGGTGACGCAGCTTGCCCCCATCTTTATCTGAGCTAATTACTTGCTCAATTCTCGATAGTCAATTTCAATCATAGTTGTTCAATCATAGTTACCATAGGTCGATAATTAGCGAATTACAAGATAGGGGCTGTGCCACGAAAATTGTGAACACGTCTTCCGGGTAAATATCAAAACGGTCTACTGAAAATTTTTATGGATTACGCGGAGTTATGTTTAATGATTTAATGGCGCTCAAACCACGTGGCATTTTAGCGCGCAGTCAGGCGCGCAATTGCATGCTCTTATATTTGATTCATCGATTCGCGGTTAAATTTTCCTTCGATTGTGATTCGCTTTACAGATTTAACTCAACTGAATTCAGTCACTGTTAGTTAAATATCAACTTTCTATTTAACAGGTTTGGCGTTCTACAGCAACTGGTTCATTAAGAAAGAGTTTCACCGAATCTACCAGAATGTGGCATTTGGAGCTGTTACAACAATCATCGGAGTCCTTTTCGCTCAAGTTTATCACGGCCGACTGTCAGTCGAAAATCAAAACTGAGTTTATATGATAGGAGTGATGTTAAGTTATACACAATGACAGTATTTTCTTCGGCAATTTTTCACGGAGACAGAGTTTTATAATTTATATTGTTATAGGCTCGATATTTACCTTTTACATTCATTTATAAAAGAAGTTTGTTATGTCAGATCTTGTTATGGGGATTCTGTCATATGATCATTGTTTTGAATTCGATCTTATAATTAATGTTTTCTTAACTATGCATTTATCACTGCTTCCAATGAAAGCTTAAGGCTTCTTTCTTCAAACTGATAGTTGCTATGGAATAACGTTGTGGTTTCCAAGCGCCTACTATAAAATAGCACGTGCAGTGAGATTCGTCAAATTTCAGTATTTAGTGCAGTGTGTACCGACAGTTTCTTGGTGCTACGCAATCTGAAACCGCTATGGCTGACGGAGGTAAATATATAATCCTATTTGTTTGATATTATTTTAATGTTTTGACATTATTATTTTAATGTCTTTGCATCTGTTCCCGGTTTGCAGATGCACTCTCTGATTCACCCACTGAGCAGATATAGGTGCTATGCAGCTGCAGACAGCTAATCTAACACCCTTCAAACTTTGTTACAGCTGTAAACAACAGATCTAAAAAGTCTGCCAGTCCTCACAATATGTTAAGCCCCACTAAAATGCCTAGTCCTGATGATAGAGACAGCTATCTGTTTTCCCCAACCAAAGCTTTCTCAAACGTCTCCGAACTGTCACTCGGGACTTTATTAAAGTCAGACCCAGGGACTCTCCTGCAGGTCCTAGACGACAATCTCCACGAGATCCTAACATTAGACCCTGAGTTGGAGAATCATTTAGATCCTGTACCACTGTTTCCTGGTTCTGTGAGTCTAAAAGATCTCAACGATTTCTATGGGATGATGGAATGTGAAATTTTCTTTAACTACATGAACCTCTTCCTTAACTTACCCATCTTTGGAAGGTAGGACCTTTATGATTACAATAATTCTAAGCTTGTCAAATTGTTGTTGCAATGACCCATTCTTTATACACATGGTGATTCAGTGCGTGTCACATGATTAACACAGCGATCTATTATTATAAAGTCCATAGAAACCTGATCAATCCATTAAATCGACGAACTGGTATCCATTTATCACATATATATATGTATAGCTGATATGTATATAAAAAGCTCCCTTTTACTTTGGGTATGAACTATGATCGTTTATATCTTTGACTAAATCGTCAATTTTGTAAGCACAAAATGAAGAGCTCTGGTGAGAGTAAGCTTAAAATAATATAAAATATGAACCTGGCCCAATTTTTGTCAGGCGGATGACCTATCAAACAGGTCTGCGACAATTCTCCCTCGATCCGCCCCTGAAGAGAAGAAAATTCAGAATTGATCACGGGATGGTGACCTCGTGGATTGTTGTGAATCGCCTCCCTTATTTTCTGAAGAGCTCCCTGTACTTGGAGTATCGGTTTAGTTACGAGCTATTACACGGTCTGTTTTATCTCTCTGCTTCTATTCAGCACCTTTTGTCTTTTCAGAAAAGTCTTTTTATGCACAAAAAAATGCGGGAAGTATAGTTTTCACGCCTAACTCATCATTATTGGCTAAGAAATAGATAAATGTTTATTTATTTCAGATTTGTCATTTGACGGGAGATCTCTTCATCTAGTGCTGGAGTTGAAGGGACCGATTGGGGTCAACCGTTTCAGAATATTCCTTGCCAGTCGGGACCTTGCCAAACTTGTTTCTTTCTGGATGGATTGTGAGAGATTTCAACTTCTGAGCGATGATAAATCTAGAAAAGAATGTTTTAACGCCATAGAGATACTTTATCTTAAGGTTAGAATTATTAAGTCAGACAAGTCCGTGCAATTTCATATCTCTACTGAGAATATCCTGAAGCTAACACACGTGTAATTCCATATGGAATATTCGTGCTCTTCAGATAATGGCTAATGCCATCTGTTGTTACCCATTACTGCAGTTCTATAATACTATACCAACTTCTCCAGTACGGTTCAAGATTCGAATTACCGGAAACGATCAGAGAAGGAATCATGGGTAAGATAGAGAAGGAACCGGTTTCTAGTATTGTAGAGGTGATGGTACATGGAGTGCCCCTGCTGGAACGGATCAAGAAGAAGGAGGTCGATAAAATAAAGAATTTCGAAATAGTGGGATTTCTCCTCAAAACAGCGCAGGAAGAGGTACACACTTCAGTGATACGTAGAGTTTCTAAACAATATGCAAATACGTAAACGTATTTACAATTAATGATTTCTGAACGGTTTTTCCAGAAAACCTGCAATGATTGTATCTTAAATTCAATGAAATACTACCGAATTTCTGACGCATCTCTTTTTTAAAAGGAGCGATTTCTGGACAGCCATTAATCTTTTAACACCCAAACTATTCTAGTAGCAGGGCATAGTTGAGTGTGCACGTTGTGAAGGCCATGTCAGGGGTAAAATACTTGATTGCGTTCAATTTCAGGTAATGACATTTCTAAGGAACTACTGGATTCCTCGGTACTTTACTCGAAATGGGTCGCCCTACACTGATAGCAGACCATGTTCACAGAGACAATGCAAGGTATGTTTATCAAATCAATCAAATTATCATATAAAAACATTGGACATAAATCAATTTCAAAAGATCTATAAAGTAATAATTTTTCACCAGCAAACACTGAACGAATACTGAAAATTAAATTATGGTTTTCATTGCTGTTGTTTCTTTTTCAGTCACATCTGATCTGGGGGATTGACCACAAGGCTCCGGCTCCAGAACCAGTCAAATTGATTGGCTTCTCTGGACAAGCTCCTAACGACTTCGAGTCTATTGGGGAGCGGATACAAGCACAGCAATCTCAAATAGCACAAGGTAGGTGTGGTTTAATTTCATAACTTATATTATAGTCCCTTCTCTTAGTTCTTGAATCACAATTTTTGGCTCAGGGATATCTGGTTCCGATTCCTTTCACAAGATAGACAAAAATTATCGATAGGAAAGCCGGTTAAGTAACGTTACTTGGCTATCAACTTTCATCTGTAGACTTTTTATAATACCCCTCCTGAAAACGGTTTTGTTTGGCAATCCCCGCCTTCAAGTTCCAATCTGCCACCTTCTCCACATACCCATAACCCTGCGAGCCAGGTATCTCCCCTGATAAATCATGAGTTTATGAAAGAGCGAGGTGGGGATGAAATACCACATAGCCCTCATGAGATAGTTAGCAGGTTTAGGGAAGGTCCAGGTGGAAGGTCTTGTGAAGTAAGCCTGAACAATACCCCCCGCACAGTCCTCCACACTACCACTCACACTCTTTACTGGCAACACATCGTCCTTCATCAGCAACTCCATGTCTCCAGTCCAGATAGGACCCAGAGCTCCTATAGTCAGTGACACTGGAGACTCTCTTGCTAACAGTTCTTGTTGTAGACTGTAGAAGAAGCCGTTAAGAGCGTGTTTTGAGGAGGAATAGAGGTGGATACCGTAGGTAAAAGGTAGCTCCCCAGCTATAGAGGATGTGACAAACACGTGACCAGAGCTTGCTTCCAAGTACGGCAGTGCACTTACTGTTATCTGTATCTGACTCAACACATTCACTCTGAACACTTTCTCTATGAACTCTTGTTCTTGTTGGTAGGGGAAGGCCAGAAATGCGCCGTAAAACATGGCTGCGTGGTTCAACACCAGGTAGTCTAGTTTACCGAACCTCTCGATAGTTCTCTCAACTACAACAGCACTATCAGCTGCATTAGATAAATCAAACTGAATAATCTCAACGTTAGCTGCCCCCCTTGCCAGGGCCCCTTCCTGAACCCTGAGTAACTTGTCTCTGGTCCTGGCTACAAGGACTAAGTTAGCTTGCTGTCCAGCTAGTTGGTAGGCCAGCTCCTCACCGATACCACTACTAGCTCCACATATGAGGACTACAGTACCAGGAGGGAGGGGAGGGAGGGGTGAGAGGAGGGGTGAGAGGAGGGGGGTGAGGTACACAGTCAGCAGACATACTGCTACTGCACCCACCAGTCTTAACCATCTCATTCTAATTAATCATCACAACCTGAACAACGTTCACAAGATAAATTAGAAACTTGAACAATAAATATAGAATGAAAATAAATAATCTCCACGACTCTAACAGAAATGCTACAGAGAGCGCAAAGTACAAATACAATAGCACTATCATCCAGGACAACACATAACATCATGTGGGAACTCACGTCAGCTCATATTGCCACTTTTTACCACGTTCTTTACAAGGCTTAAATGTTAAGTAAGTGTAATATTACCCGCAATTTCTACGGAGCCATGTAACTTAATGCTTTAAATAGACTAAACCTTTCTTGATAATATATAGTGGCGAGCTGGAGTCAATCATGTTGTTGTTAAGTTAAAAGACAACTACATTTGCTACAATACCGGGATATACATCGCCAGCAACGCACCAGAACTAATTACTAGATACTGGGTACAGTATACAATATACATTGTTTACTAACGTTATGCACTATACATTGCACAATACACAAGCTCTCACTAGCGAAACATCAATGTGGCTAACCGTAACTAGTTGGCTGCAATATTCAAATCAACAGAATACTAAAATATAAAAAGAAGCCGCAAATGTGATAAGAGACACCGTTCAAAGGGGCTACATGACATAGTTCCATCACACCGCGAGACAGATTATTAGAATTAGGGTGTTTAAGACTACAAGGTAAGACTGCCCGCCAAATATTATACGTAGGTACTTGGTACAAGAACTCATTGGCAGTTGTACCTACCTATATTATTATTATCATACGGAGAAAACGGCTAGCATTCTTAGGGTCTCACAACACGACAAACATTAAACATGAAACAGCCACTACTATACCGGCACCGCTACTAGTAGTAGTACTACTATAATACGCCTTAAATACTGCAAAACGTAATACAACGGTAAACTTGTACACTGGTATACAGGTAAAATGTTAAACTCGACTATGTGAGTCAAATGTACAAGTCAAATGTACAAGTCAAATGTACAAGTCAAATGTACAAGTCAAATGTATAAGTAAATTGTATGTAAATATGACTACAGAGATAATATGCAATATCCACAGGCGCTCTAAATGGATTATGTGAATAATATTGTTACATCTGTTATGTGAATATTATTGCTACATCCGTTCTGCATGCTCTAATTTTATTGGGGGGCGGGCCGGGCCGTAGCTATTCGTTTGAGAGATAAAACCGAAATGTATCATAAGATAACAAATTTTCGACAAAGAACATTTTTGTTGGCCCAGTACAAGAAGCACTGCGCTATAAGTGGGTAGCCACAGAAATACTAAGTAATATTCTTACATCTGGGCATGATCTCTCGCATTATTTTCGTCTGCAAATAAGATAGCATGAAGGTGACGCACGTTTACGTAATTCTCATCTGTAGAAATTCAATAAATCGAAGCCCGTTTGCCAGTTGACTGGTTTGTGCTAAACCAGCCACTTATTGCAGCTCTGATGACTTGACATACTGCAAAGCTATGTTGAACTTTTAAATCAACCAGAAAACAACTTCTCTCCCGGGAATATTACTAACCACACAGCAGAGTTTCACGAGATCACCAGAACACAGAGGAAAATGAATGTGACCAAGGCAAAATACGATTAATTTCCGCTAACAGTAACTAAGAGAGACACCCAACCACATAATTCCCTTAATTTGATTAAGCACTGTAAGATCTAATATAAGCCTGTGTGCCATTCTGGAGTTTTTCAAATAAATAAAATACAGAATAATCGTTAATCGTTATCGATTCCTTCTGTCGTGGTTGATTGACAATATGACACATGTATTGATTGACAATATGGCACATGTATTGATTGACGATATGGCAAATGCATAATCGGTTTGCTTTAACAAAAACACGTATTGAGGTCCGGAGCCAGTAATGAGCTAGTTTACGGTAGAGATCATCCCTTAAATAGTCAAAATGGAGAACCAGATAATCTGATAGTTGAATGTAGTACACTGTCACATTGGGCCTTCCTCGGTCGAAATTAATGTTACAGCTTCCATCACAGTCTTCGTCATACAGATGTAGATACTATTATCCTAATCAATCACGCCTCATTTGTAGAGTTAAGAAGGTATCAAAATCAGAATCAATCAATTATCTAAATAGTTAAAAGTGGTACTTTTCTTATCCAGTTACATACTAAAATGTAGTCATTAAAAAACCTTTAAAAGCTGTAATCATCCTCTACCTCACAGGAAACTTGCCTAATTCAGACATGTCTTCAATCTGGAATTTGGACCTGTCAAAGAAAGGCGTCAATGCAAAACGTAAAGAAAAGAAAGCACTCAAGGTAAGAGTTATCTTGCAAAGCAAATAGTAAGATCTTATAAACGCAAGCGATCATGAACCAATTAATTCTGTTCAATACCATTTTTCAATTTGCGTGTTCTAACGTGATCATTAAAGCTTTGATACCTGCGTCCTGTACAGTACATGATGCTCGCTAACGCTGGACACAGGGGTGTTTGAAAAGTGTGAAAACAGCTTTATTGGGTTTTTTTTAAGCAAATTACTAACAGAGCGAGAAAGAAAGAACATAATATACCCGAGTTATTAGGTGCTGAGAATCTTGTAACAGAAATAATATTTTGACTTACTCCAGTAATTTTATATCGCCTTCAAAACCAGTTAACGTTACTCAAAGTGTAAAATGGTGTATCGATGGCGAGAAAGACGAATGTTTAACATGTTTTTTGTAAACATGGTTTACGGACAATTCTTGTGACGAGAATAACGATATGTCCCTACTATCCATCAAACGAAAGAAACATTAAATTCTTTAAAATTTAATCCGATAATATCATGACGGTAAACCATCAAACTCCCTTTTCAGAAGTACACACTATTCGAACAAGCTCGGAAGAAGAGCATGATGCCACGTCCCAGTACCCTCGGGGAGGGGATGGGAAACATGTTTTCTCAGCAGTCTCTTTTAGCTGGCAGGTTGGTATGTTGTAAACATGTTTTCTCAGCAGTCTCTTTTAGCTGGCAGGTCAGTTTGTTATAAACATGTTTTCTCAGCAGTCTCTTTTAGCTGGCAGGTCAGTTTGTTATAAACATGTTTTCTCAGCAGTCTCTTTTAGCTGGCAGGTCAGTTTGTTATAAACATGTTTCTCTGCAGTCTCTTTTAGCTGGCAGGTCAGTTTGTTATAAACATGTTTTCTCTGCAGTCTCTTTTAGCTGGCAGGTCAGTTTGTTATAAACATGTTTTCTCAGCAGTCTCTTTTAGCTGGCAGGTCAGTTTGTTATAAACATGTTTTCTCAGCAGTCTCTTTTAGCTGGCAGGTCAGTTTGTTATAAACATGTTTTCTCAGCAGTCTCTTTTAGCTGGCAGGTTGGTATGTTATAAACATGTTTTCTCAGCAGTCTCTTTTAGCTGGCAGGTTGGTATGTTGTAAACATGTTTTCTCAGCAGTCTCTTTTAGCTGGCAGGTCAGTTTGTTATAAACATGTTTTCTCAGCAGTCTCTTTTAGCTGGCAGGTCAGTTTGTTATAAACATGTTTTCTCAGCAGTCTCTTTTAGCTGGCAGGTCAGTTTGTTATAAACATGTTTCTCTGCAGTCTCTTTTAGCTGGCAGGTCAGTTTGTTATAAACATGTTTTCTCTGCAGTCTCTTTTAGCTGGCAGGTCAGTTTGTTATAAACATGTTTTCTCAGCAGTCTCTTTTAGCTGGCAGGTCAGTTTGTTATAAACATGTTTTCTCAGCAGTCTCTTTTAGCTGGCAGGTCAGTTTGTTATAAACATGTTTTCTCAGCAGTCTCTTTTAGCTGGCAGGTTGGTATGTTATAAACATGTTTTCTCAGCAGTCTCTTTTAGCTGGCAGGTCAGTTTGTTATAAACATGTTTTCTCAGCAGTCTCTTTTAGCTGGCAGGTCAGTTTGTTATAAACATGTTTTCTCAGCAGTCTCTTTTAGCTGGCAGGTCAGTTTGTTATAAACATGTTTTCTCAGCAGTTTCTTTTAGCTGGCAGGTCAGTTTGTTATAAACATGTTTCTCAACAGTCTCTTTTAGGTGATCATGCCAATTTGTGACGTTCATTTGATAATAGTTAACAAGTCAAGTAATTGAGACACAAGATTTGTAAAATATTCGATAATAAGTGGCGTAGGCCTTATAATGCTTGCTGCAGAAAGTAATCAAATATTCGCAATTGTTCATAAAAGAATAAAGTCTAGCTTGCAATTATTATCAATTATGTAGCATATAGCATATAGCATATAGCATATAGCATATAGCATATAGCATATAGCATATAGCATATAGCATATAGCATATAGCATATAGCATATAGCATATAGCATATAGCATATAGCATATAGCATATAGCATATAGCATATAGCATCTAGCATGTAGCATGTAGCATGTAGCATGTAGCATAAAGCATAAAGCATAAAGCATAAAGCATAAGCACAAAGCACAGTACGAAATAGAGACACCGTACAACCTCTAACCCTTAATAAACTCTGCCGGAATACTATTTGGGAAATAACCTATGTATAAATTGTGCACACTAATTTGATAATTTATAAAGCATTTACTGTCTCCACAACCAGTTGAATACACTATGGAATGCCAGAATTGTGAAAAGCGTTTTCTGTTACGTTAAAACCTAGCAGTACAACTTTTATAAACAAAATTAAACGCGAAAGAAACTTATTTAAAAGCCAGATGGCTACGATGCCCGAGTTGACTCCAATCAACATAATAATTACCTCCAGGCTGGATGTGATCCCGTTCGCCCATTCCAGAGGACTAAAATATTCCGTCCAGTTTGGCAGATCTACTGTACTGAAATTTGTCTCGGAAATCTTTGTGAGAAAAATTCGTTTACCGACAGATTGTGATTGAGCCTGATGACCAAACTGACTGAATCCCTTAACTCTGAGAACTCCCTCCTGGTCGAGATAAACCACCAGGTCTGGCAGATTATATCTTGTTAGCTCCACTCGCCCCTCCAGTAACTTGTACCCTCCATCGGATTCTAGTACTTGTGTCATATTAAGGGCATCTGATGGAAGCAGGGTTGTGTGCACAGCGTCCATATAGAAAGACATATTCTGATTACCACAATTGTGAACACTGCCCTGCAGTTTAGAAGTAAGGAGAGCAGTGTTGAAGTTGTTGTTTCTGTACCAACCTACCTCATTAACGTTCCATTCCTCTAATGAATTTATATTAGCGCTTAAGAGCGTGGAATTATACTTGAAATACCAAGTCGGTTTTACAAGTGCTCGAGATAAAGTCCGTTCATCAGAAATAACTTTAAACGTTTCATTTTGGAAGAATTCATTTTGAAAAGTCGCCTGGAAATACGGTTTTCCCAGTTTCACTGCTGTCATCTGAACTCCAGATTCTAGTTCGGAAGTGCAGCACATTTGACTCCTCCCGTAGTTCTGAATTGAGCATCCCGCATTTGATTGGCCATAAGCGTAAAAGGACACACAAGGTTCCTGACATTGGTGTTTTCCCGAGTTGCAGTAGTCCCTCCCTCCCGGACAGTCGCACCAGCAACGTGTTTCTACTTTGGGAATGGAGAAGTTGTACGACTCAATGATGGGATAAACCTCTTTCATATCGAGCAGTCTGATTTTAAATTCACTTGCCACCACTCTATTAAAGTAAGAAATACATTCTCCAAGCTTAAGACTGATCCGTTTGGTGATGAATGTGTCCAGACTGTTTAATGTCCCGTTAAAATGGTTCCTATTATTTGATCTATATGCTTCCCTAAGAGGTTCAGACAGGCCCTGCTGAAGCACAATGTCTGTGGAATTACGGGCCACATGATGACAACTAGACGCATTGTTTGTGTACGATTTCCGTGCGAAAAGCAGGAGGACAAACAATATGTAAATCATTACGGACGAATGGACCAGGGAAGGTGTTGACATTCCGCATGCTCTTGAATTTTACTTTTTGGTATAATGGGCGAATATTCCCCCTCACGTGGCAACTCGTCAATTGTTAGCTCATTGTAGTCCTTTGATCACACATTATGTCCTTCCAAACCCATTCATACGTCATGGAACAATGATGGGCGAAGCATTTGGCGGATGTTTTAGTAATGATTTAAGATATTCTACAGTTAAACGAATATAATATATGGCAGAAGGTAGATATAGAAATCATTTTATTGCAATCACATTCAATACTTTATTTAGATAATTCTAACTCCTTCATCGCCCTCCCATCAACTTTAGTCCCAATTTTAAAACTGTAAAAATAAAAAGGAATATACCAAACAAAACAGCCAACATTAAAACCAGTTCAAGTGTTGAGTTTATTCCGTTGAACCACTCTCCCGGGCTGAATAGCTTATACCAGCTTTCTAGTTTTACAGGAAGGAACGATTTAATGGTGCTAGGGTTTGGTCGGTATGTCTCTGGCTCTGTTTCGCAATACGCCGTCCTGCATATAAACTTGTATTTTCCAATGTCAAGAGACCACGGTCTGAGGCAAACCTGGGCGGAAAACCCGGCACATCGCCTTACCAATCGAACCTGTTTCTTTAGACCATTCTGCGGTCCGTCAGGGATGAAGATGGTGAAACCTCTGCTCTCTCCATCGCTGGTGGAGGAGTTATCGGAGTAGTATCTTCCTTCCAGAGTTCCCTCTGCCTCGTACAAGGTGATCGTTAGGTACACTAAACCATCTTGACTTACTGTGATTTCCGCATCAAAGTTTTGCACACTAGAATTGCCAGCAGGGAGAATGATGTCCTGGTTATCCTTGAGCGTCATGGTGACCTCTATCCTTTCAGAGACCGTTCTTTCTATCACAACTGAGTTATCTTTTATCTCGTACTTTCCCTCCCTTTCCCAGTCCTCCTTAAGATCATAGGCATCTCCTGGGAACTCATTAGTGTAGAGAGCGTCAAGCTGGAAGTTATCCAACCTCTGGTCCCCGCAACTCTTAACTTCCCCTGATATTGCTGATGCTAACCTCGACTTGTCAAATTCATATCCAGTCCCGTTTGGTCGGAACCACCCTAATTTCTCAACATCCCATTCGTCTTTACCATTTATATCACATCCTGTGTATAACTTAGGAATGGGATGTCCAGGAACCATAAAATACCACGCGTTCTCCAGGATCTTGTGCGAGACACTGCCCATATCAAGGTGCAGCACAATCCTTAACTTCTCTTCCAGCAGATGGTGTTTCTCCAGTTTCACTTGCCGGATATCACTGAACAGTTCCACGGAAGTACCATCCGTGTAGTTGTAACCCTTTTGAGATATAGTCGCCACAAGACTAGGTATCCCCAGTTTGACTGCAGTGAAGTGAGTCTGATTTGGGAGAAGTTGTGGTATTTCCGGTCCTGCCATCCCATACAACTCAGCTGTACAGCACAGCTGACTCCGCCCCAGTGTTATTGAGCAGCCATCCACAGTCTGATCATCTTTAAACCAGGACACACAAGGTTCCTGACATTGGTGTTTTCCCGAGTTGCAGTAGTCCCTCCCTCCCGGACAGTCGCACCAGCAACGTGTTTCTACTTTGGGAATGGAGAAGTCGTAACTCTCCACGATAGGATAAACCTCCTCCATCTTGACCAACTCTATCAGAAACTTGGTCCAACCTTTACTGGATTCTGTGTAGTTGTAGCATACTGCTTCGTGGAGGCCCAGACTTGATTTTTGTCCGGCAGACGTGTATTTCTGGAAAGCGTCACGACCCCCACTGGATTTAAATATCCTCCTGTCGGCCTCAGCAGAGCTGTGGTTAGTGGCTGTTTTCTGTGGTTGCAAAGTTGCCGGATGGGTGCAGGTTTCTACATTATCCGTCCGCACACTGCCAAAAAGGCTCAGATTCAGCAACACAACAAAAATCATTACGCAAAAGTGTTTGAGTTTTATCTGGGCGTGACTCTCATTGTTGCTCTGCCTATATATTGTTGATTGTTGTATCACTTTCATCCTGCTCTGCCTATAGTGATACAGTTTGGTATAATTGAAGGGATTTGCCGAACTTAAAATTGCTTGATTTCCGTCCTATTGTTGTGTAAGTAAAGAACAAAGGTATAATTACACTCAACCACGTCATCTTGCCGAGAGTTACAGTTATCTACTCATGAACTAACTGATGTTATTTCAGAGGAGGGATGGATCAGCGGAGGTCCACGACCGTCACCCAATGTGGTTCTGGTTACCCTACACTCGAGCCTTTAGGTGTGGATTTCAAGATGAACTGGCAGGACAACACCAGTATTTCTTCAATAGCTGTCCCGAGTGTTCTCAGAAGAATGTCAAGGTCAAGAACACTCGTACCGTCAAAAACACCCGTCCATTAAACGTAGCTCTCCGTTAGCATGCTCTAGTCCTGACCTAAAGTTACCCCCAGTCGGTGTAATATCCTCATCACCTTCTATTGCTGAGAATGAGATCTCAGACGAGGACGATGTTGTGCTCGAGCTGCCAAAAATTGCGGAGGAAGTTGATAAAGAAAAAAGTAAGAAAAGTGACCCGCTGTTACTGGTCCTACCTACCTTAACTAAACGGACCTCGCCAGGATCGTCAAGCAGCACATTCCGTTCCAATGTGAGATCAATAAATGGAGATGATACTGGTATTTGGGACCCTTATCTGCTGCTGGAACTTGTTAACCCTGATCTCATTACTCGTCCTACTAACGAACAGTTGAATACTCGGAAGTGGATTCTCGGTGCCTTAGCTGCGTCCTGTCTAATAGGAAACCCTCTGAAGGATTTTCTGTCTAGTTATTGTTATACCCACAAGGCGGAGAGCGAAAAGAGAGAGGATGAGGATGAGGAAGAGGATGAGGATGAGGAAGAGGAGAGAGCCAGTGCTCACCAGGACCAGAGTGAAGTAGCTCTCAATAACTTGGACTGTTGGCAGCGTATAGAGAGGATCAGGTCCACAGCAGGAACCTCCCACGCTGGTCGGAGAGCAGAGGAGATCACCAACGCTGGAGGCTGGGGAGGCTTAGACAGCCCCCATCTTCTGCCCAACTTCCATTACTACCTCGCATCTCTTAGTGGGGATCTGTTGGAGGCTCATCTGGAACCTTACATAGAAATGAGGTTCATCGCTAAAAACTACTTGGACACCCCAGATAAACTGGATATAGATATTGAGGTAATGGTTGTCCTTAGAGAGATGTTCAAGAGTCGGAATGTAAATGACAGTTGGTTTGCTCTTCTTCAAGAGCACAACTTCACAGTTTTGAGGGAACATGTCTTGAAGTATATCCTGTGGGACGACAAACGGATGCTGTTAAACTGTGCTCCCTCCAAACATACTACTTGCAGACACAGGGTCCGTAAAACAGCCTTATCTGCTACTGCTGTGGACGAAGATGCTCTAAGCGAGGAAGTGGAAAGAGATCTTACCAATCAGTTCATCTTCGCTCCTAAGTCAGAGGGGGTATGTATTTGCTGCAAATCTAGTGATCCGTATTTTATTTGCAACTTTCCCTTTTATTATAAGCTGGATTAGGCTATCCACTCCGATAATCTTTACCGATAATTATCTCCGATAATTCGTTAAAAAATTTTATCTGTTTATCTAGATAAAACATATTTTTATCGGTATAAAAATTCACTAGAAATTACCGAAAAAACTGCCACAATACCGTAAAATTTTAAAGAAATATTAATGTTTTTGCCTTCCCAAGTAATCCAAGAAACAGTCCCAAACGTATGATAGAAGAGGTGGTTTACTTAAATGTAAGCTAAAGAGGTTTATTTACATTTGTATACCTATGGAACTGTAGAACTGTAGAACTGTAGAAGTCTAGAGAAAGTTATTGACATTGTTATCTTGAGGCTAGGGTGCTCGCGTTCTACCTTACAACCATTCTGGAGACAGGAACGAGCATGATACTGTTAAGAAGAGTCAAAATTACCGGGAGGGCACTTAACTCAATTAAATTCCGTAAGTGTTCTAGGCGTGAAACATTGTCTTCAGGAGAAGGAATCTGTTGCTCCAAGTTATCCACAGGATAAGGAAACGGTTCACTGAATCACTTTAAATGCTTTACTGTTTCGGGGAGAATTGGTATTTGTTGCACTACTGTTCTCAGGAGAAGGAAACCGGTGGTCTACTGTTTTGAAGAGAACTAGTGCTTTTACTGTTCTCAGGAGAAGGAAACCACTGGTCTACTGTTTTGAAGAGAACTAGTGCGTTACTGTTCTCAGGAGAAGGAAACCACTGGTCTACTGTTTTGAAGAGAACTAGTGCGTTACTGTTCTCAGGAGAAGGAAACCACTGGTCTACTGTTTTAGAAAAGTGCGTTAGACATCTGCAAGGATAAGAAACCCTGGCTACTGTTTTGAAGACTATGCTTACTGTTCTAGTGAAGGATACCACTGGCTAGCGTTTGAAGTAGAATTAGGGACTTTCTCGAAAAAAAGCTGATTGTCTACTGTTTTGAAAGAACAAGTGTTATATTTCAATAACAAACCATTTTGGAGTTACGTTTTTAAAGATAACTATGTTATTTTCAAGGGGGAGAAGGGAGCCACGGTCCTACTGTTTCGGACTAACTCGGCTTAGTGTTTTCTCAGTGAATGGCAGGAAACCACGTCTACTTTCTTAATAGACTGTCCGTAGTGTTCTCAGAGAGAAGGTAAAACACTGTCGTCAACCGTTTTAAAGAACTATCGTTACATCTCTAGTGACCAAGTTACATCGGTGTATCTACTTTTGTAAAGAATAGTTGGCGATGTATGTGCTCGAGGAAAAATCGCGGAGAAGTTGTAAAGAAACATAGAGTGACGTTACTGTCTCATAATAAGGAACCACGCACTGTGAAGAGACTTCGTTCATGTGAGATCAAGGAGAGATAGGATTACCACTGTCTGCTGATTTTGAACACTGATTCATTACTGTCTCAGAAACGAACAGTTGATACTCACAGTGTTTGAGGCCTAGCTGCGTTCTGTCTTAGGAAGAAGGATACTGTCTACTGTTTTGAAAAACAGGCGGTATGATCGAAGAGAGAGGAAACGGTTGAGAGTATGGATAGGAAGAGAAGAGACAGTAGCACTACAGGACCAGAGTGAAGAGTAATAACTGGCTGTTGGCATGTTGTAAGAGGATAGTACGCAGATTACGTGGTCGGAGGAAGGAAAACCGGATGGATTACACCCTTTTGAATCATACACTGCAGTACATCTTTCTAGGGGGAACTGTTGGTCTCATTGGACTTACAGAAATGGTTCATCCAACTAATAAGGACACCCGGGATAACTGTTAGATATGAGGAACTGGTTCCTAGATGTTCCCGGAAGTAAAACATGTTGCTCTTCTTCAAAGAAAATTACTTTAGCAAGCTATTATCCTGTGGAACAAACGAGTAATAAATGTCGACCAATATATTCTGTGAAAGTGGAAAACACTTTCGCTATGCTGTGGACATGCTCAAAGCAAGGAAAAATCTTAATCAGTTTCATATTCGTTTTATCTAGAGTAATTATTTTCTAATCTGTGATCCATTTTATGCTAAGCTGGATTGCTAAATTGATCCACCCCATTAATTGATTTCTATTTGCAGGTGTGGTTGTCTCTGTTTGCTCTAGAAGTTTCTGGTTACAGACCTGCTGAGGTGTACTTCCCACCTATGCAGACCACGACCAAGTCAATAGGGTGTTGTTGCGATGAAGAATCTCTCTCTTACGATAAGTTCGATATGAAAGATCGGAGGGGGGGTATCCGCCCAAGGAGTACTCTTATGACAGAGTCTCAAGCTAATCTACCCACGGTGAGATAAGGGAAGATAAGGGGAGATAAAGGGGACTTGAGATAAAATATTAGAGTTCTTCAAGCTAAAAATAATACAATTCACTTCTTAATACATATCGAAAACGCTATCCATTATTAACATATTATAAAATAAATTGTATTCTAGCTGCAAGATTGTAGGGCGTCTCCAGTAAAAAAGAGAACGAGGTTGATAAAGCCCAACCTTTTAAATAGGAGTGACAGTAGGAATAGTAGCATATTCGGGGGCATGTCCCAAATGAGTATGCTTTCAGGGAAAGAAAGCAACACGAGCGTTACTTGTAAGTTAATTAATTTCAAATTAAATTACAAGACTAACTTGTAGGTTCTAAACCATAATGCTCATCAATGTTTTATAGCTGAATTCTGAACTATGGCTATGGGGGTTTTGATTTGAAGTCCTGTATTTGGTAGTGTTCTGGTGTTTGCAGTTTGCACTGTTTCTACAATGACTTACTGGTCCTACAAAGTTGCACTTTTACCAGGTATCAATGATAAAGACCGTAAAGGGAGTCATCTGAACCGCCCTTATCCTAGCAGCTTCAAGCAAGTTCTCTCAGATCCCAAGTCTTTTGCTATGTTCATGAAGTTTCTGGAGATGAATTTAGCGGATGAAAACGAGGCTCCTCTTATCAACTTTTGGCATCAGGTCAGTTAATTAACAAGTTTATATTTCCCAAATTCAGAGAGGGTTGCTGATGGAACATGTTTGAGATCTTTTCCAGGAGTAAAGACTAAGTAGTCTAATCAGACCTTTGAAGACTTGGTTTTTGTAGACGTTCCTCTCTTGCGTTGCCCCATTTTCCAGTACTGTTTGTCATTACCAGAGACTGGGTGTTTAGGTTTAGTAAAACTGGTCAGTGCTCCACCCAACCAGGTCCTCAGCTCCTTCATCCTCCAAATATATATGAGGGGGTTCCCTGCAGCGTTGAGAGCGAACACAGGAGCATCCAGGAAGGCGTAGAGGAACCCTGTTGTAGCCGGAGAGAGGCGAGTATGCCACTTGAAGTGGTACTCAGTGAGAATGGAGATGGTGTCCAGACTTCTAACAAGACAGTGAGGAAGGTTGAAAAGGATGCAGCTAGCTGTGATAATGAGGACTGTTCCCGTGGCTCCGTTTCTGATGCGAGATGTTTCTTGTGACCTGCTTGTTACCACCATGTGTACCAAGGTGATCAGGCAGGTGATAATCACCATTAACATGGGCACAGTCACCTGGACATACCAGTACAGAGACACCAGCACTTTGAACTGGTCCGAATAAGGGTGGATCAAGGTGGTCATGTCAGCTAGGTCTGGGAGCTGGAGGAGCCAGAGACAGTGGCCGAACTTGATGTCGTAGTGAGACACGAACTTCAGGAACACTTTCAAGAGGATCTCCTCCAGGATCAGGATCAGTAGGTATGATACTGTCAGGATCTTTATAAGATTACTTCTGATAGGGTTGAAGGGGAAGATGAGACAGTAGGATCTTACGGCTGATAACATCAGAACAGCAAACAGAGAGAACTTGTAAGAGGTCTTCCATAGAATGTTCCAGGCTTCACAAAAGTACTGATTTTCAAAAACCCACGGGTTGCTGGGGTTGAATGAGGTAGCGATCTTTGGTATTATCAACAAGCAAACCACTAAGTCACTGGCACTGATACAGCGGTAGAGAAAACTGCTGATCTTTTCTTTTTCCTTAACAAAGTGGATAAATGCTACCAGATTACCTGGAATCCCGACGACAGTAGAAAAAATGCTTGCAATTCCAAACATTGTAACCTTGATCTGTGACATACTCCTAGCTTCTGGGAAAATATATGAGTGTTAATTTCGAGAAGAATTCAGGACTTATCGTTCTATTACTGATACTATATATTATGTAGTAATGAAACACTATCAAGTAGTGACACAAAATGTTGATCCAGTGAACTGAAATTAGAGCTGTACAAATGATTTCATGAGGAATTGTTGGTTATTCCTTTACGTTAAAAACTACCATTTTAGTTAGGGTAATTGTGCCCACGAGCTCTAATAGTACACCTGTTTTTACTCTGTATTATGTGTTATTTCACAAATAATCCGACGCGTGCAGACTGCAGCGGTCTCAGGCAATCAAAACAGTGAATTTAGAGGGGAGTCGGGTACAGTTAATTTCTAAATAGGCAGGGGTTTGTAGCAATCTCAGTAGCATTGCCATGCAGGAGGCAGGAACGACAAAATGTCCATACTCATTGACCATTTAAAGCGTCATTTGCACCCCAAAGAATAATAGGGCCTATAATAGCCATTAAGCATCCTTCCTATAGTATAAAGCCTGTCATATCTTGTCATATTTATGCTAAATACCTGACAAGTATTTAGTATCGGTCCTTTGTCATCAATATCTTTGTGAGAACTTCAGGGTTGAGGTATGCTCTAAAATCAGGTGAAGATGGTTATAATAGTAGCTAACAACTCAGCTTTAAGTGTTTAACTCGGCAGATTGAGATAATGAAGTCGTACACAAACTTCAAAGCCAGGAAAGAGAAAGCGCACTCAATCCACCGCAAATATATCTACTCGGGGAACAGCAACTGCGTGATGAAGAACTATCTGAAGGCTAATGCGGATATCTGTCCTCAACTTACGGAGATTTCAGAGAAGAAGAATGTTTCGTGAGTAAGAAATTATTGATAGATAATTAATTAATTAATTATTGATAGATAATCACGTTCGTAAACATTCACTGTCACTTATCGGTACTGATACATGTTTTGGTCACGATGTAGGTATCAGTTATTTGATAACAGCTGATATTTATGCTATCAGTTATCTGGTTTGTTCACCCTACACCACCCCCAGTCCTAACATGATGGCAAACGCTCAAACATTCGTGTGTAAGTTACTGGAGGATCGCTGGTGGAGCGGGTATAAGACCGCTTGTAACGATGAGAAGTCCGCCAGAATTATTCTGTCTGCAACTACCACTGAGGCACCAAATGCCAACATTAGCTACGGCAAACATTACAGGTTTCTGGATAGCTATTTGTTTGTTTTTTGGTTTTCTCATCTTTAGTAGGATAGATTGCATTAGAGCAAGTTGGAACAGGGTTTAACCATGGTTCTGTTACAGGGCTCATATACGCTACCTGTGGGGAAACTTCACCTTCGATCTCATGAACTTCCAGCGGGGCCTAGAAAACCAATCTGTTTTCCTCCAGTTCAAGTCTTTCTTGAAGAAGACCGCCACTAAATTGAAGGAGATGAAAGGTCGACGGAGTAAGGAACACGGAGTAGCGACCAACATTAACGGCATTACCGTGTTTGTTGAAAGGTTCGTATCTAGGCAACAGTCATGAAAACGAAGACATGTGGTGATAGATCATGTTGGGCAACTGAAGCGTTGTATAATTAAATAATTAATATTAATCTAGTTAGTTTGAACTGACAAAATAAAACGTGTCGCAGGCTGTCAAGTGACGTTGAGTTCTTCACGGAGATAAACAGGTGGATCTCCATCAAGTGTGGTATGAGTCATGGTAAGAGAGGGAAGTTGCTGAGGGAATCTGAACTCCTGCTTACCAAGAAAGCTGATGCTATAGTTTCTTGTTATCTAAGATCGTGTGTCCCCCCTAAAGTTTGTGTCAACCTGCCACAGCGTATCATTGATGATATTGAGAAACGACTCGATGACCCAAGAAAGTGAGCCAAATGTGTTTGAAAATTTCTGTTTGCTTTGTTTAACCGAAATTGTCACAGTAGCTTTTTGTCATTTAATAGTAAATAAATTAATAAGCAGTACATATTATTAGATTTACATTGAATCCAGTTTAGTTATGTATTCCAAACTAAAGCAATTCCACCGCTTTTCCAGGTTTAACAGATGTCTGTTCTACCATGCAGTGCTCCACATGATTACCATACTCCTCCCGTTCTGGAAGAAGTTCTGCTTTATCCTTAGTGCGAGGGGTTCCTCTAAAGACCAGACCCTCATCCAAACTGTGTCTGGTCAGGCCATCAGTCAAGCCAGTATTGTCAAGCCTCAGAGCTCCACTCTATCTGAAAAGGAATACGACAGCCTGACCAAACATATTGATAAAAGTAAGACCGCATATTATACTTCCTGGTGTTTCGGTATCTTGTATTGATAAAAGAAATTGTTGTCTATTTATACACTTAGTTCCAATTTCCATACTGACTTTGAAAAATTCGTTTTGAATTTCATGTTTCAAGTTTCAGTAAAAAGAGGTCCCAGAGAGGATATAAAAGGAATGAGGAAGCGGCTCGGAACAGCGTTCAAGAGACGTGACGCAGTGTTGCAGCATGCAAGCTCCGCAGAGAACACAGTGGCAGGAACTGGTAGGATTGTGTGTCAGTTTAGTCTGATGGATGGGATATGTCACGTGAAGCATGAGAGTGGGTTGGAGGTACCGCACCCTTGCGAGACCTTGCTCAACCCCTGGCATGACAAGGTACCTCTAACTCTCTAATGGACACACTGCTTCTCAACCAAAATAGTTGTTAAAGTTAAAATGTGTTGCTTGTACAGCACCTTGTAAGTTGTGCTTCAGCTTGCTTTAAACGTTACCTTTCCTAACCAAAATGTGCTATAATTTTCTACAAACTAAACCACTTCAGATCGAGTACCTTATTTCACCACTTCCCCGAGTAAAGTCCAGGATTGGCACACCGCCTTCCAAACGATCTAAGAGTAAAGAAACTGCTCACCCTTCTAAATCTGTAAAAATCTGAGCTTAATCCGACACATTAAGGCCGTTCTACTCTGAAGGTTTCTGAAGAAAGTTCTGAAGAGATCCAAGTTTTGATAATCACTGATTTATCAAACAGATTGTTTTCATAAGCCCGAGTTTAAATCCGTGTTTACCACAAACCACAAGAATACTGAGTACCCCAAAGTGTAGAGTTACACACTTGAGCTGGCACACATCAATCCAGTATGTACACGCTTATTGTAGAACGTACACGTTTTCCAATGCGGTAGGTCGATACACCGGGACGCTAAACACCTTTAGTATTTAATTAACAGTTCGATCTTTATAACCTGGAAGCAGATTCCTAATTAGCCTTCTTTTAAAATGCTTATTTGTTGCTGTTCATGTTTTTAGAGTGATGCAATTTGTACATCTCGCACCTTACATGATTCTTTAACTTCAATTCCCTTTTCTTTTGTTACACCTTTCTATTATGTGCACGTGTTAACAAGTTTATGTGTATTTTAATTTATACATTTAAAGCACTCATAAGCGCTTTAGATCTAAACAAACGTTCTGTATCTTCTACATCGTACCATTACGTTCAGTTTCACTAATTGTTATCATTTGTTATTTGTAGTTGTCAAATTAATTTTAAGTTTAACGTGACATCAGCTGGTGTTGTTAATTAGTAACGTTTTAATTTGTTTGAAATCTCAAAATGTTTCTGGGGTAAGTTTAGATTAAAATTTAGAATCCTTGCATAGCTCTTATTTCATTGTGTCAGATTTGACAATGATGACTTTTTCTTGTTTTCCTTAAAAACGTCTTGTTATTCATCAAAATCCCAGAAAATCAGACCACTATATAACAGCTTATAACCGATCAGTGGTCGGAGACAAGCCAACAAGTGGGCTAAAGAATGCCTGCAGACTGGACTGGCTCTTATCCTCTCGTACGTCATTCTCTCCCATACCAACTTCCTTCATCATGCTAAAACCACTGTAGTGAGTAGTCCAACCTTTTCTTGCTTTCTTTTTACTCCGTGGTGTCGACACGGTAACCATAGAATTGAGTTAAGATCAGCAACAAGTTTTGCTATTTCCTTATGTAGCATCATATAATACGCGAGTGTGCGCCTGATTATCTTTACAGTGATACATTTATTTTGCACGGTTATTAAACGAGAACCGAAAGATGACCGGAGAGCTGATGAACACTATATTTTAACAGAAATTTTGACACGAAATAGGAATTAAACTAAATCACCATTCATTAGACAGAAGTGGCCAGATCGCTCCAATAAAATAAAACAGGAACCCTAACTTCATCATCTTCCCAGCAAGACGTGTACGACAGTCACGTGACCTCCACTTCCGGCAGGAAACAGTTCGTAATCCTCTTGGCAGGCTCCAGAACTGGTTCCAACTTCCTGGCCCAGCTCTTTAATCAGAACCCCAACTTCCTTTACATTAACGAGCCTTTCTCCGTCAGACATCTCCTTGACCTCCGAGAGTATGAGAGGATACCAGGTAAGGTCTACTAGCAGGCTGTATTTGAGACTATCACTCGCTCTTTAAAATATCATTATCAGAGAGAAATTACTCTTTAACTTAATTCCAGACCATCTCAGGCGTTATATTTTTATTTCTGGGTAAATCACTCACAATCAGCAGTAACCCTACATTCCAGAGGCGGACGAGAGGTCCACTCTAGACGAGCTCCAGATATTCTGGTTACGACAAGTGCTAGACAGGTGCGACACAGGAGACATGCCTATGCATCCTGAGCTGGAGAGGTTTGGGAAGTGCGGACTGGAGGGTGAGAACTTGTTGAGGTTCGGACACAAGCACTGTAATGAGACCTTTAATGAGAACGCCAGATCAGAACTCTGTGTCATGAGGAACACTGTTGTCATGAAGGTGAGGGGAAATGAGAGCAAATTTTGATGAACATTGAAATGTTTTGATTTTTGTTGATCAATAAAAACGCGAATATATTTTGAGCTAATAGACAACTTTTTGTCAATACCAATACAGTTCTTGATTATGGATTGATTTTCACATTTAATATTCCTTTGCAGATAAGTCGGCTGCTTCAGCTGAACTGGTTTAATTATATCAAAGATGATTTCGTTGGGCACGACTTCAAAATAATCCACCTTCTGAGAGACCCACGTGACGTAATAGCTTCACGATTCAGATTTAAACACTATTACTACAAGGTATGTACCTTGTACCTTGTCCACATATAAACAAGGATAATGGCTGCTTGCTCAATCCTATCTCTATTATCTTTATATTCTGTTTTATTACCGAAAATTAGCAGATTCGCAGTCTTGTTTCAACAAACAATCATTTCAAGGATCGGTTTCCAATCACACACACTGTGAATATGGAGCACAAAGTAAGCCTGGCAGCCGAGGAATGGTGTCTCAGAGAGTTAGATACTCTGATGTTTGCTGAGCGCTCACCTCCATCCTGGCTTCAAAACAAGTAAGTTTGATCAACTTAGCTTTTCGATCTGAATCTAGGTCCCAATGATTACATGACTGTAGGTCGGTCTGTAGGATAGTTTATAGTAGGATATAGTAGGATAGTTTGTTGATTTGATCAGCTTTAAATTTCAGTGATTTCACTAGTACAGAGTACTGCTATTTTCTGTGAGATTAAATTAATAAATTAATGTTCAGTTTTCACGAGTTTAAAGTTTAGAAAATTCACAAGTTTCTATCAGGAAACTTAACCTCTTAATCTCACCTACAACTCCTCAGTTATCGGATGATAAGGTTTGAAGAACTAGTCAGTAATCCTAAAGCTATCGCTAGAGAACTGTACGACTTTATAGGCTACGAAACAATACCCGAAACTGTCCAGACCTGGCTGAAGCATCACGGCGGAAATAAGCTGGACATGTTGGAGCCGGCGATGGAGTACCCGGCTGACCGGTGGAACGGAACAATGACAGCAGCGGTGGAGTACGAGTGTAAACCGCTCATTATCAAGATGGGACTTAAGTTCCAGGAGTTGGACATCCAGTACTCTCAGAGTTATTATTGAGATCTTCAATGCTGTTATATTTATAAAGTGTTGGCCGTTGGGTTGTCATACTTTCATAGACAAAGCAGACTTCATTTATATTAATATAGTGTAGTAGTGTGGCCCGGTAATTTTACTTCTAGTCTAGCGATGAAATTAAAGTTCAAAATGTTTAAAATTTGTTTTGTTTGTTGTCTGCCTACCTGCTACTGTGTAAGCTATTTCCAAATATTTATTTCTACCCGCGTCAGGGGATTAACATATCATTATCATTGTTTTTAATAAGCGTTTTACTTGTGAGAATGAAAAATAAATCGATCACACAATATGTCGTACTCGTAGCTTACTTTGAAATAATACATCTGGGTTACAAACACAATTAGGTGAACACAATTTCTCCTCCTACCTACAACCTCCCAGAAAACCTTACCACCTGCCGGGCTCGCTAGAGGTGATCGATTTTCAACAGGACGTTTGTCCTCGCGCGTCACATCAAGTTCACTTACTGGGCCGCGCTCAGCCTGTCATTCCGCCAAATCTTTATTATGTTAATGAACATAATAGCCTGGGGTCCTCAGGTATAACAAGTTCACCAGCTTTCGCACGCTGCATTTAGCCTAGTAGTCATGATATGACAACTTGACATTGGAGGACTTTGCCGCTTCGACGCGCCGCGCGAACTAGCATTCTTGATGAACCCATCGTCGATCGTTGCTCTGCTTCGCTTCGCAGAGCAACGATCTCGATGGGTTGACATCGTCAACCAAACAACGACATTACTTTGCAAAGTTTAAAAGCTACGATCTTTTATTTAGCCCAAAATCAAACTTTTCGGTTTAATTCAGAATTTAAGTTGTCCCAAATTTGGCTCCTGGGGAGCTAACTTTAAATTTACGAGATGGAAATTTTGTTGAAAACCGGAAGGTTCTATATATTTTACTTTTGGAGATATACGGATACCCCAGCTGGTAGGGTTTGCTGGGCTAGCTTGCTATTCTCGCAAGGCCGGCACTACTTTATCTAGCTTGATACTGATAGCCTACTGCTCGTTACTTTGACCATTGTTAATGGTCTGGCCCGGCGTGCGCAAGTTCGTAGCTAGCACTTGCCATCGGGCCACATTTCGAGAAAAAAACGTTGTAGGTTTACAACCTACCAGGACGCGCGCCGAGTTGGACTCGTCCGCGCGACGGTTCCAATATATGGAACAGATATTTTACGAGTGCCACCCGTTAAAGAAAGCGGGGCGCTACTTCGAAGAAATTTAGACGAGTAACATCCGTCAACTCGCTACTCTGATCTCACGTATGTGCGAGAAGCTCTAAAAGAACGCCGCGCATCCAGCTGTGAGAATCCTCATTGAGTGCGCGGCGCGGCACAGTGACGCATCGCGCTACAACATACAAGACTTGGATCGGAACAAATATTTTACGAATATCACCGGTTAAGAAGATGCTAACCCTTTCCAGTTTGTGGCTCTATTAAGATCTTGCCACGATACGAAGCAAGTATGAAAATTTGCGCGCGTCGATCAAGCGGAAAAATACTTAAATATGTATTGGCTCTAATCAGAGCCCTCTCGCTTGCAGTATGCAGTAGCGCGACCAAAAATCCGTACATAAAATATTTTGTCAACTGGTTAATTACAAAATTTTATTCAATTGAGGCTTCTCAGTTCCTAAAACATTTCGCTGAAAAGATCAGCCTTAAGAAAGGCTAACGGTATTATGAGGTGATGTCATTTCTCAGACGCAGACTGCGCTTTGATCTACTTAGAACCTGTATAATCTCTATCAGGGGATACAGAGGTACCAGAATTCTTCCACCCACGGTAATACGTGATTTGGACCTTAACCTGATCAACACTCCTAAACCCTAAAAGGTCATGGAGAGCTTGTTGGATGGGGGTCTAAACTGATTTTTGTTGTGATGTGAATAAATTGTTATATTATTGTTATATATTATTGCAAAGGGTTTTTATTTTTACCTCAGTTTTTAAAATTTGTACCATTTTTAAAGAATTTTTATATAGGGTCATTCCTATATTATGTGTATATTGTTTGAATATTTTCCACAATTTTTATTCAATTTAGTTTTTACATTTTATACTAGACTGTCCATTGTTGACATTATATAGTTTTATGGACATTTCTGTTTGATTTATTGCGTCAGTCCTATATCAAGGGATTTTATTTTTATTTGAAAAGTTTATGCTGCTATTATTATGTATTATTATATCGATGTTACTGTACTAATCCTGTTTTTGCTATTGTCACCATATAGTGAGAATGCTTTCAGCTATACTGTATACTAGGAACTTCAAAGTTTCTAGACATATTTGGTTTGATAATTGAAGTGCTTTCCCAAAATTTCAAGTTGGTTGTTCACAATTGAACCATTAACCTAGTTATGACCCTTTTAAGATATTGCAGATACGTGATCTCGGCACTTAATCAGTGATTTCGTCACCCAATCAGTAATCTCATTGGGAACTATTCGCTAGACGCTAGCAAGCAACAATGTGCCACATTAGGCGGTAACGAACGCGATGGTGGATGACGATCTGATCACTTTGAGTGAATACTGATAGTGACGTTCCTTAAAACCGAAGAAATACGCGTTATAGCGCTTCATTTTCTGTGCTATAAGCAGTCTCCAAACAATCAGGGCATTGATTGAGTGAAGATACCACTGATTAAGTGCTGGATCACGTATCTGCAAGATATTAAAAACTCGGTTAAATTGTGAACAACCAACTTGAAATTTTGGGAAAGCACTTCAATTATTAAACCAAATGTGTCTAGAAACTTTGAAGTTTCTAGCTGAAAGCGTTCTCACTTTATGGTGACAATAGTGAAAAAGAGGGAGTGGCGATGATCATGATATGATTACAATTATGATTTATGATCCCTCAGTTACATTTCAGACAGGCTTTTATTCCTTACCTGGGGACATGAGTTGATACACATTGTATTCCCCTTTTCCTGCGCATTTGCACAAAATATTCCTTGAGAATATTGCTTAATATCTGATGAAGGATCTAATCTGAATCTGATAACATCAAGGCCACTTAATAAAAGAAAATTACCGACCATTACCTAGCCTGCTGATCTCTGACACAATCCTCTCGCTTATATTATGATGTTAGCTATGTATACCATAGCAAACAGGAACTTGTTCATTTGACCCATTCATTTTTCTGCCAGATAGGTACTGTTTGGATAGCTCAATGAGCTTATGGAGCTGCTGCTGCTGAGCACATTTTGTTGTTTAAAATTAGTGCATTGTGTTAGGAATCTGAAGCTGAATCGACTCCCACAATCTTAAGACTCTAACTTATCCAGGAGCACCCTGACAATCATGTGATCCACCCAGCTTGTGGGATCACCTCATTAGCTGATGCCGGTATTCAGCTGCATACCAATGAGTCTCCAGCTCTGTTAGAGCCAATCAAGTACTCTATCAGCACATGATAACCGCAAAATAAATTGCTCATTACACAAATCATTTGAGGTTCTCAAGCATATGAGGTCCAAGCTCAGCATCACATGATCTTCACTTTGGTACCAAGAACAAGCCGATAGCATAAAAAATGATCAAGATATCAGACAATTTGTTTAGAAAGCATCATGAGGTTGCCACACTCTAGTCCCTACCAGTGGCGTAACGTTGCCTGTTGGCGCCCCCCTGCCGAAAAAAGCGCCCCCCTGTTGGCGCCCCCTCCCCTTTTGGTGCCCCTCCCTAAAATTGAACAAATTAGGTGATTTTAAAGAATACGCCGGTAAAATCTCTAAAAAAGTGTGTATCTAGAGCAAAACGCGCAGTTTTGCTAGTACTTTAGTTAAGTTTTCGAAATTGTCCCACATTCAAACAACGATTTGGCGCCCCCCTAAGACGGCGCCCCCCTGCACAGCGGGGTCTACTCGAATATACTTGAGATCTGAAAAAATTTCTCAGACTCCGAAGGTCATACCCTAAACAATAAATGACGTTTTTAAACCATTCTTAAGTTACTAACACTGACAACTTGGTTCCTTTTTTGGGACATCTTCAGTGCATCTTAACATGTGATATATACCCTGTTTTTTTGCAAAGGAAAATATCATGGTAAAATAGAGTTTTGATTGTTTTATGAGTAGCAGCAATGAGTCTATAAATAGATTGCTTTGTCACCTGAAACTTGCTTGTCTATGTGATCTATTCCAACAGATATTACAGTACATTACTACAGAATAGTATAGACAGACTAGTTTCATATGTCGACATCCCCCGGGGCTATGGATCTGCTGGTAGCATATAAGTCTGTCTGAGCAATTCCCACCTCTTTACAACAGTACAACTGGCTGATAATTATGAAGGCAACATATTATCACTTTTTAGGTCACATTATTATGCAACAACATTCAGAATAATCAATTTTCGATCAAAATTTGGGTGGTAGTTGCGGTTTATTTGTGCGATTTTAATCAGTTTTTTACTGACATAAGATTATTTTTTATATAAATTCATCAATAATCCTTTGTAGGAACCATGGCGGATGGTCCATGGTTAGGATGATTCTACGTGTATTGATTCCTCTATGTGTTGTTAATATATGTTTTAGTCATTCTTTGCCTAAAAGTAAGTTCTTTTAAATTCGCTAGGATTCCATTTATACTACCTTACTCGGGATTATTACGACGGGTTTATTAACGACCGGTAAAAATATGGTTCGGGAAAAATATGGTGAAATTGCTCAAAACCCACCACATTTTCCCGGTCGCCATTTTACCGGTGTCCAACCTTTCAATTTTAGATTCTAAAATTTTGTCTCAGATGTAAATTTTCTTATTAGAGCTAAGCAAGTTTAGAAATTTTCGCATTGCTAAAACTTGAGAAACAAGTCGAATTATCAATAATTAAATGTTTACGTGTATCAAATAACCATTATGACTCAATTTGTAGAAAATCTTCGAAAGAATGCATCGTTCACATTGTTTAGAATTATGAATAAATGACTGATGAAACTGATTCATGTAATTGACAGTTTTAATTAATTCAAGTTTTAATTTAACTGTTACTTTTACTTTGAGTCCTATTTCATTATGTAGAGATAGTCAATACCTAAGAAATTAAAAATTGGCCTATTTAAATCAACTTTGACAATAAGGATTATATAACAAGAATTGGGTAAAAAGGTGAATTTTTTGCAATTTTAGCCAAATGAAGTCGAAAAACCTACAACAAGTGTCCCAATAGTCTTCTTTAGTGAATATACGACAACGATTAAAATATGAGCACCCATACCCCTTGGGAAGCCTAAAAGCTGAGTCGGCGGGTTTATTAACGACCGGTGAAAATGTGGTTCGGGAAAAATATGGCGAAATTACCCTAAACCCGCCACTTTATCCCGGTCATAATAATCCCGAGTAAGGTAGTTGTTCTCCATTTTTTGGGAGAAATTATGAGAAAACGGTTTACAAAAACATCTCATTATTTTTAATAAAAATACTCTGACTTCCGATGATAAATTATATTGAACATTTTCTGAAGATATTTCATTCTTACACTTTTCAGATTGTTTGGAACTAAGTTATCTCTGTGCAGGAAACGAGATATGCATTTTCGAAAGTAAGTACTTCTTGTCCTTTTCAACAAAAAATATGTATCATTATTAATGATTATAATGATGTTCTATGGCATGTATTTCTTAATCATATTATCTGCTTGCATAATGCATATCGTCCAAGACGATTTGATATAAAGTGAAAGCTCAGCATGATTCAAAATGTAGTTTATTTCCTAATTGTTTGGTTGCAGTTGTTTGTCTTGTTGTTTTACTGTCAACGATGGAACTTTTAATAATTTGTATTTATTATATATAATAACAATACTGAGTTTTGATGCTATGATTTTATGTTAGCTCCCACTTTAAAAGACTAATCGGAGCTACCTTTTCAGATAGCTTTTCGACTAAGTCATGTGGATCTCCCTGCCCCCAGGGCATCTGTCTCTATAAAAATGGTAAGATCTCACGAAAAGCTTTTTGAACATACAATGTTTATTATTAATTATTTTCGAGACTCAGATCCAAGTCATGCTCAGAATAAAAATTGGTCTGCAACCGCATTTGACTATGCTCTTTTTGTTGCAAACTCGTAGAAATTCACATCCGATAAATTGGTAGAAAAGGCCACTACCCGAAAAGCCGAATTCAAAACCTATTTTTGTATAACGGGTACCTGCTCAACCACAGATTACGCATTAGGAGCCTGATGAGTTGTACTTCCTTAGTTACTTCCTTAGTTACACACTTCCACAGTAGTTAAAGGAACAGAATGTACACAATACATGTGTAATGTGTATAACAGGTGTATTGTGTACTATCTGTTTGTATTGTGTACAATCTGTTTGTCTATACAAAGGACTGTGTTATTACTCTTCCACCTCCTTAAAGATAGGAATGCCATTGTGCTTTATTGTATTATCTAATACCCAATGTTTCTGTATAAGAACAATTGAATATATAGTAGTTAACAGTATTCACAGTACCCTCACTTAGTAAGGTATCTGTAAGCACTTGTAATGTTGTCAAACGCCTCATAATTGTTCATTACTACTTAGTATTCTCATTACCAAGCAACATATATAGGTGAAGTTATCTTAAAACAAATCTTAGGGAATCCGCTTATTCAAATTTTGGTCTATTGAATAATCATAATGTTAGGTTATTAAATATTTGTTATTATAAATTATGATAATAAGTAAGTGCGACACGGCCACGTGTACCACCTTTACAGTCCCACTACTAATACCACCTCTCTAACTACACAACCTCACAACAGTCACCTCACTTATTCACCTCACTTAATACGCGTGATTTGTTTGATGGCCTCTGTAAAGCCACTACTTATAACGAGGACCACCTCCTACTGACAGCAGCTCACATAGTAAGACTATTAGCACTGGTAATTTGGCCCACGCCCAGGATAATTACTAGCTTCCTGTCCTGTAATGGTTTTATGTGTACAGTAGTAAGAGGATTAGAAGCGGTGGTAGGGTATATTAGCGTATATAATTAGCGTTTATTACCATATATTAGCATACATAATGAGGGAACCTGAGGTTATATGTGGGGATTAAGAGGATATGTAGTGAAATCTATCTTAATAGCTACTGAAATGAACTTATCCGACATCCGTGTGTCACTAAATAGCTACTGAAATGAACTTATCCGACATCAGTGTGTCACTAAATAGCTAATGAAATGAACTTCTCTGTGTGTCACTAAATAGCTAATGAAATGAACTTATCCGACATCCGTGTGTCAATAAATAGCTAATGAAATGAACTTCTCTGTGTGTCACTAAATAGCTAATGAAATGAACTTCTCTGTGTGTCACTAAATAGCTAATGAAATGAACTTCTCTGTGTGTCACTAAATAGCTACTAAAATGGACTTCTCTGTGTGTCACTAAATATCTACTGAAATGAACTTATCCGACATCCGTGTGTCACTAAATAGCTAATGAAATGAACTTATCCGACATCCGTGTGTCACTAAATAGCTAATGAAATGAACTTCTCTGTGTGTCACTAAATAGCTAATGAAATGAACTTCTCTGTGTGTCACTAAATAGCTACTAAAATGGACTTCTTTGTGTGTCACTAAATATCTACTGAAATGAACTTATCCGACATCCGTGTGTCACTAAATAGCTAATGAAATGAACTTATCCGACATCCGTGTGTCACTAAATAGCTAATGAAATGGACTTCTCTGTGTGTCACTAAATAGTTACTAAAATGAACTTATCTGTGTGTCACTAAATAGCTACTGAAATTAGCTACTCTTTAGGTCAAATAGCTTGAGATGTTAAATTTCAGGCTTAGTAATTCGTAGATTTAGCTCATTTTTGCAAGTACCTAGGTGCAGAGGGGTAAAATCCAATCCTTAAGTTTAGCCCTATTCGCAATTGATGCAAAATTTATAAACTAAATGTGATTTATTTTACAAAACATTTTATAATTCTGTCTGAGTTTTGATAATATAATTTCTTAAAACAGGAATTGATTTGCTGCAACGTGTAAGACGAGCCCCAAAATCTCACCACCAGGGCGGCAAGGGTAAACAACACCCTCAAGAGGTCACCAAAGAGGCCGAAGAACAAGGTTAGCTCTTTTTGTTAGCTCTTTTTAACTGGTGTTACACTTCTGGTAAACACTGTTAGTGTTATACTGCTTTTATTGTTCAGAGTTCTGTTAGGAATGTCAGGGCGTTCCCACTTCTACACTTCACTTTTCTATCCTGGCCACACTCCTTTCATTCCTTTCATTCCTTGTAGTACATAATCCAAGAAGAAACACTCAACATGTGCCCTAAACATTGTAAACAAGGTAGTGTGGAAGAGCCCAGGGACCATGGATCAAACACAGTGCAGATATGCCGCACTGCTCTACATACAACAGCCTCCTGCAAATTGCCATGATATTTGGTGGCAGAGTGACCAGAGGGTAATTATACCGTATACGGTAAAGGTTGGGGCATGGTGTTGTGCAATAGTAATGGAGGCAATGGAGACACACCCTCCTATCGTCCTGTAGCTAGTCATGGTCTCCAGATTCCTTCTCTCTTCCCTCCATCTCTATCTGTCGTATCTAGTGTCCTGACACTAATCTGTGGTGACGTCACAGCTAATCCATCATTATATAATTATTGGAGTGTATTTACAGGTTGATTATTGTGTATATAGTGAGTATTTGTCACTAACCATGTGTATTTTCAGTGTCTGATACCTACCTACATCTACATCTTAACTCAGAGTAAGTAGCAGTCTTCACATGCTGGCGACTGTTAACTTATGGCAAGTTTCCATAAATAAAATTTTACTATGAGCGCTCATTGTCGCCTACTGAGCGCTTATTTAGCGATTATAATCGGTTTAGGCTGTTTATAATCGCTTTTATAGCGATTATAATTGTTTCAAATAAAAGCGCTCATAACCGATTATTATTGCTGTAAATATTTTTAAAAGCGATTACCTTATTTTTTAGCGCTTATAATCGCTTTTTGGTCGTTTCTAATCGATTAAATCGCTTCGAAAGCGATTTTTCCAAGAATAAAGCGATTATAAGCGCTGGAAAAGCGGCCGCTCAGAAAAGCGCTTGTAAGCGCCGTTTATAAGCGATAAATAAGCGATTATACGTTGACTGCAATTTAGCCTTTTTGAAAGCGCCTACAGAGCGACTACAGAGCGCTTTTTTAAAAAACCACTTATAAGCGATTTTTAATCGCCAATTGTCGCTCCTTGTCGCTTATTGTCGCTTTTTATTTTACCGCTTTTTACCGTTTTTTCTATCTTTTCCACCGCTTTTTACCGTTTTTCCTATCAACATGGTTCTAAACGTGGTTGTACAAAAAAGCGCTTATAAGCGCTTTTTTTAATACCGGTTGGAACGGAATTGAAAAGCGCTTATAAGCGATTATAATCGCTTTTTTTATTCACCGTTTTTTACCGCTTACCCCATCAACATGATTCGGACCTTTACTGATAGTTGAAATTCGACATATGACGTCATCTAGTGTCATCTAGCGTCATCTAGCGAGAAATATCGCCAGATGATGATAGATGACGCTAGATGACGCTAGATGACGCAAATTAGCGACATTGTCGCTAATTGCACGGCATCTTTCGAATGTCTGACGCTTTCTGGCGCTATCTAGCGCTACATGACGCTGTATGACACTAGATGACGCTAGATGACGCTAGATGACGCTAGATGACGCTAGATGACGCTAGATGACGCTAGATGACGCTAGATGACGCTAGATGACGCTAGGCACGCAGCACTGACGCCAGGCGACAGATAGCACTATTTTCATAAAAATTCTAGGGACGACATCTAGCGTCATCTAGCGTGATATGTTGCCGCGACATCTGACGCTATCTGACGCCATCTAGCGACATCTGACGATATCTGACGACATCTGACGCGACGACATCTGACGCAGGCGACATCAAGCGCTAGATAGCGGGATAAGTCAGTTTACGACAGTTCACGCTATCTAGCGCTATATAGCGCCAGATTACAGATAGCGCTATATAGCGTCAGATGTCGTTGCGACATATAGCGTTAGATAGCGCTATATAGCGTTAGATAGCGCTAAATAGCGAAGAATTTCGGGTCATGACAGTCCAGACTATTTAGCGCTAGATGTCGCTATCTAGCGTTATATGTCGCTGCACGTCAGATGTCGTTGCGTCATATAGCGCTAGATAGCGTTAGATAGCGCTGCGTCAGAATATGTCGTCGCTATGTGGAGTGAGCTATGTGGAGTGAGCTATGTGGAGTGAGCTATGTGGAGTGAGCTATGTGGAGTGAGCTATGTGGAGTGAGCTATGTGGAGTGAGCTATGTGCCTCGCTGGGCTAAAGTAGTGAATGTCCTTGCTGTCCGGCAAGTTAAACAAGGAACTGAAACTACTAGGTTCCGTACAGGCTCAACTCTACACCCATGTCAATATGTTCATATGTAAGCCTCTTGATTATATAGCACAAGATATCATATCCTATCACAGTAACAGTAACCCTATGTGTATGTGTGTGTGTGTGTGTGTGTGTGTGTGTGTGTGTGTGTGTGTGTGTGTGTGTGTGTGTGTGTGTGTGTGTGTGTGTGTGTGTGTGTGTGTGTGTGTGTGTGTGTGTGTTTGTGTTTTTTTAATACTAGTTGGAACGGAATTAAAAAGCGCTTATAAGCGATTACAATCGCTTTTTTTATTCACCGTTTTTACCGCTTACCCCATCAACATGATTCGGACCTTTACTGATAGTTAAAATTCGACATATGACGTCATCTAGCGTCATCTAGTGTGAAATATCGCCAGATGATGATAGATAACGCTAGATGACGCAAGATGACGCCAATTAGCGACATTGTCGCTAATTGCACGGCACCTTTCGAATGTCGCTATCTGACGCTTTCTGGCGCTATCTAGCGCTACATGACGCTATATGACGCTGTATGACGCTAGATGACGCTCAATGACGCTAAATGACGTTAAATGACGCTAAAAGTAAATGACGCTAGGCACTTGCACTTGCACCAGGCGACAGATAGCGCTATTTTCATAAAATGTCCGCTTTTTTTTGCAACATCTAGCGGTGTCTAGCGCTATCTAACGCTATATGTCGCAACAATATCTGACGCAGCGCTATCTAGTGCTATCTAGTGCTATCTAGCGCTATCTAGCGGAGAATGTCAGTTTGTGACAGTTTACGCTAGATAGCGCTATCTAGCCCTAGATATCGCGGCGACAGCTAGCACTAGATATCGCCGCGCTAGATAAACTAGCGCTAGCTAATGAAGGATGTCGGTTTGCGACAGTCAACGCAGTACACGTAGACACATGGCTATCATGTCATATGTGAATCCAAACCCTCACACCAAAGCTATCAAAGTTATTTAACCTGAGCCTTAATTGACGATGTCAATTCATCGCAGCTCGGCGAAGCACAGAAGCGCGTTTCGCAGATCTAGCGAGAAGCGTAATTGGATGCGCGGCGCGGCACATTAACGCTTAAAGCTTCGAGCAATAGCGAGCAGTAAACTGTAGACTCGTGGCTATGTGAAAATGAAAAGTATAATATAAATACGACTACATCGTGTTTCCATTTTTTGGCAAGCAGAATAATTTGCAATTTAGTAACATATAATATGTGCTAAATTTTTTATGAACAAGTAAATGATTTGATCATTGTTAATGGACTAGCCCGACGCGCGCTACTTCGTACTTCTTGGCTTGGACTAATATTTTGAGAAAAAGCGGCGCGTGATAAAAAATTAATGATTTGATGGTTTAGCAAATGTTGACGATGTGATCATACTTTTCGTCTTTCCAGTTGGAGGTGCACGATAAAAATAAAGTTGCTCGGATTTTCAAAATTTTTGTTTACATTTTTTTGGAGAGTTTAAGCCTTTTCACAATATAAATTTTGTTATACGTTTTTGGAATCATCAGTGAGTTTCGCATAGGTGCCAAAATTGGTGATGCGTGGCTTTGGGAGCAAAAGTTAGTTTAAAACTCGCGTAATTTATCGAAATTCGAGGATTTTGGACGTATTATTCGGATATATTTTTGGTTCCTTGAATGAGATCATTCTGAAAATTTGTAAAAACCTTCCAATACTAATAGGGCTTTCACAACTGTCCAAAAATTTAGTGGATATTGGAGTTGATATAATAATTGATTGACGATGTCAACCCATCAAGTTCGGTGCTCGATTCGATGCGAAGCAAGAATGACAATTCGCGCGGCGCGTCGAAGCGGCGAAGTCCTCCAATTCCATACATAGCTATTAAGCTATTAGTATTATGTCACAATCACACTAGTAAGCGTAATAATTTGGAAAACCCCGGCCGGCGGCATCAGGCCCCTTATATAATTATAAATATAATATGTAAACGACCCCTTAATTATAAGTGATATTTAATATTTTGTTCCACTCAGCCGAATATTTAATAAATCGAGTGTAATAGTTGGGTGACTTCGACGCATAAAAATAACAAAAAAGATTGGGAGGAAAAAAACAGGCTGGGCTTACGGTCCCAGTAAAACACACACACACACACACACACACACACACACACACACACACACACACACACACACACACACACACACACACACACACACACACACACACACACACACACACACACACACACACACACACACAGGGTTAGGGTTACTGTTACTGTGATAGGATATGATATCTTGTGCTATATGTAGCGACGACATCTGACACAGCGCTATCTAACGGTATCTAGCGCTATATGACGCAACGACATCTGACACAGCGCTATCTAACGCTATCTAGCGCTATATGACGCAACGACATCTGACGTGCAGCGACATATAGCGCTAGATAGCGACATCTAGCGCTAAATAGCCTGGACTGTCACGACCCGAAATTCTTCGCTATTTAGCGCTATCTAACGCTATTCAGCGCTATCTAACGCTATCTAGCGCTATCTAGCGCTATATGTCGCAACGACATCTGACGCTATATAGCGCTATCTGTAATCTGGCGCTATATAGCGCTAGATAGCGTGAACTGTCGTAAACTGACTTATCCCGCTATCTAGCGCTTGATGTCGCCTGCGTCAGATGTCGTCGCGTCAGATGTCGTCAGATGTCGTCAGATGTCGCTAGATGGCGTCAGATAGCGTCAGATGTCGCGGCAACATATCACGCTAGCGTCATACAGCGTCATACAGCGTCATATAGTGTCATGTAGCGCTAGATAGCGCCAGAAAGCGTCAGACATTCGAAAGGTGCCGTACAATTAGCGACAATATCGCTAATTGGCGTCATCTAGCGTCATCTAGCGTCATCTAGCGTCATCTATCATCATCTGGCGATATTTCACGCTAGATGACGCTAGATGACACTAGATGACGTCATATGTCGAATTTCAACTATCAGTAAAGGTCCGAATCATGTTGATGGGGTAAGCGGTAAAAAACGGTGAATAAAAAAAGCGATTATAATCGCTTATAAGCGCTTTTCAATTCCGTTCCAACCGGTATTAAAAAAAGCGCTTATAAGCGCTTTTTTGTACAACCACGTTTAGAACCATGTTGATAGGAAAAACGGTAAAAAGCGGTGGAAAAGATAGAAAAAGCGGTAAAATAAAAAGCGACAATAAGCGACAAGGAGCGACAATTGGCGATAAAAAATCGCTTATAAGTGGTTTTTAAAAAAGCGCTCCGTAGTCGATCTGTAGGCGCTTTCAAAAAGGCTAAATTGCAGTCAACGTATAATCGCTTATTTATCGCTTATAAACGGCGCTTATAAGCGCTTTTCTGAGCGGCCGCTTTTCCAGCGCTTATAATCGCTTTATTCTTGGAAAAATCGCTTTCGAAACGATTTAATCGATTAGAAACGACCAAAATGCGATTATAAGCGCTAAAAAAATAAGGTAATCGCTTTTAAAAATATTTACAGCAATTATAATCGGTTATGAGCGCTTTTATTTGAATCAATTATAATCGCTATAAAAGCGATTATAAACAAATTATTATAATTAACTGTATTTCACAATCTTATGTTCACATCTAAGTTGATCCAAGCTGTTTCTAAAATACACAGCTGATACCACATGAGTACACAGTGTTGTGTTAAACAATCTCTGTGTACATTGGTCTATGTGATCCCCCAATCCCCCGTGTTATTGCGAGTAGCTGGAAATGCTGTTCCGCTCTCTTTTTCCTGGTGACTTGGTGAGGGTGCGGCTATTCTGGGACCGAGTACCAGATCTGGTTATTAGATACTAATGAGATACTAATGAGATACTAATGAGATGCTAATTAGATGATAATTAGATGCTAATCGCTTGTTTACTAACAAGGGCAATACTGATTACACCCTACATGTTTATTACATGATACTCACAGCAATCTGAAATATTGCATTCTTGTAATGGCAATGGTCTCATAGAATATCGAACCTTTATGTGATAGAAACATCATCAAGAAGAACAATCACAACTATCCGTGAATAGTCTGCTTCTACACTCTCAACCCTCTAGAATGTGACACTTTATTTAACTATAACATGTGATAGAAGATATTTCCCGTATAAACTATGTCAAGATCCCAGTATTGACCCTCTCACAAGATGTATTTGTTCCTTCAACTGTCCCCGCTGTAAACTACACAGAATGAACACCTGTTCTTATGTTGTCATCTCAGAACATTGTCTCGTCTAAAGTTTAGTACACTCACTACACAGTACACATTCTATACTTAGTACAATACTCTTTACTCATATTAGGACTAGTGTTATCATAGTTAATTTAAGATTAATAATCTCAGAGTATTGTCAGAAAGGATGAGCTCTGAAAGTTAAATAGATATTATATGACAAGCTTATACATATATAAATAACGTACTGATATCATCTGGGTTCTTTAAAATAAGATGGTGGTTGTAAGGTAGAAATTTATAATTCTTTCCTCTTTTTTGTGGTATCTCTCTATCAAGAAAAGTTCAGCCACATTTTCATTTGATTGAGAGCAATTTAGTCGCAACAATTTGTAATGCATCTTTAACACATGTATATTCATTATTTTCATTTATAGTACACATTCTGCACTGAGTACAGAGTCTGTGTACACTGAGTACAGAGTCTGTGCACACTGAGTACAGAGTCTGTGTACACTGAGTACAGAGTCTGTGCACACTGAGTACAGAGTCTGTGCACACTGAGTACAGAGTATGTGCACACTGAGTACAGAGTCTGTGTACACTGAGTACAGAGTATGTGTACACTGTGTACAGAGTATGTGTACACTGAGTACAGAGTCTGTGCACACTGAGTACAGAGTCTGTGCACACTGAGTACAGAGTATGTGCACACTGAGTACAGAGTATGTGCACACTGAGTACAGAGTCTGTGCACACTGAGTACAGAGTCTGTGCACACTGAGTACAGAGTCTGTGCACACTGAGTACAGAGTCTGTGCACACTGAATACAGTGTCTGTGTACACTGAGTACAGAGTCTGTGCACACTGAGTACAGAGTCTGTGTAAACTGAATACAGAGTCTGTGTAAACTGAATACAGTGTCTGTGTAAACTGAATACAGTGTCTGTGTACAGTGTACCGAGTACTACACACTCCTACTCATTAGGTGCGGTCCTCTCACAGATATGTGTGTATTGAATGTGATGGTTGTCATGGTAACAGGTGCGTGTGTATATTATAGTGTACAGATCCCTCCTGGATCACTTCTCTATGATTGTGGTAACTGGAGTTATAATAACTTAATGAGACAGTTTATAATGGTATGGATGTATTAAGGACCACGCCCCATCCCTTTTGACGGATAGTATTGTAGGTAACAGTAATATAACAGGGATTGTACCACACTAATCTAGAAGAGCAGTCTGCCCCTCCTCTTATACACTCTGCTGTATTTACAGAGCTGCAAGGTCAAAGGGTTATTTTGCTAAAGATGGTAGAGGTATGATGCATCCAGCGCATTGCAGCTGGAAAACCGGGGATAACAATAAATACAAATTAGAACCCAATAGTTAAGAACCCAATACTCAACTCTAATGTGATCCAATACAAAACACTGGAATAATCTTAAGAAAACTTATTTAAATGAAGCAGAAAATTATCCTTTTATTAGAATGGATCATTACTCCTCGTGTGCAGGCACATTCTCTCAATAAAAACACACATATTGGCATTAATCCAACTCCCATGTCATAATCTCAGAGACAGGTCTCGTCTGGCTACAGAAGTGTCCTTCCAGATTAAAAGCAAGCAATTACAAGTTTATTTCCACTAATCACTTTGCCACACATCTCCCACGAAATTAATAGTAACCAATTACTATGTCTGATAACTTCTTTCTGTCACAAATCGCATACGAAATCGATTTCCTTTCACTTATACTCCTTTGAGAGCACATTCATGTAATCTATCTGATGAATAATCACAACAATTTCACCTTGCACTTGGCCTGGTATTGTCCACTTCCAATTAATTTCCCCCTCAAATGACCACCTTGAGAGCCACACCAACCGTTTTGTAGCAATGGTAAAAGTGGGAGGGGCGTCTTAAAACGTATGTTTATCCCACATATTCCGTTACTCCGCTCACACCATCTCATGAGATGTTGTAATTACTGTTACAATGTAACACTTAAATTGTGGCCCAATCAACAAACCCTGACCTCCGCAGGCAGTCCAGACTAGACAAGGAACAGTTGCACCATCTTGCTGTGAACATTACTAAGTTCTTCAGCTGGCCTGAAAACTCTATCAAGAACTGCCAGTAAGTTACTCGTTATTATAATTTAATTAATTGTTTTAATAATTTCAACACTACTATATAACAAATAATCTGAGGAGGTTATGAAAAGATGATATTTTATTCGAAGATTTCAACTGTGTCTAATTCTAAAGTTAATTCAGTGTTATTATAATGTTCGCTAATTAATTAGTGACGTAGTTTAAATACTGGTTGGCTAATCTAGAAGACCACTCGACTCTAGTAGTAGTCGAACTAGAGTTCAGGTACTGGTAGCGTACTCTAATTCGACAGAGTCCAACCTTAGGGTTTGTCGAACTAGAGGACGTGTTCCGGTCCTCATGGTATGTAATAGTTGTAATACCAAATATCAATCTGCACATTGATATCCCAGACATAAGGGAACAGTAGAACGACTCATTGTCACATGACTCGGATAGGTCAAATCATTGGCCAATTATCTACTAGTCTCATAGGAAAGAATAATGTTTTCTCGCAGCTTGTGAAACGTAAAGCAATATGGTTTATTGATGTACCATAACATCTACATTCTGCAAGCTGTGTTATTAATCTAGGAGAAATATACCAAAGCTATTAAGATAGGTCAGGTCTGTGAGGACAATAAGGCACTGAGTGCGTCACTATTCACTATGCAGTATGCACCGTTAATAATCTGCACTAATAATATCTTGCAACGTTTCTAAGCTGGTGAGATGGTGACAAATTGACCTTTGACGCAGTGCTACCGTCATGATAGAGGCTGCCCATTCCACCCAATATAAATCAAGACACGCTATATACCATGTATATTAAATTATATATTTGTTTGTAGATCAGTTCGTATGGCGAGTGCAGCCTTTTAGTGTTATTACATTTCATGTTATGAATTATCTGATTCTTTCTGATTAGAATCGAGACATTCAAGTTCCAACCTCATAGTCAAACTAAATTCTAAACGTCCAAAAAATTCAAAAAACAAACATAATTGAACACCAGTTGTCAAATGGATGTTTGAAAATTGTCAAAAAATGTGATAAAATACGAGAGCTGCGAAAAAGAACAAATTGGTTAAATGTCAATTTTTAGGAAAGGTAAAGACTGTAGTCAAACTCGAAAAATAACACGAAAACTAAGGCTGGTGAAGTTTTATAAAATAATCGAACATAGATGATTCTCAATCCTGATTAGCACGAAATAATTCTTACCGTTCAAATCATTCGCCCAAGTCCGGCAGCAAGCTTTTTAAAAATATTTGGAACCGTTCCACTTCAGCGTAACAACACTTGCACAAATCTAATTGAAGATTTACCTTACTTAGACATCTTTATGAAGATGTCCGAAAGAAAATGTGCTCCATATAAAGCTCGTTCATGTGAGAATGTCAGTCTCCGTTTATTTAATTTGGAGGTTTTCTGTCACTGGATGCTACTTCTCCTAACTAGATACGAGTTGAAATGTTTATTGAAGCTTTGATCTACGTAATTATTTTCAGGGAAACACTCGAACACCTTACCTGTGCTGTAGTTGGACTAAATCCTGTTCTCGTTTCTACTAATCTAGGTAATCATCATTTAAAGCATATCATTTACTTTTCCTTTTTCTTTCCCAACAATAAAATCTTCAACAACTTCCGCCTCTATCGCTGTTATTTCGTAATGTTCGCAGAATATCTGACCACTATTCAGTGAATAGTGGTCAGATATTCTGGAAATAACAGCAAAGTATTCACTTTGCAACTGCAGGAGACATAAGTAGCCAATAATTTACTCCAACTGATTTTACGGATCGCCAATCGCCCGACGTATCCAACTTTACACACTCCAGGCAATGTCTAGTTAACCACTGTCTATAATTTAACTATCGTCTAATTTTCATGCGCATAAAATTAAGATTGAGCGTATGACATAATCACCTATATTTGTAGGAATCTATCAACTTTGAGTATTCATTGTTTTAAGCTCAATTAACAGATCCTCGCTCTACCTACTGAGGAGTTAAACCGCTCTAACGACAAATAGATAATTTAACTTTGTTGAGACTATAGAGGTTAGATGTATGTAATCGACCACAGACTTCTATTTACACAACGACCTGTAATTTCCTGCCAACTTCGTACGAAGATCTTAACGCTTGGTTATTTACTCTACCTATCGTGTAACAATTACAGGATATTTAACTCCGATTGTGGGCGCCATGCTGACAGTTAAATCCACTCTAAAAACTACTACAGGAAACAACAATACAACCTCATAATATAGAATAATTGAGATAACGGAATGATCAAAACTCGTACCATCCCATCCCATCCCATCCCATCCCATCCCATCCCATCCCATCCCATCCCATCCCATCCCATCCCATCCCATCCCATCCCATTCCATCCCATCCCATCCCATCCCCTGTGACTCTTTCAATCCTTTAATTTCGCAGCATTAGAGAGTAACATTGATAAGATAACCCCGATAAAAGTTGACTCTGTTGGAACATCAAACAAGGTTGGTATTTCTTTCTAGTAATCATTCTGTAATCGTCTATTCATCATTTATTTTAAATCATTATTTAATTATGAATAATTAACCATTGTACAAATTTGGGCATAATATAAAAAGCCAAAACCAGTCATTGGTACCCTGGCCCTACTCGTCTAATCGGCCTCGGATCGAATGGAAAGTATGTCAACATCACTCAGCACTCTGCATAATACATAATATTATAATATGCAGGACTACGTTCCTTTAAATATCCGTTCCCATTCTTATCTGAAGTGTCAAATTGTAAAATTATAGTTGTACTCTAGTGCATACACCTTGTTAATATTTCATAGCTAAGACCGAACTGCTCGAACTAACGAGATGCATATTGTCCAACCATAAGTAGATAAGAGGCTTCATACCTGCGTTTAGATCGACGCACCGTTTTCTTATAAAGTTATTATACTACTTCTAAGGTACAGATCTTCTGATCCGGAAATGCTTAATGTAACCTTGTTGAGCTCCGCCATTCCTCGGAGTGTAATTCTTCTAAAAGTGATTATCTAAAATATGGTATAAACGCTCCTGACAAATTAGTCATTTGCGCCCCATTATTTAGAGAATTTACGATGAAATTGATGTGAAGTGGGGCACAAGTTATATCCGGGCCGTGGGCCCAGTTGGAAAGCGCATCATCTCAATCTCGTCCCAAGATTTACTGCTTAGTTTGTGCATACCGTTCATCTTTGAATTTCCAAATGATTCTAATCAGACAGTGCATATTGTGTTCTCTAATCGTTCAGGTAAATTATTTCAGTTCATTATTAATATTATATTTATCATGATTATAACATGTATATTGTATAACAGGAATTGAAATAGTCAGTCCAAATATGTACAAAGTTGAAGAAAATTGCACACGATGCCCACATTTGTTCTCAAAAGTGTAACTGTTCACTGTCAGAAGACATTTATCCTAAATTTGGCTCGAATTCTATCAGATTATTCAATATCGCCACATCATAGATTGGATGGATTTTAAATTGTTGCTAGTTTCACTCGGGTTTGTCTTTGGCACCAGATGTTCAGCAACATGACCTAATTAAGACACTTTCCCACTACTAACTTTAGAAAGAATAAGAAACTAAAACTGTTTCTTTCCACAGAATGCGAGCCTGTTAGCAGCGGAAGATACAGTTACTACCACACTTGTACCAGAGAAGATGACTCTGTCTGACGTTATGATCTGGGTGTTTGGGGCCATTCTGCTCCTCCTCCTTGTATCTCTATTTCTTGTTTATCTGGTTCAGAAAAGGTATGTCAAGTTTTTAAGTGTCATACCGCAATAAAATACAACAAAATACAATCAAATTCCCATTCAGTATCTTTGTGGGTAAGATTTTTAATATCTTGAGATAAAATGTTATGCCTACCCGCCCTACCTGCATATATTGCTTTATTTAGTCTGTGCCCCTCCCCCCCCCCCCCCGGCCCCCACCCCCCCCCCCCCCCCCCCCCTATTCTATTGTTGTATTTCAATACGCCACACCCAGCTGTGGCAGGTGACACTTTAAATTATGATCTTGCATTAGAAGAACACGCTTCAAATGTAATATTTTAGCATTTTGTAGAACAGAGGAATATTTGACAAATATTGCTCTGTTTTACAAAACACTAAATAAGTGAATTACTCTCATAATTTGCGTCGTGATATTTCACGTTTGCTTAAATGTACAGTAATTTAGTCAGCTTAATCTTTACCCCCACTTACAGACAAACTGGACACTCGAAGCTTAATAATGAAAGTGACAATGGATCTAACTCCGAATTGTATTATGACTACGAGGTTTGTAATTTGGAGATTATGATATTTTGTTTGTTAAGCAATAAATAAAATATTGTATATTCAACTAATAGCCGTTCGTATTCTCCGATTTGTACTCACGTATTCAGTGATTGGTTGCCATATAATGGCTATCCTAACTTATTTGGTTGCAGAAATTGAATTACTTTACTGAATAATTAAAATTTATGACATCTTCACCATATGAATATGGTTAACATTGTTTTCCTAAAGATACAATACGATCAAAGGTATTTTCCAGTTCCTAAATAAACAAATTTTATACATGAATTTTGTATGAATTCTGATTACTCACAAACTTGCTGTTAGTAAATAATAAGGGTGAGATCTTACTTAAATCGTAGTTATATTTTAGCGAAGTCATTTCAGAATGCGTAATTATGAATGTAATTATGAATGTCATAACGTGTAGTGTCAGTAAACAGTTGACCCTATTGTTGAGAGAGAGAGAGAGAGAGAGAGAGAGAGAGAGAGAGAGAGAGAGAGAGAGAGAGAGAGAGAGAGAGAGAGAGAGAGAGAGAGAGAGAGAGAGAGATAGCCTCTCATTAATTTTATACTGTGCTACTCAATCTAGTGATGAGTCCCGAATAAGTGAGCATTCATAATATCATATCTCGCTCTGTGTGACGTAGATCTCGGAAATTAGGTCCCTTCAGAGTGAAATGGGGGAATGTGTCGGAATTGCGATGTGATTATACCTTATACCGTATACGGAGCTACTAATATACCGAGAATTCTGGAGCGGGTGCAAAAGTCGGGAGCTGGGATCGAGTAATTCAGTCATTGTGCCCTATAACAATAGTATAAGAATGTATAAGAATAGAAATACCATTATAACTTAACACCTAACTACTTCTCAGAACCTGGTACGTTCCCGGATACAAGAACAAACAAGTACCCACCACCGCCCTCCCAACCTGACCCAGCACCAAGTGTCCTCCAGTAAACAATGGAGCACCGAGGAGAAGGGTTCTCCCGAGTATATTGGACAAAAGATGGATATACAGAGCGCCCACCTAGCTCTTAGTTACATGGAGCAATACTTGTCAGACACCGACAAGATTGGTACCGAGTGGGAGGTTTGTTTTGTTTAGAATGTATCGGGGTTACTCAAAAGTGTTTTAACCTTGTCAACTGCTTTTTTCCCCGCCCCCAGTGTTGTCTCACGTCATAATATTTCACACATCAATAGTTAAATCAAACCTATTTCAGAGGCTGTGTGTGTATGAGCCTGAACTTCAGCTCAGTGATGTTGGTATAAGAGCGGAGAACGTTGCTAAAAATCGCTTCTCGACTGTTATGCCTTGTGAGTAGTTATTTAATCTCTTGAAAAATACGAAATTTGCGTTTTTATAGCAAATGTACTGAAAACAATGAACGCACGTCAAAGCGCACGTCATGATGTACTCAAAATGTACATTTGTTTATGTTATTATGAAATGGGGGCCAAAAGTCACTTCACATACTTGTGGCTTATTTCTCACTGAGTGCCCTATTGAAATAATTCTTTCTGGTATGACTTGTTATTGTCACTCATTCGAGGAATATATCAAATCAAATTATAACGATGTTCATTTCCTCCGAATGATCGTTCATTTTCGCGGTTTTTAGAATTATTGGATCGAGTCAAATTGTAATGTGTTTGGCCTTCTAAGATACACTTGTCCTGAAAAATTGAGCTCTGGCTACACAGATGACCGAGATATCGAGCATAAAGAGGTTAGTCATTACGCGGTATCAAGTGATTGGGTTGACATTAGATCTGCACTTTGGGAATCGTACAGAGAGCCCAATTACGATGTCGTAATGAAATGATTACCCAATCAATTTTTGTAACGAGAAAAACAAATTGCTTGATAACTTCGTCATTTTGAATCCGTTTTGAGTAATCTTTTCATATTCCACAACTAATGAACTTTACCAATATGTTAAAATGAAGTTTCTACACACTATACTTCACAAAAACGAGTAGAAACTATAAACGATTCAACTTTGATTGGGTGTTGTTGTTAGCCCGGGTGTGGTTCTCAAAAATAAAATATTTGAATTTAAGCGACGGAATCTTCGAATGAGTAGGTACACTGTTAGTTGTTACAGTTGTTAAACTATAAAGCATGGCTCTGTTATAACACCCTGTTATGTGCACTGACTTTGTCCCCCCCCCCTGTATATGAATATTAATGTTATCTTGTATTTAAAAGAATTCTTTCTTGTTTGGTTTGGTCCTTACCTGCAGTATCCTGCATCGCGAAGGTGCAATATTTTGATGACATAATATTATAGTACAAAGAACAACTTAATAGAATACATTTGCTCTATTAAAAAATTCGTTGTACACAATTGTTTGAGAAGGTACAAATAAATCGTATAATTTGGCACGCCAACATTTTTCAAAAGGTTAAGCCTTATTTTCTGCAGTCTGCAATACTGAATACGTTTTATTTTTTATTTTCACAATGGCCGATGATTGAAATAATTCATTTAGAAAAGAAAAATTGCTTATGCATTGTCGGCAGTACAATGAGATCCACACTCAAGCCATATTTTGAATCACCGATGGTGTGTTTGAATGTAAGTCATGTTGCAACATCTGTGAGAGACCTATTATTTTGGTCTTTTGTATGGAACGCGCGCTGACATTTATATGAAGAAAAACTAGAATTTTATTTTCACGTTGTCATCAAAAATTGTTCGGTTGTGTACAACGTACCGGGGCATGCCCGATAAAAAGTCTGTCCCCCCCCCCCCCCCACTGAGATTTGAGCTCTGTCTACACAAGAATTATGATCTCTAAAATAAACTTTTTCAGATGACCACAACCGAGTGAAGTTGTCGAACCAGCACGCTTCAGACTACATTAATGCCAGCTATATTGTAAGTTTTTGATTCTAAATAGTACATTTCACTTGCTGATAAGTTTAAATAATTAACTTGATTAGAGTATGATACTTATCTGATATCTCAACTTTAATTGACTGAAATACACTCGTAGTACACAGAGAGCCCAAAGAACCCCGCCTACATAGCAAGTCAAGGACCGCTTCAAAATTGCGCGGGCGACTTCTGGCAAATGGTTTGGGAGCAAGGTGTCTCGGAGATTATCATGCTCTCTCTTAACGATGGAATTGATGTAAGTCAAGTGCATGTTTTTATCATAGACAATCGCAACATGTTTCCTATTTTAAACCTGAACCACATGACTATATGTACCTGTAATGTGTATATGTATGTAAATTGTAATGTGTTTCTAACTTACATGTAAATCTATTTCAGTGTTACCAGTACTGGGGGACGGATGGAAATGGAGTATATTATCACTACCAGTTACATCTAGTCAGTGAACATGCCAACCATCCTGACTATCCTGACTACATTGTCCGCAGCTTCTATCTCAAGAACCTGCAGGTGAACTGAAGTTTTGATTATCTCTGTGGTACGGGGTACCCATCAGCTAAACAGCTTATCACTTATATCATCAATCAATCAAAACTCAGACAAAATCACTGTGTGAAAACATGTGGTTCACCATCCCACCAGTATCCAGATATATTGTCTCCTGAAACTCACTTAGTAAACCTTTAAATAATAAACTGTTTTAACAACCCTCCTAACCTCTCCCAGACCTACGAGACTAGGACAGTAACTCAGTTCCACTACGTAGCCTGGCCCATGGCCTCCAGTATACCTCGCTCTACTCAGAGTATACTCGACTTCCGTAGAAAGGTTCACAAAGGTTACCGGGGTCCCAGCGCTCCTCTCCTTGTCCACTGTAACGGTGAGTTGGAATATTTCTACTGTATTGTGTGCTATAGATTAAACAATTGTCGATAAGATGGTATAATTGTGACAGATTTAAGATTATCAGGTACAATGATGAAGATTGCTTCACCTCTAGCAGGTAAACTTATACACTAGTGCTATAATACCGTCTCTCTCAGATGGGTTGGGTCGAACAGGAACCTTCACCCTCCTAGATATGACTCTGAATCGTATATGTAAAGGAGTAAAGGAGATAGATATGGAAGCTGCAGTGGAGCACCTCCGAGATCAGAGAGCTGGAATGGTTGTAACCAAGGTTTGTTTTACTCACAACCCCCCGACCAGTATCTTACAAATATTTCACTAGATAAATGTGCTGAGCATTTCCTCATTTTCTTTGATTGGTTCACTCAATTTCCGTTATATCTCAGGAACAGTACGCGTTTGCTCTATCAGCTGTTGTAGAGGAGATTCACAACATTCTCGGAGAACTGCCCAGTCCTAGGACCGGCCAGGTTACTCCCACCATGGATTAATAAAGATGGAGAACTAGCCACAACATGGGCGCTGGCTATTCCCTTCCATGGACTCAAATTGCAGCAAGAACCAACAATGCTGCAATTTTATAAGAGCTTCTACCACCAAGCTCCCGCACATATGTTAGACCAGTTTACCATTGTTACTGACGTGGTTTTAAAAATAATCAGAGATGGTTTAAGAGACTGGTCGGACGTATGTGTTTAAATGTATTTTGTGCTGTGCATTGTGGCTTTATTGCTTTGCAACAGCATCTTTGCACTGTTGCAGTGATGCCGTTGCACTGCCTTTATCTCACAATCACGAATCAAAATTTAAAATCTAAAATTTGTTTTAACATTTAAATTTCATAACATAAGTGTCATTTTGGATAACAGTTTTAAAGTTTATGCTTCAAATTTCAATTTAATTTAACGTGATAATATTTGAGTGTTTGTCTTCAGCTTTCAAGCTATAAATTATCAGCTAACACATTCTGTAGGTTTTTATTTTCTAGCTGGTCTGGAAATTTTAAAATTTTCACAGCTTAAATATTACCATTTCCACGACTAGAGATTGCATGCTTAACATAGTTTTAAAGTGTATGCTAGTTTAAGATTTTGGAAAATTTAATGATCCCGCTGGAACAAAATGTATCTAGAAGATTGAGTACTCAATAACCCTTAAATTTGCGTCGCTGTGCCAGCTTATTTATTTGCTTTAGCTTGCTTGTCTTTTAACTCAAAATATGTTGGAATTTCTTTCGCTTTCTTCTTCGTTGTCGCCAGAAAACCGTATTTTATTTCTCAAAAAATAATCTGTTTGTTATCATGTACGCATGTTTTAAAACAAAGACATTCAATCGCCGTACCCCTACTCTGCTATATTAGTTTTCGAGTATATATTTCATATACGCTCATTCTAACAGAGTCAAGATGTGGTAAATTAGTGAGTTTTAAACTAAAAGTTAAGTGAGTTGAGCAGCCACATGTCATATTAGGGATTATTGATTAATTTTGAAATTAAACGCAATCTGCACTGGTCAATAATACTTCACATGATTTCGGGTAAAATAATTTCCTAAAATAAGCTATTCAGATTACTGTAAACATACGATAATATAGCGTTACCACTATTATACATATTATAATTATATAAGTCCATAATTTAAGTAGTTACTAGCTAAACACATGCTAATAATTTAAATTCCACTGGGAAAAACAAACTCTCATACCCTAACGTATCCAATAACTATAAGCAAAACATTTACGTGCTTGATTATTATAGACTCATTTAGATCGACTTGAGGAGACCGCAGATATTTCTTACAGGATACGGTACTGGATAGCATTAATCATGCAATTTTGCGTGGATAGTCTATAATTTAGCGTCACCGCTCTTAAATTAAACCTAACAGCAATAAAATAACCTAAATATTTGATAATTTTAATTCAGCTGGACTTTAGGTTGTTTGGTAAATATGCAAACAATTTACCCTTGATGTCACAGTGTTTAACTCTCGCAATTTATATGCTTATTTAAAGGGCACTAGATCCAGTTCCCTAGTATTAAACTTATCCTACTGACCATGATATAAATCATTAAACTTTCAAATCGACTTTCAAATCGAAACTTGTATCGATAATAGTCCGATCATGCATCTAATATCGCAATAAAGTCTCTCGAACCTAGCAATATAACCCACGTGATACCACGTAAATAGTCGAGTCAGGTTTCTAAATATATCTATCCTACAAATTAAAAACAGAATACCTAATAATTGTTAATTAACTAGGTTTTTAAATCTAAACGTTCTGGGCATGAACAAACTCTGTTATTCCATCTAAATATTCCATATTTCGATCAGAGTTCTAATCTTTAAAACTCATCCCAAAGAGGGTCAGATTCAAGGTACTGAGCCACCGTATCCCAGATAAGATTCTTCTCGATCATTTCCTGGACGACTTCAATGTCAGGAGTGAACGCTCTATCTTTGACGTACGGCTCAACTTTCGACCGGACCAGACAATAGACCTGAAAAAGAAAATATTCTGGTGAAATTCACATCGTATATCATCAACTTGTTGTTAATGTTGTTAATGTTGTTAATGTTGTTAATGTTGTTAATGTTGTTAATGTTGTTAATGTTGTTAATGTTGTTAATGTTGTCAATGTTGTTAATGTTGTTAATGTTGTTAATGTTGTTAATGTTGTTAATGTTGTTAATGTTGTTAATGTTGTTAATGTTGTTAATGTTGTTAATGTTGTTAATGTTGTTAATGTTGTTAATGTTGCTAAGTAGTAGTTACCGCTTCTAAAGGCTCAGTAGTGCGGAGAGGACGTTTGAACTCCAAAGCCTGACAAGCGGCTATCAGCTCTATCGCTAACACATTCTCCAAGTTCTTCACAACCGTCAGGGCTTTCCTAGCGGACCATCCTCCCATCGACACGTGATCCTCTTTGCCAGCAGATGTGCTCTGTGTGTCCGCAGATGAAGGGAAACACAAGGTTTTATTTTCACTGACCAGGGCAGCCGAGGTGCAGTGAGGGATCATGAATCCCGAGTTAAGACCTGAATTTCATTTGAAAGTATGTTCATTGTTCATCAAACTTTCAAAAATATCAGCCAGATTTTCCTAAGGTATAAAAATAAACTCGAATCAGCTGGCTACTATAAATTGGAATAAGAAGCCGATATAAATAACACTACTATTGTACCTGGGGAGTCGACGAGGAAAGCAGGCAGGTTGCTACAGGTAGGGTTACACAGCCTTTCTAGCCTTCTCTCGCTCATATTCCCAATCTCGTGCACTGCTATGGTGAGAAAATCAAGAGCCTTGGCCGGGTACTCCCCATGGAAGTTTCCTGCAGAAATGATGTCAGCATGTTCAATGTCCTGTCCTTCCCCAGCACCAAATACTAAAGGATTATCTGTGGCACTGTTCATCTCGGTGGTGAAGATACCCTCCACAAAGTTTAGTGTATCCAGAGTGATTCCCACCACTTGGGGAACACATCTGATGGTGTAGGGGTCTTGAACATCGTGTTTTTCCTGCTGATATATCTCTGAGGGGTATTTAGTGTTGTTACAGAGAGCTCGGAGGGCGGCTGCTACTCGTTGTTGTCCCGCGTGTGGCCTGATGGCATGTACTCTCTCGTCGTAGGCACTTGTGTGTCCCTCCAAGATGTCAAGTACTATTGCGTTGATGACGATGGTTGTTCTGAGGCACTGCTTCGCTCGCTGTAATGCTTCAGCTCCAACCTAGCAAAATAAAAGTTTAACTGTGGCCTTATATTCGTAAAAATTGTGGGGTCGATGGCTGAAGCCAATTATTTTCTGTCTAAGAAAAAAATATCAAAACCGGTTTAGCTACTGAAACTAACCCCGCAGATAAATTGAGTCCCGTTGATCAAGCTTAAACCGTCTTTTGGTGTTAGTTGGTAAGGAACCATATCGTTTGCAGCCAGGACCTCCAAAGCATCGCCCAGCCCGGTTTTAGGACTCCACATTTTTCCTTCTCCTATCATTCCTTGAGCAAGGTGAGCTAACGGTGCGAGGTCTCCGCTTGCTCCCACCGTTCCTTGTGCTGTACAAATACAGTATATACAATTTTTATTCGATATGATGATCTCCATTCTCCTTCAAAATGTATTATAGTGACAATTGAAAGCATCAATTACTTCTAATAACACCTAATTACACCTATAATTAACCAGCAGCCCACCTGGTATTAGTGGTAAACAACTCTTGTTGAACATTTCCACCATATATTCCACAAGTCCAGGATTGCAGCCCGAGAAAGCCTTTGCGAGCACATTGATTCTAAGTGCCAGTATTCTTCTCGTAGTATCTACTGCGAGTGGTTCTCCAATACCAGCACAATGGGATCTGAAGTTATTAGAGATGATTTTCAAATAGGGAATTTGAAATAAAATATAAATGGTATGATTGACCAGTGCAGAATACGACTTTTTATACTCGATATTTCATTATAAAACAACATCTAACTCATTTAATAGACTGGCTCATGAATTTCCCAATTATTTACATGTGAAAATTAAGTCTATACATCAACCATGCTTGTACTATGTACTATGTACATATGATTGATACTAAAACATTACCGAACCCAACTATGGGAGTCGATCTAATTCATAGATTAGTGAATCGATACCATCGTGTATTAGGTACAATAACTGTCGATATTCCGCCCCTCAAGCTAACAAATTTTGGATATTCAAGCACATAGAGAGAAAACTGATGAGCCAGTAATATAACATACATCCACGAACCTGACAATGTTGTACTGCAATTCAACAAGCTTCTCGCTTTCTACAACAACTTTTGACAGAAGTCCAAAACCAGTGTTTATTCCGTACCGAACGTATCCCTTCTCGACAATATTCTCCACGATGCTGCGTGTTTCATGTAGCTTACGGACTGTTTCTTCACTCAGAGAAAGTTGTGCTTCGCCCTTACCTTAAAAAGATTGTACCGTCACCAAAACATTGACAGCTTTTCGCCCAAAATCGCCATTTTGAAATGCAAAGTGGACGGATTTCATCCCTTTTGGAAATCTTCCTCTTGAAGTACATAATGAAAATGGATGGATTTCGCACAATCGCTCTTGGACAGATCTGAGATCACAGATATCTTAATCTTATCATTATAATTTAACACACTAACCAAGTCTAATGAGGGAGTCCAAGGTAAGATCGTATCCATTAACATCGATAATTGAGGTATCATTATCAACAAAACTGGCAGGTTCTGGAAGCTCTTCATCTTCCGCGATCACACATTCAGTTTCGTTAGACTCACTGCTGCTTCTCGTTTCTTTCCTTTTTGACGCTGTTTTACGAACCACTATTTCTACCATGTCACCATCACTGGAAAAATAAATCGAACCCATAAGATTCATTGAACAAATTAGAATAATGAGGACTTCATGGTAAAACGAGCGTGACTGAGTTTTCATTCGACCAACTCTGCAAGGTAGCAAACCTTGACTTTCCGCCAAAATAACTCGTTGGATACTTACCTCAAAACATCTTTGATAATGTCAGACGACTTCATGATATAAAATTCATCACGATGGAACTTCTTGAAGTAGCATTGGTTATATTCCATGTCACACTCGATTCCAGTGTCTTCCAATCTCGTAATTGCTTCCTGGAATTAAGGGAAGAAGTTTAAGAGGGGTTGTAAAACTTAAAAGTGATACCAACAATTACAAATTCTTCCCTGGCTAACAGCTATCAGTATTCACTATTTTTGTCTGACTTTTCATACAGAAGCAAGATATTTAAAATATGCCAAGAAAGCCTCAAGGGAATTACAAGCAGCAAGCAGTCTCTTACTGGTTGATTAACAGACATTTTCGACGGAATATTACGATTTCAAAGCGAGATTTTTATGCCAACGTAGGCAACCTAGTTTTCTGCATATGGAGATTTTTGACATGAATTGTTGAGGATGCGTATGATAAAATATTTGATTTCGAGATGGTCTGTGGTCAACTCAAAGCAACAGATCATATTCAATATTCAACTGCTACACACAGATTGCTACCCATTTAAACACTATGGTATCAGTGATCAAAAATAGTAAACTAATCTTTCAACTTACCACAACCACTACTGGTAACAATACCGGTTGAACCCACGGACTATTGTTCGAACAGAATATATAACTTTAAAGTAGTAAATTCGTTTTTTCCAATGTACGAACAAAAGAATTGGCAGCAAGAATAATTCCTTCGACGGATTGAGTAATTAAAATCACGAAAATGATGGCCGTTTCATCCAATTTTGAATTTCCAAATTGCTCCTTCACAAATCTTAATATAGTCAATAAACGACTATCAGTATCATGATTGACTGAAAGGAAATGTAATATTCGTGTCATTATTATTTATCAAGATAAAAGTGTGTTGAATAAATGTACATTGTACATGCAGAATTTTGAACAGAGATACTATTGTCTGTACCTTAAAACTATTTTGTGACGGTACATACAATGCACCATTGTCCGACATCCGTGCCCTAAAAATGTCTCTTTCTGTGAGGATTCAATTCAGGGTAGTAATTTACAATAGCACTCTGCACTGTATTTTTTTCAACAGTTGGAGGACCGTTGTTTTAACTTAAAGTCGCACTTTCCAAATTCTGAGAGACTTCGTAATAGTTTATGGCCGGATATAATTATCTTCAAAGCCCCACGAAAAACCTAACCGAACCTCCACGCGGTGTGGGGTGGGTGGCTCGAACGGGAGGTGCATGGGTGTTTCTAACCTATGCAAAGGAAGGGACTAGCCATCTCTACAACAAGGAAAGGCTCTAATAGCCTCTACTAACCTTAGAACCGCAGCATAACCGCTTTTCCCACAGGCAAATAACAACTTCCGCAGGAAACTAACACACTCACAGGCCCCCACATGACGTGTAACCCCAGGATTTGGTTTTGGATCAGACACTGAAAACAACGATAGAGGAGCGGTCTACACGCTCACAGGCTACCATGTCTCGTGTAACCCCAGGATTCGACACGTTCACAGGCTACCATGTCTCGTGTAACCTTAGGATTTAAACACGCTCACAGGCTACCACGTCTCGTGTAACCCTAGGACTCTAACACTTAACAGACTCTAACACGCTCACAGGCTTCCACGCCTCGTGTACCCCAGGATTTGGTTTTGGATCGGACACTGAAAACAACGATAGAGGAGCGGTCTACACGCTCACAGGCTACCATGTCTCGTGTAACCCCAGGATTTTACACGTTCACAGGCTACCATGTCTCGTGTAACCCCAGTATTTGGTTTTGGATCGGACACTCAAAACAACGATAGAGGAGCGGTCTACACGCTCAAAGACTACCACGTCTCGTGTAACCCCAGGATTTAACACGCTCACAGGCTACCAAGTCTCGTGTAACCTTAGGATTTAACACGCTCACAGGCTACCACGTCTCGTGTAACCCTAGGACTCTAACACTTAACAGACTCTAACACGCTCACAGGCTTCCACGCCTCGTGTACCCCAGGATTTGGTTTTGGATCGGACACTGAAAACAACGATAGAGGAGCGGTCTACACGCTCACAGGCTACCATGTCTCGTGTAACCCCAGGATTTTACACGTTCACAGGCTACCAAGTCTCGTGTAACCTTAGGATTTAACACGCTCACAGGCTACCACGTCTCGTGTAACCCTAGGACTCTAACACTTAACAGACTCTAACACGCTCACAGGCTTCCACTTCTTGTGTACCCTAGGATTTGGTTTTGGATCGGACACTCAAAACAACGATAGAGGAGCGGACATCACGCTCACAGGCTACCATGTCTCGTGTAACCCCAGGATTTTACACGTCCAAAGGCTACCACGCCTCGTGTACTTAGGATTTGGTTTTGGATCGGACACTCAAAACAACGATAGAGGAGTGGTCTACACGCTCACAGGCTACCATGTCTCGTGTAACCCTAGGATTTAACACACTCACAGGCTACGACGTCTCGTGTAGCCCTAGGACTCTAACACTTAACAGACTCTAACACGCTCACAGGCTTCCACTTCTCGTGTACCCTAGGATTTGGTTTTGGATCGGACACTCAAAACAACGATAGAGGAGCGGACATCACGCTCACAGGCTACCATGTCTCGTGTAACCCTAGGATTTAACACGCTCACTGGCTCACAGGCTACGACGTCTCGTGTAGCCCTAGGACTCTAACACTTAACAGACTCTAACACGCTCACAGGCTTCCACGTCTCGTGTACCCTAGGATTTGGTTTTTGGATCGGACACTCAAAACAACGATAGAGGAGTGGTCTACAATGACGTTACAGGAACATTGCATACTCCTACGAGTTGCATGTAGCAGGCCATGACCGTCCCTGGAAGTCCCTGTCTCCTCATCGTTAACCCGTAAGGGGTTGCACCAGGGGCGGTGGTAACAGAACTTCAAGACTCTCGGAGTCTGTTGTCGATATCTATGTATAATATAATTATGGTATATAACTTGGGAGTCTCTCTCTCTAGCAGCAGGAGTTGGAGAATGGGGACGCGTTGTGAAAGCCACCGCAAGGAAGGCTTACAGTCGACGCCGACCAATCAAAAAAAAGAAGAAGAATTATCTTCAAAATGAAAATTTGTAACAGGAGTCATTACTTATACTTATAGGTACCCCTGGATGATATTTTTGTTGCTCATTACGAGACTTATTTGGATTCCACCGACCGATTTTCACTATTGGTTTAAAAAGTCACAAAGCTAACTCCATCTACGTACCTTAGCAAGATGAGATAGAGACTGGTTCTGCTTGATGACCGGTACAGCTATGTTGTGTCCATCCAACTTAACGTGAACACAGATTACATTCTTGACAGCCGCCTGCACTTTTCGTAGCGAGGAATACTTTTTTTCATTTGATCCATTAGTTGATCCAATAGTTGAATCAAACGCTTGCATTGCAGCTTCTTCGACCAATTGCTCTAAAGCTTTCAGTACCATATCGAACAATCTGGGCGATGGACAATTCTCATTAAGCTATTTGATTATCTCACTTTATCCCCCACTCGCAACATCAATTACTTAACCGAATAAACATAAACTGGAAAAACAAAACCACATCAAACAAATAATAAACATGTGGATTGGTTGTTTAAATTTATATTCAAAACGTACTAGTCGTCTGGTGATGCTGAATTTAAAAGAAATCGAAAATTAAAAGGAAATAACTACTATTAATATTTACTTAATTTAATATACTTTAACTTTAAACACTATTACAAGGAGTAACCAAAATAACACTTCGAGGACCCGACTGCAGGAAATTAGAGGACGTAAATAATGCGGACAATAAATGGTTTGAAGTAAACTGATTAAATATAAATCCTTCGTTATTAAAAGGGGGAAATTTACTCTTGTGAAACTGACGCGTGACATGTAATTTGTAAACATGAAACTGCATAAACTCTGACAGATTTGGAGTTTGCATCACAACTAACAAATTATAGAGATGGAAATGTATAACTGCAAGCTCTCACATTTATTTTGTACTGATGGAGCATAAAACCGGTTATGGTTATTAAAAACCGGTCTTTTTGTCACAAGATGAATTTACTCAATAGCCGTTTGTCATATTAAAATGATATCCAACTACTTTACTCGGATTTTTCAAAAGAATATTATAATCCTCCGGTAAGGGACTGATTACTTCGGTGAAATACTTCGGTGGATCATAATGAAAGCAAAAAGTGAACTACTCTACCACAAAACTGTACATGTCACTAGATGACCAATAGTTTTACCACATACAGTGATGTCCTACATCAGGAAAAGAAAGAAATTAAATGTGCAGATACTTGTCCGGCAGAGCGTCGGTACATTATAATTATAATATACCATTATTAATAGGACGAGTGCCATGAACTATGAAGTCAGATTTGAAGGCTGATCGGTAAATTTTAAAATATAAATATTCAGTCAATACAAGAAAACCAGTTAAACTTGAATTCATTAAATCGTGCAAAACAAGTTTTAGTTCATAAATCATACGCTTACGTAACGAATACGGCTATATATATAATAATAGGCCAATATTATTAACAAATCTGTAACTGCGGTAGGGTAACTATTATAATATTGGGGGGGGGGGGGGGGGGGGGGGGGGGGAACCATATTAAAGTATATTAAAATGTAGGATTTTTCCCGATTTTGACCCGGGGATATACTTTAATATACTTTAATATACTTTAATATACTTTAATATACTTTAATATATCCCTATCTCCTTGGAGGCCTACATCAAAAATTGTTGCCCAAAATAAGCTTGAAATGCAATTCTTAATCGATTCCAAAAAGTTCTTGAAAAAATATTGAAAACTGATGGAGTTATTTAAATTTTAATGAAGTCATTTTGGCTAGTATTCCGAACCGAGATATTATGTGCAATTTTCCCAATTTTGTTCATGGAGGTCTTTTTACTTAGTATCCACTATATTCAACAAACACTGAGTTATATCTTTCACATAGAGTTAGTCTCATTAAAAAATATTGAAATTTTATCGAATTTGGGGAAAAGCGAATTTGGGCAAAAGTGTATTTTAAAGCTCATAGCTCAGCCAATTTTTGATCAATCTGGATGGAAATTCATGTACTAGTCCTAAAACAGGCTTATCTTGCGAATCTGAGTGAAAAATATAGTTCATCATGTAAATCTTAACGAAGAATATAAATCTTCTAATTGTAGGTATATTAAAGTATATTAAAATGTAGGATTTTTTTCCGATTTTGACCCGGGGATATACTTTAATATACTTTAATATGGTTGGCCCCCCCCCCCCCCCCCCCCCCCCCCCCCCAATATTTATAATAATTATATATTACATTATTCTCGTAACGCATTTAATGATCCTTCTACCACCTTCTACCACATTCTAAATCATCTTAACCGAAGTTGGTGACTTGCACCTTGGAGAATGGATATGCAGGATAACAACAACATAGAAGATACTGTCTGCCATATTTATAGAACTCTATCCATAGGTCAGTCAGGCAGTGGTTCACGCTTTGTTGAACTCTCTTTAGGGAGATTTTTGGACTTTCTAGCTTACTTCAAGATAGGGTTGTATTGAGTTTATCCCATATCCTAGCTACTTCTGGCCACCCTACTCTGTATAGCTTCTAATAGTGAACCTATGCTACAAGTTTGCTCCCTGAAAACAACTATTATAATATATTAAGAAGCAGTGAAACTAGCGGGCTGCGATGAATGCCACCCCACGACAATATTAAGTTAGTTAACTTGTTACAGATATATATATATATATATATATATATATTATATATATCCTCCTACCTGATGGACCTACCTCTCATTGTTGATCATTGCATAAGGTTTTGAAATTGAAACCGGAAATAGAAGCTTTGTTTCTAGTAGACAATAGAGATGCGATAAAATGAATACCGAGAACTGAAGACACGTACTGGTATCCGACAAATTCGTGTGGTGAACTACTGACCTGTTAACTGAATCACGTGATTTAAGCTGCACAATGAGGTCTTAATGACCTATCAAATAATTAATTGAACTATTGAGGTGAACTATCTTAATTGGCCCAATTAAGATAGTGTAAAACACGGCTTCGTTACACTTCAGGTCTAGATGAGGTCTCCCTCAGATTTGGAGGCACTACTGTTCAGTGTTCAGACTTGAGAGTTGGAGTCAATGTTTAACTGTCAGGATGTGAGTGTGGGCATTCATTTTGGCCCATCCTGCAGTTTCAATTGATACAGGTTTTGGGAAAAAAAGTAATTTTATACACCAAATCAGTCTGGTGCTCAAGAGATATTTTGTGTTCGCAAGTATGAGGGTAGGTTAAACAAATTTGGACACTAGCCAGTGATTTAATATTGTCAAGGTTTCAATGTCTGTTTCTGAACCAATTAACAACACTGAAATAATTTTACAACCTTCCTGAGAGAAATTATATATAATGATGGGATGGATAAAAATACTCTATTTCTTCACTCACAAATATAAAAGAAAACACCCTTATCCCTAAAAGATTGTCTAGAACTGTATAGTGAAAGGCTTACAGGCATATCGACCGAAAAACGACACTATCGTAAAAGACTAAAAGCAATCTCTGAATCTCAGAGTGCCGCTATTAAAGTAACAGTTAGATGATTTGGAGAATGCAATCCCGCCGCGATGGATAAGAAATCTAAATTAGATACAGAAACCCCAGATCAAAAAGGTCCTATCAACTACGGAGGACAAACATTCGGCCCCCAGTACACGGTGACAATCCAGATCTGAAAATGTCAGAAGAATAATCATGTAACAGTGACCTACAATCATATTTAAGACCTAAAATAACAATGTACCAAGAACAATGAAAGAGATCAATGCCACAATGAACAGGAACTTATGACAAGACTCTTAGACATGACCGCGAACAGAAGCACTAGTTATGAAATCTTATACATGGAACTAGGAACTATAAACTAACATTTTATTATCCTATTCCATTCAACTCACGTGCAGGCAGTATCAATTATCAACACGAGGTCGAGTTGCACGTTTCAGGGCAATAGCACGATTTAGTAAGAGAATGAGATTGCATATTCTGCAATGTCTGTAATGACCAATAGAATTAAATGTGTGATTTTCTCGTATTTGCCATAATAGTTGAAACTCTCAATTTTTTATTGCTGTCTAATATCTTAATATGGTCCGAAGTCCGAACTCATCCAAATTGATGGAGGAACATGACGAACCTGAATAAACAATTACCATTGAATGTGAAAGAAAAACCACAGGGGTGAAGGGGGACAATAAACTCAGTAAAACTAGCGCGTTTAAACAGTGAGGTACGTGGCATCTACCAGCTACCCCATGGAATGTCGGTTCTGTTCCCCAATTTACCACGAATTTAACCTCCATATCGGCTGTGATTGGTCGGGAATGATAAATCTCATGGCTCAATTATAACAACTATTCCAAACGGGAGGGCTATATTTTTGGAATAACGCCAACTAAACAATTTACAGTAAAAACTATAAATTAAATTATAGTACTACACCGCCGAGTGAATTGATATTCTGTTCACACACTTTATAATCAAACAATTTTTGAACCCTGCCAATTACAAAACTGCCTTATAGTTATGGGCCCTAATTTGGACGGGACAAACTATGAGCAGCTCAATTCAAATTGTGGACGGCCAAAATGAGTAGAGAAGATAAAATTGCAGACGCTTGCAACTGGACACAATGATCAGCTACTAAATTTTGAACGGTCATCATTATGAACAGTAGGCTTCAGCGTCAGAAGGCTTGAGAATATAAAATGCTTTGCTCCACTTCGTGACGGGGCATACTTTAAACTAGTTAGTGGCTTCGTCGCCTGCCACTTAAGTACATTAACATGAACCTAATTCTAGCGCCAGACAACACAAAGCATGTTTACATAGCCAAACTTCCGAAATACAATCAGCACTCTGGCACTTCACTGGTCAGTGGTCAACCTTAAACAAATAAATATTTCCTACCTCCAAGTCTACTATAAGTATATAATAAACCCTACCTGAATCCAAGATCCAGTATCCAGAAAAGATGTTCGTTAGGTGGTTGCAACACAACATTTCAGATCTTCACATACGCAAAACTCATTCCACAAAATAGTTCGTTGAGTAATTTCCTTTCCTTAGTGCTTAGTCTTCTTTCTGATCGGGCATTGCCACGTAACTATACTCACCGGCGTTAGAAAAATTGAGATATTGTGTTATTATAATCACCCACGTTCCTAGGTGAATCATACATATTTCCCATCTTCAATCTGTATCCTAGACTAGGCTTACCACTTATGTGTGATACTGATATCTTTACTGTGTTGGTTGTTTATTAACAATCTGGGTTTACAAATACAAGAATTACGATTATAAGTGGAATGTGGAGCTAGTGATAGAATATATTGGCTGTTTATCAAACGCACAATAATTTAGACAGTCGCGAGACCTATGTCTGCGTCCCAGCCCCATAACATAATTAAACCCAGGACTTGGTCACGTACAAAAATGTTCAGTACTAGTTTCTGGCGGCCACCGTGCGTACAAGGTACCCTAGCTCGGCACATACTCTAGTTCGACACGTACTGAAGAATTCGACGTGAGTCGTTGGATCACAAGCAGAAAATGTTGGGGAAACATTAATTGCTGAACAAGATTACGCTATCTGGACTCTAGTTCGACACACACCGAAGTTCAACGGGATGATTTCGGGCGAACGATCTAGAGTATTTAAATCTCCGTAGATGATACTTAATTGATAAAATGAACTACAAGATTTGAATCAAAATTCATTTAAAATGTAATATAGAAACCAACAATTTGAATTATTCAAATGAGCAGATCAACACGCTTATAGATCTTGTACAAACTGTAATGATTATTGACATGATTAAAAACTTTAAAAACATTCCATGAAAATTACTTAGACAGTCGATCAACAGCGTCGGGCGGATTAAACTATAAATACTGTAAAGATCTTAATATTTTATACATAGATGTGGAAGTCCTTGGCTTTAAACCCAACGATCATAGATTAAATAATCAGGAGTAAGCTAAAGAATAAAAACTGCTCACTAAACCCTCATCATTTTCCTTAACATAGGTAACGTTTTGATTAAACGGTTCAATTTTCTATAAGGAATGGAAACGTTTCTTAGAACTTCTTTTGTATTTACAAAAAAGAAGCTTTGATGAGTCGTATCGAATTCGATTGTTTGTGTGTTCGCACAAATCGTTCAATCGTTGCCATCGAAATATTCCATTTTTGTACCAACTTTTCAATGTATTTCGTACATTTTATTTAACCCTAGCTGCAGAATAATATAAGCGTTTTGATGTAATTGTATGTAGAAAGTTCTGAAGTTGTAAACTGTGAAGTGTCTCTACTTGAGGATGCGGGAGACTATAAGAGAGCTGAGGAAGATGATGCCTCCACAGAGAGCATGCTGTCTGGAGGTGTGGTCTGGGAAGTACCTCTCTACCACCTTGTACCCTGCGTATCCCAACAAGGGTGAGAAGAGTGTGAGGTTGGAGGCGAATGTAACTTTGTACAGATCAGTCGCTGTAAATAGAGTAGTGTCAGGCTAAGAAACATCTAATTCTATTAACAGTTTCTTGCGTTACCATACAGCACACTATAAATCATTAATCAGCGAAACTTTCACAAAAACAGCTTAAATTAAATGATTGGATTGATTGGGACACGCAATCAGGGAATCACGTACAGTTTAATGGTTGGGGGGCTTGCCTCGGTGAGACTGCACCGTCCGTCTGGGTCTCCCAACCAAGTGAACTCTGCCACGTGCTCGTTATCAGGTGAAACACTTTCTCTGAAGGGCGGGTATTTGTTATCTACTGCTTATAACTGAGCTGATAACAGACTAAACCACTGCTTTTAATAGGCGTGTCTCAAAGTTAGTCGTATTTCTGGCAGTACAATTGCGGAAACAAGTCCTTACCCTTCCATTCTCTGACACCCATGGTCGTAGTGTCATATAACCTCAAGTTAAATCTAGCTGCATCCAAGCTGGCCTGTTCAGGCATTTGCTCCCATTCTGGCCACCTGAACAATTGAAGAAAAGGGTGCTCCAATATTTTGGCAACGTCCGTTCTCGAGGTGGGATCTATAGTCAGCATCTGAGCCAGGCAGTCCGCCGCTTTTTCAACTGCAGAATTTATAAATTAGGCAAGAGAGGTCGTGACTTCATTCCAACGAGTGAAATCATGCCATGGTTGCTAATAAATATAGTGGAGGAGTAGTTAATATTGACATTTCCTTCCCTGTTGAGTATTACTGATTACGTGTTCTAGAATGCGATCACAAAAGTAATATCTCGATAACTCACAGTTGCATTGAGCGCTAGGGTCTGATGGACCCAGATCCCTGACCTTCTGAAACAGATCTATCATTCCTGAGGAGGGTCGCTGTGCTTTCTGCTCGATAAAATCTCTTACCTGGGATATAAATAGTTAATTATTAACCACATTAAGTTGACTAATGCGGATCAACTATTTTCTTTGTCAGAAAATGTAGGTTTAAAAGAGTGGCTCTTAGAAACGAATGAAGCACTGAACCACTACTGTTAAAATGTAATGTGAGTCACTTCTCATGCTTTCACTCACTAGTAATAACATTAGATCTAGTCCGCTGATTGATGATCTCATCGTAATTTTATTATGCTCAGAGAAGGTGTGCGCAGGGCACGCTTGGGCTTGTCACATAAATGTGGACTTTCAGATAAAATACTCGTGATCTCACGGTCCAGTCACACCATATAGCTGACCTAATGTCGGCAATTTACTGACGCTGTAATTTGAGACTCTTTGGAAACGAACTGTCACACGAGTCAAAACAAAGTCTCGGAGCATTTGTATGGATTCGAGAAGCCAAGATACAAACAAAGTGCGCGCGCTACTTGCGCGTTCAGAAGTAAGGACTGTACAGAGTTTTTACCATAATTATGTTTCCACGCCTTACAGAAAATATGTAAAATTGCCACTCGTGACACAAAAATTACAATAGGTCCGTACCCTTCTAGAACATCGTTGTAGCATCGCAGGGGGTGGCGTTCCCAACTTCTTCGTTATCTTGTGCCACTGGTCAATCTCGTCGTCGCCCATGAACAGGACTTCTTTGAACAACATTTCCCCGAGTATACATCCCAGGGACCAAATATCCACTTTTTCGTCATATTGTAATCCTAGAATAACCTCTGGTGCTCGGTAATACCGTGTTACTATGTAGTAAGTTAGTCGGGGGGTTGAGGTAACAGAATCTGCACGGGCCAGTCCAAAATCTAGAATCTGAAATTGACAAAGTTCATTTCGTCAGTTCTCCAGTATCCACGTGTCAAATAGCTTCTGGCTAATGGCCAAAACATTCTTGTTTGATTCAGGAGAATCTAAATTAAATTCAAACCTTGACGGTGAGATCTTTATTAACACCGACATTCGCTGGTTTCAGGTCCTGAAGAAAAGCAACTAATACGAGAGAAAATTTAGAATTTTACGGGAATCTGGCTACCTAGATCATCACAAGTCCATCTGTTACTTCATGTACTGGTTACGTCATGTACGGTTGATGACGTCATGTACTGTTGATGAAAGAAACGACCCAGTTCTTTTGGACAATGAGCTACAAGAATTGTACAGGAGATAAGTGAGCGATATAGATACAAATTAAATAGACAAATGCTGAAATCTTGAAGGCCTTTTACAAAAATATAAGAAATTATACTAAATTTATGGTGTAAGTTGGTGAAATTCTATTTAAAAGTTTTCAAACAGATAGATAGGAACGGGATACTGTCAGAGTTATTAGAAGTAATAAATATTGATTGTAGCGAGGTTGCCCTACACAAAACTAGAATATTACCCTCCTGATCAGTAGATAAGTAGATCAAGTTATTGATAACCTTATCTTGTTATTAGTTGTCAGAGCCTATCCCATGACAGTTCAACTTTTATCAATAAATTAATCAATCTCTTGTTTCCCTTCATTTTCAAATTTCATCATCTTTACACTTTTAAACAAAAGCATCACGTATTTGCCAAGATGTAACCAAATATTTTAATTACATTTAGTTGTATCATTAACAAGTTAAAGTGTCGCTTACCCTGTGCATTATTCCAAGAGACTGAAGGAATTTGAGTCCACACGCAAGTTGATATGTTAGTGAGGATATCTGTTCGCACGTTAATTCGTACTGTGTTATAACCTGTAATTACAGTGTACCTTAGTTACAAACATCATACCAGGGTTGGTTACTAACATTGTCAACATGATACATCACTGCATTCTCTGCATTCCTTCCAAATTGCGATCATCACAGACAGTAGTTTTGCGTGATCTCAGATTTGTCTCAATATCTCAAGTGTAAATTTAGTAGTAAACTTGAGATGGGGTGACATGAGCCTCAATAGTATATTACATAAACGTATATTATGATTATCATATATTCAACAATATATCAATAAATATTATGATCGATCGTTCACACTAAATATATATGTACAATTATGTTTGTACTCAATGTAAAATAGCTGGTGATATCAGTAAATACCACCCTATATCTGGGGACTGGGCTTAATGAGAAGCGTTAATCAGCAACTGTTGCTCTATATCAAGAAATAAGATGAAACTTAACATGATATTCAGGTTATTAGTTTAAAACTAATTAACACTAAATTATCCGTAATTTGAAATCAGTAAAATTAACTTGGTATGGACTTCACCGAGTAAGATAATGTATAAAACAGAAGAATGTTCGAAAGTAAAGGACTAAAGAATGCACTGTACTCACGTCACGTAAGGAATGTTCCATGTACTCCATTACAATGTATATGTTGGTCATAGTCTCCTGATTTCCGTCTGGTATAAACACGTCGAAAATGCGAATAATCTGAAAATTTAGAGGTAATAATAGTTCGTTTATCATCAGTTTTCATTGTTCATCGCTATTAGTATTTAGTAAGCTATTAGTACAGAAAACGATACCGATTATCACTATTCCGAACAAATGAGATCAATTTGACAAAGTAAAGAGCGGTAATATGTCTCGTCTCACATTAGGATGATGACAGTGTTTCATGAGAGAGAGTTCTCTGTAAACCCTGTGAGCTGAACTGTTGGACTCAAACGGGGATAGCAGCTTCTTTATAGCCACTTTCTGTCGCGTTATATTGTCATCTGCTGAACTGTAGATATAACAACTAGTTAGTACCGACACCAGGCAAATGTTACTAATCTGTCTGTATCGTATTTTTACAAGAACAATGGAAGATGTGTAGTGTGTACCCTCGTGTTCGTTATCTTTAATGTTAGGTTGAATTTAACTTCTCCCTGTTGTTGGGTCCACCTAATGTTTCAATACTGATCAATAACACGTGTTTATGCCAAAAATAAATCCTATGAATAATTCATAATTCATCTCATGACAGCAGTTCGCGAAGTTAAAAAGATAAGAATTATATATATAATAATATATATTATACTCACCAAACAGTGCCATGAGCCCCACTTCCCACAGGGCGTAGGTTTGTGTATCTCTCCGGCACAGTAAACACACAGTCGTTACCCAAAGTGTGATCTCGGAACTTCATCTCCTTATTGGTAGTGTGAGTCAATGTTTAATAACGCACAAGATAATTATTATATTGGTCAATATATACTGTAATATATACTGTAATATATACTGTAATAATTCATACGATGGGTCAGCATGGTATATTCTCATTCATTATGCTGTAATATATACTGTAATATATATTTTAATATATACTGTAATATATATTTTACAGATGGGGGCAATATTTTGAACGATTCTATTTTATATTAATTTATTGCTGTACTCTGTAAAATTTTAAAAGTATTTAATAAAAAATACTGTAAATAATATATCATTATAATAATATGTGAGTCACGCACATTTAAACAGGAATACTGGGCTTATTATTGTTAACTTCACAAAGAGAGGAAAATAAATTATAGTATTGGGAAAACAATTTCCATTTAACATGCATGCATCGTGGTCATTATTATAGTTTATGATGAAGGTTAAATGCATAACAGTAACAACTGAGAGTGTAATAAAGTATATAATCCGTTATAGATGTGGACGATAACGTATGTCTCCTAAAATATCAATAAACAGGGTGATCCAAAAGTCCACCATGATAATATTTTTGGATCATTCCAAAACAAAACAAAATAAATCATTTCTGTAAATAGTTTCTTGAACTATCAAATGTCGATGCCAGATTCTGGCGAGCGTGCTAAATCACTCTACAGTCGAACTTCGAGATTGTTCTAAAAGGGCCCCCGACAGTTGAAACCAACTTCAATCGATGTATTTTCGGACGCTGATTCCGAATCACCCTTATGACATAGGGTTAAAATGCTCCCCTGACGAGATACTGGCGAAAAACTGCCTCGATCACGTGATATGACCGTATAAGGAAGTTAGTTTAATTTCTCATTAAGGTTAGGGTTTCAGCATATGCTTCTGTTAAGGATTGGGTTAGGGTTAGGGTTGGGATCAGATTAAAGGGTTAGGGTTTCGAATAGTCGTTCAGGACCAGCTAGAACGGGTTGAAAAAGTCACGTGACAGTCGAGTGTAGAGTGATTAATCATCATCCAGATTCTGGCTTATATGGAGGTTGTAATTACAACCATCACAAACACAATTGGTTCTGATCGACACAAAAATAATTGCATTTGAGTTGTATTAAGTGCGCATGCACTGACTACAGTATTATATAAGTAAAAATCAATGTTGTAAAGTAACTGGAACACAAACATGCAATTAAAAGATTAATTGGGCGAAATGCCTTTGTCTTATTATGACATGTTCAGCTTTAATTGCAGCCCAAACTTGAAATATTCATAACTTTGGTTATAAATAATTACAATCCGTTTGAAAGCATTGTGTTAGTATTTATAAGCTCTTTGAATTATCAACAAATAACTTGGAATGTTACAATGACTGCTTACATTTTTTTAAATCAATAAACTTTCAAATTGTTACTCAAATACATCATTTTATTTCAGAGAAAATTCACAGAATGACCTGTGCATGTCTTGACAAGTGACCCAGTGTAAACAAAATTAAGGACACCAAAACACCGGTTGACCAGTAAACTGGTCATAGCAATTACATCTGCCCCATGTGCACCTATAAGTGAAGTGATGCTGCAAGTTGCAACCATTAAAATGTAATAAAGATGATTGTATTTTGAACAGATGATGAATATGCAACTTTATGTTCATTTATTCCCTTTATTTAGTCACTCAAATGTTTCTTGTGTTTTCCCTATGACAAATCAAATGCCTGCCTGTATAATATGTGTGTAGTCACTGTAGCTTACATTGCACAACCACTCATTGTGACTTGCGCTAAGACGTGGTATCCTGTTCCTTTGTGTGCTTGCTATTTTTTTAATCTAGACACTTATTTTACTTCGGTGTATTCCAACAGCCACAATGTTACACAAGTGCAACCAGCCAATTACAGGAAGCCGAAGGATCTTTTTGGCCAGTGACGGTTAAGGTAGTGTGTACCATACTTTCTTCGTCCGAGACTTTGCTGCAATGTGCAGCTCCTCATTTAACCCTCACACCCGATTTCTCGAGTATTCGGCTGAGTAGACCGGGGGCTGCATAGACCACTCATGATCCTTAGCTGAACGTCGACGACGCTCACCCCACGACCAGGCAGTCAGTGGGTTTCGAACTCGCAACCTAACGATTGTAAGACAGGCGTTCTAACCAACTGCGCTACCTGGCCTACATATTGTGAATGGAATTGTACATCTTACAACCCCTATTTTGCAGAAATATAAATAACATGAAGGAACCATCTGTTTAGAACTTTCATAGGTTGTATGTGAAACAAGTCATAAATGCCAGGACCAGTATTTTTTTCTCAGAATTTCATTGTAATCAACTAGATAGACTAAGATGATCTCAGAGGCGGCTATTGAGGGCATCAAGGCGTCCGTGGACGCCCTAAAATTATTATCTGGTGGCCCTTGCTTGAAAATAGAAATAGTCATTAGTAATGGTATTTGGAAATATCTAATCTCGATATAAAGCTCTATATTCTACTCAAACGTTTGAATATAAGCGCATGCATGATCATTGTGAAATCGTGTTGTTGGGTGTCCAATCCTCTTTTGGACAACTCAGCCACGTAGTTTTAACACACAGTCAATTGCAAACGGGTACAAAGCACATCATTGCATCAACGTACTGTTAATCTATATGATCAGGTTAATAATAATAATTCTGTACTGTTACATAATTTAAAAATTATGGCCCCTTATTGTGGGCAGAGTATGTGTCTTTATTTAAGTGTCCTGATTTAAAATCATCTGAGTGACTGCATTGAAATAATTTAAGGAGAGTACCATAAAAACGTTAAAACAAAAGGAGTAACAACTAGAACATACTTATATTAATATCAACATTAGAACAAAATACAGTCACCTAATTCCCTTCTCCTACGGTTGAGTATAGAGGAACCATCTTTGGCGTGTATTAGGGACTTAGACCATTACAAATACCCTGCTGTAAGTTTGCAAGGTATGTGGACTAAGTGGGTCGAGAGTACTCGACTTGGAGGTGGGTTGATCAGGTTGTCCAGGACACCTTGCAATTTGAACTATCGACTGCTAGTGCTATCATACTCAATGAGACAAGAAATTTTTTTTCAATGAAACAAGAAATTTAATTTCAGCACATTTTACAGAATAAAAAGATGTGAAACAATTCATAAAATATGATGCCCATTTGGTGTATGACTTTTTGTCCTTGACTGCTAGTTTCGTTTTGGAAGGACAGGTAACTAACGGGGCAAGGAATGCGCGTGCCTGGAAGCTTTTGCACACACCAAAACGCTAGTTCAGTTAGGTTTTTAGAGACAAGGCTCATATTAGGACTAGAAGAAATTTGTTAGTAGACATTAGGGGTTCTGTTTATAGTTGTTACTATAGGTTGCAGTCTTCTTATGACAAAAAGTCTACACTAAAACATGCTTTAGTTTATATTGTGTAGTTCAAGGATATAAAATGCAGCTTTAAGGTGGATATTAGAGAGCTGGCGAAAGATTATGGCCTTTGTATCAATGGTTATAATAAGCTATAAATATCTTAAACTATACAGTGCTAATTAAAAATGTCTTTATACTTCATTCTCAGATTAAATTTTAAAAATTTAAAAATATACATTTATTTTATTAAAACTTTCTCACACATACTTTACTCACAGCCCACAGGACAAGACTTGGAAAACAGTAGCCTAGGGGAATTTAATTGAGATGTGTGTGACCAGCCAGTTATAATGTTTGGAAAATAACATTTGTGCAGTCTGTTTAGTTACTGTTTAGTTACTGTTTAGTTACTGTTTAGATAGTTACTGTTAAGATACGCTCCTACTAATATAAATCGCTCGCCCAAATTTTAAGAAAATTCTTGTGAAAAGGCCCTAAAGGTATGAATGTAATCTTGTTCGGTGTATTTTGGACGCTGATTCCGAATCACCCACCATGACGTAGGGTAAAAATGCTTCCCTGGAAAGTTATGGGCAAAAAACTGTTTTGGTCACGGGACACGCTAGTAAAACACGACATTGATTGTTTAGGGCTCGGGTTAGGGTTGTGGTTGAGGTTATGAATTGATTGACAATGTCAATCCGTCGAGATCGTTGCTCTGCGAAGCAAAGCAACGATCGACGACGAAGCAAGAATGCTAGTTCGTGCGGCGCGTCGAAGCGGCGAAGTCCTCCAAGGTTATGGATAGCTTTGGGTTTATGGTTAGGGTTGGGATTAGGGTTTATGCAAAACCATAAAAATCAAAGTCTCATGATAATCTTTGGGCGAGCGAATTATTAAAACTAAAAGCCGTTTAGATACTTGATTCAAGATGTCAATCCTTCGCAGCTCGGTGAGGCACAGTGGTGCATCTCGCCGATCTACCGAAGATTGTGGTTGCGAGAAGCATTATTTGATGCGCGCGCGACCCAGTAGTGCATCGCGCTACAATTTAGATACCTGTTACAACAAGTGTTTATATATTTATATTAATATAAAACTAATACATAATAAATCAATAAACGGTTAATCGATATTATTTAACGATTCCCCACCGTTATTCGTACAGGAGATATGTCCGGTATACGGTTGCACATCTGTTGATAGTGATGGTGCACATTTTCCTGATACCAACTGTAAGTTTTTAATTGACGATGTCAATTCATGGCAGCTCGGCGCGGCACAGTAGCGCATCTCGCTGATCTAGCCAGTCGCTGTGAGAAGCCTTATTAAGTGCGCGGCGCGGCACAGTAACGCATCGCGCTACAAGTAAGTTTTAACTTATAAATCACCAAACGGCGAGTTTTCATGCGAAGTTTTATAGTAAAACACTAATTCGATTCTTTGGGTTTCGGTTTAGGATTGTGGTAAGCTTTGGAGGTATGGAAAGGTTTTGGGTTAAAGTTTTGTTTGACGGATGTTACTCTTTTAAATTTCTTCGAAGTAGCGGCGCGCGTCTTTTTTCTCAAAATTTGTTATCGCCCGAGGCAAGTGCTACGAAGTAGCGCGCGCCGGGCTATATGGTCCATCAACAATGGACAAAGTTTCGGTAAACCGTTTCCTTCGGCTTCAGTATGCAGTTGACCATTGTTAATGATCTGGCCCGGCGCGCGCTACTTCGTAGCTCTTGCCGAGAAGAAAGCGGCGCGCGCTACTTCGAAGAAATTTAGACGAGTAACATCCGTCAAGTATGCAGGCTAGCTTTTCTTTATGCAGGGCGGCCCTCTTTTCGAGCTTCTTGCATAGGTGATAGGGAGGTAAATTTTACGGATGTTACTCGTCTAAATTTTTTCGAAGTAGCGCGCGCCGCTTTCTTCTCGACGGCAAGTGCTACGAAGTAGCTCGCGCGCCGGGCCAGACTATTAACAATAGTCAAGAGGAAAATGAGAACAAGCAATAAATTAGCAAGTTAACCCAAAATCAAATAATGTGTAATATCACGCGCTGGCAAGTGAATCAGTAAAAGCTTATTAACGATTTGGTGCTATAGAAACTCCAACGCTAACCATAAATATAACCTGTAACCAAAGTTTACGATGCTAACCGTACCCCTTGACACTTGATTCACGATGTCATTCCTTCCTAGCTCGGCGAGGCCCAGTGGTGCATCTCGCCGATCTACGGATCTGTGGTTGCGAGAATATCGCGCTACAACCTTACTGGGCGGCGCTCAGCCTGTCATTCCGCCGAATCTTTATAACATAATAGCCTGGGGTCCTCAGGTAAGCTACAACCGTACCCCAAACCTTTTGAAAAGACTTTTTTCTTTTTTTAGATATTGAATATCCAACTTACCAAAACTAATTTATCCACACCAAGTATAACAACTAAATTTGCCTAAGATCCAACGTGCAACGTTCGACGCGACATTGGTACAAGCTACCAAGAAAGAAAATAATAAGGATATGGATGGAAAGAGAGCATTTGCTTACAACAGCAAATTATCTCACTTTCACATTGACAAGGTTAGTAAATTGTAAAATCAAAGATTATCCTGTTAATTTTTAAAGTTTGTACTTTTAAAAACACACAATTCTTTTTGTTTTGTTTATTTTTAAGGGGTCCTTCACATATTATGTAATCACTTTTTGGACAATTTTACCCCCCCCCCCCCCTCCATAGTCAGTTTTACATGTAATACTAATATGGGGTCGTTCACATATTACGTAATCAGTCGTGGGGGCCGGGGGTTTCCAAATGATTATGCTAGTGTAATTTCGACACAATAGCTAGCTATTTGTAAAACTGATTACAAAGGGGGGGGGGGGGGGGGGGGGGGGGGGAAATATTGTCAAAAATTTTGCTCTAACCAGAACAAAAGGAAATGACATTAATTTGAATAACCGTCCGCAAATGCAAAATGATACCGAGAATATGAAATGAAAAACCGTACAAGGCTTACGAATTGTCAATTGTAATAAGTTCCGATTAACTGCATCAATCACATGCTGTAAAAATCTCTTTGGGTTGCTTTCGGGTCGATACTTAGTATTGCGGGACAAGGGCAGTAATTAGTGTCCGATTAGCTGGTGTTTATTGAATCGTTATTGCCGAATACAGCTGCCTTCGAGTAGTTCTTCTTAATCTATTACAATTGTAAATAAATAGGAAAAGCGAGCGACCAATTTAATTTTGGGTATAATTTTGCATTTGCGGACGGTCATTCAAATTAATATCATTTCCTTTTGCTTAGGAAAGAGAGATACTGACAGCAGTCCACTCTATCCAACTATGGGTTTTGGTCAAATATCATCTCTTTTTTTGTAATGTCAGGTTACTTTACAAAGTCGAAATATAAACTGATAACTTCATTAATAAGGAGGTAATTTCAATGATTTCGAAATTTTACCTATGAAAACATTTCCTTGTGTTTAGGTAAGCATATCTGTCGATCACTGACTGAGTATGTCACTTTATACTCATTCAAGTTGGCATTAAATTCATATATAATGCCATTTAACTGTCGTGGGGAATCAAAATTTGTCCGTAATCACGAATGAGCAAAATTATCAACCTTTCGCACGTGCAAACTTTGAGCGGACGTTGCGTGCGCATACAATATTGAATCACCGTAAATTTGTGCATGTTAGTGTTTTATATATTGTTTGATAAGCATGCAAAGTTTCAAACGATTACAGAAAAGAACTTGGATCACAACGGGACTCCAAAGTTGACAGAGAATGGTGAAAATAGCAATTTTCAATGATTGTGGCAATTTTATATCAATTCGGGCGTGTCCCCACGTGTGCAACTTTTCGAGTTTCAACTTTTAAACCAGCCTAATGCACAATATAGACCTGTAGGAAGCAGAACTGAGCTTCACAACCCAAAGGATGGCCCAACACCAGAGAATACTAAATCACAACTTTTGTATTTTCTCTTAAAATTATTTCTGAAAACTATGAACCTTAGATGAAGACGCCAGCCCCTCCGCAGTACTTCAGCAAATCCACTGAGCCTTCTCTCTACAGTTACCAGCTTCCTTCGTTTATGCGACAACTCTCTAACACGATCACACAATTTATGCGTTTGATCGAGAAATATTTGAGGCAGAAAAACACAATAGATATTGTTTCATGTAACATAAAATATTTTGGGGCATTTTTTAAGACAATTGCTTGACGGCCTGTAATACAATAGAGACTATCAGAGTTTGAAAATGTTATAGGTTCATAGTTCAGTATCGTCAATTGTCTCATTTTTCATCGCTTTTAGGACACCGCGCATACGTTTTTGTCTAAAAATTTTTATCGTAATGAGCGTTAATAAATTGACCATACTGAACTGTTCTTAATGAAAATATTAGTTCGTTATTTTACAGAACATCAGGCAGCGATAGTAGTAAAATCAATTGATAACTTTTATTAGTCAAAGAACACTTTGAATTTCCTAAAATTAGTTTACCACAGTGTTTCGAGGTTCAATAATCAATATTTAAATACATTACATTTTTAGCAGTTGAAATCGCAAGCATTTTTAGAATTTTTGTTATCATTTAACGAATTTTATTTCCAAATTAGCGTTTTACAGAAAACATTAATGAGATTAGCAACTGCAAAGGTAGAATATTACTAATTATTAATCGTTCTAAATAAATAAATACTAAGATCTCCTCCAGGTAATAATAAGAAGTCAATATAAGAAACTCTTCAACATGTTGCAATTGTCCAGCTCGTTATCAATTAAGTGGACTTTATGGTACACAAACTATTTCTAGTAGTGTAGGAGCCCCCCCCCCCCCCCCCCCCCCCCCCCCCCTGTAGGACGAAGTGTAGGAGCCCCCCCCCCTGTAGGATGAAGTGTAGAAGTCCCCCCCCCCTGTAGGACGAAGTGTAGAAGCCCCCCCCCCCCTGTAGGACGAAGTGTAGAAGTCCCCCCCCCCCTGCAGGATGAAGTGCAGGAGCCCCCCCCCCCCCCCCTGTAGGACGAAGTGTAGAAGTCCCCCCCCCCCCCCTGTAGGACGAAGTGTAGAAGTCCCCCCCCCCCTGCAGGATGAAGTGCAGGAGCCCCCACCCTGTAGGACGAAGTGTAGAAGCCCCCCTCCCCTGTAGGACGAAGTGTAGGAGCCCCCCCCCCCCCCCCCCCCCCTGCAGGATGAAGTGCAGGAGCCCCCCCCCCCCCCTGTAGGATGAAGTGCAGGAGCCCCCCCCCCCCCTGTAGGACGAAGTGTAGGAGCCCCCCCCCCCCCTCCTATAGTATTACTACACATCTGGTCAGGGTGTCATGATCTCAAGTGACAAATAATAAAACGTGGCTCAATGTAAAGGATTTAGGTGTCGCCACTTGCCCCACAAATAGATCAAATACATTAATTCTTATCCGCATTTGGGATTCTTTATGATCAGAACAATATATTTTGAAATTAAAATGAGAAGCATTTAAACTAATAAAGCAAACTTAATTAAGAGAGCTCACAACTTCGTACAAAAGTGTTACGTGGAAACAGGCTACTTACAAAAGTTGTACAAAACATCTTACTCCCATAGAAGAACAATGGAGTAGGTACAAATGTATAATAGTATGCCTAGTACTAGAAGTTAATCTTAAAAAGAGGATGGTTTTCCTTTGAAGCGCGAAAAAAATGATTAAACTCTTGAAAACAGCTACTCAAACACAAGGCTGTATAAATATAGATCGTCTCGAAAGCAGAATAAATATCGAATAGCCGGAATGGTGCCGGCTATAGTGCCGGAATGGTGCCGGAATGGTGCCTAAACCGGCTAAACCACACTTGACAGCTCACACACAGGAGCTATCGTGTAAAAGAAACCAGGTTTCAGGAAAGAAAACTGGTTAGGCAAGAAAATAAGTTTACATTAAGTTGAACAAGAAAGTCACCTCGAGTTAGGGTTAATGAGTTCCAACTCTGAAATTAAAGGGAAATGATCGGAAGGGTAGTGAACGTTGGGACAGCCTATGATTTTGTTTTCTTTTAACCACTCTACGTCTATACCTCCAAGCACGCCCACGGTACGGAGTGAGTCCTTGGAGTGCATGATGTGATCCAGGATCCCCTTAAAATCGTAGGTGTAGTTGGTGTACTTCAGCTTATCCATAAGATCCTCAGAGTAACAGGACTTGAGCTTGAAGCCGTGTTTGAAGTGTTTGGAGCCGTTCTTGTTGCCCAGACACTCCCCATTAGCTTTCTTCAGAAAGCCGTGGTACTTGAGGCCGTGAAACTCGTGATGTTCGGTACTGATTTGGCTCTTGATCAGAAACTCTATGACTGCAGAGTCGGGGGTCGAGTTGAAATCACCTGCTACCACCATAGGAATATTGTACGAACCTTTTATCTCCTTCACAAACGTTTCCACCTGAGAAGATATTATTTGCAAAAAGTAATCTTTAACCGTATCCTATACAATCTAGTTAAAATAAGTTTCACACAAGGATTGGGGGAGGGGGGGGGGGTTCACCCTGATTTGCTTAAGTTACGCAGTAATTTGACCTGGCCAGATGAGATAAGCTATTTAATTATTTATCCAACTAATAACCTCGTTCATGAACATGATGTTCTGGATGAGTTTCACGTCTGAGTACTCGGGGTCCCAGTTAATGTGGGTGTTGAGGACCACCAGCTTATTATGTCTCGTTCCTGAGCAGTTACAAAATAGTTCAACATATCAAAAGCAATATACTATATTGTATTATGTATGAGCAATGTGTGTATAAGTTAATTAATTAACTAAATATAATGGCTATAACCATGGCACTAACCATGACTAGGTTCCTTGATATCTAAGCAACAGACAATGCCTATATTATCTTTAGTCTGGACTCTGTTGATCATATCATCTGCTCCCTCTGCGTTTGCGATAGCTAGTTGAGAGTAGTCAATAAATTTCTCCTTGTGCAGTCCAAATCTGCGGAATGAAAATTGTTAAAAAATCTAAAATATGCGACAAGAGACGGTATCTTAGGATCAGAGGAGAGTGAGGACTACATTAGGTAGGTTATGGAACTGCTGGAGCAACGAGTGCCGAAGGCAAAGTTCCAATAACTTACTTATGGTACAGCACATCAAGATAAACAAGGCCACAATTTGCGACCAACAAAAAAAATTTGGACTTAATTAACAATTTAAAAAACACGTTTTTCTATTTTCTTCCGTAACGCTGACCAATCAGAGACGATCCACGTTGCCTACAGCATGATCACTCTTGCGTGTCACGTGAAAGATTTCCTCTATTTCATTGGATGCATACTTGTGGGCACGTGTTAAACCGGTTTTTAGAGAATACTCCAAACAACTTATTGAGTAACGCAACTTATTGAGTAACGCATTTTTTGGCAGATCTTTTAATCGAGTTTTGAGTTGAGATTGAGAGGATCACATGCTAGGTTCCACTGCCAGTTCACTTCAAAATACATGCTTAAGATCCAGGAAACCGCTTGTGATCCATTGCCATAGAATAAAGAACATTAACATAAGTGTTTCATAAACATTAATCGGCATATTTATTAAATAAATAATGTGTAAATAAATTCACAAATACAAGTTATGTTACCCATCTTGTTGGTATGATTATTAACTATTTATAATTAGTATCTCCTTTCCAGGAACAGTATCCAGAATGACGATGTATTTATGCAAACCACCGTTCACAACAATCTCGAAGGGTAATCAGACGGTTGATTGAGTGAGAAAATCACTGATTAAGCGTCGTGATCAAGTATCCACCAGATCTTAAAATGATCATAACTCTGCTTAATTGTAAACAATCAACTTGAAATTTTGGGAAATCACTTGAATTACGAACCCAAATGTGTTTATAATGTTCCTAGATCAAAGAGTTATCACTTTATGGTGACAAATGACAACAGTGAAAAAGAGGGAGTGGCGTGCCACACCCTCTGTAATCAATGAAATTTTGCGAAACTTTCAGAAAGTTTCGACCAATATCTATATTCTCTGAAATTGTTGTGAAATTCGGACACAAATAACGTGAGTTATTAAAAGGTTGCTTGTGGGTAGTTACTTTTGGGCCACTCTGTATTTACTGTTTTCAGCTAGTCATGTGAACTAATGTAGACCTCCGAAATACTTTAGCATCATGAGATGCGAATTGGTTGTGCTAAAACTCGTCTAAATCAATCTAGGACCCACACCCCCCTCCTGCTGCCCTCAATTCGTAACCTTTCACTTTTCAAAAGGTCAATGGAAACAGGAATTGCGCCCGTAAATCCATTTCAAACAAAATATTGAGAATCAATCATTGTCACAACGCAAACTTTCAGCCAGCTTAGCGCTGCGTATTTGAAAATGGTTAAATCCATGTTATAGCGTCTCATACAGCTGCATCCAACTTGGGTAATGATTAAACTCTTATCGCGTTTCTGTCCGGGCACCGACCTCAGAAATGGCATATTTCCAAGACTCACTTGATATTTTGTACTATATTGTGCTATATTGTGTCTAAAGATAGACGATTAGATTAAGTCAGAGTGCTATTAAAAACGGCGGGCCTTGTAAAAACTTAGTTTGCTGACACTTAGTTATATTGAACTGTGTCTAATTGGCTAGTTAGGATTGTGAAAGAATAGTGTAACCAGTAACTGGTTTTTTGTGATTAACCTACAAAATATTGTGATTAATTATTTATCACGCCTCATTTACGACAAGTCAAGGCACAAAGTAATCCAAAGAACTCGGAAATATTATAGGTGAGATGTTGGACGAAAATTCGATAGAACCGGAATTAAATGATGAGTTAGTAGAGAAGTATTTAGTATGAGACGGTCTCATACTAAATACTCATTGTGACCCCATATCAATTTGAGTGTATTTCCGGGACAAATTGTTTAACAGTCATTCAGCGATAGGTTACGAGGCGTAATGATATCCACGCTGCGTCTTAAAATACGCGCGTGAGGTGAAGATATGGCACTTTTTGAAGACTCTTTTGGCCCACTGCGACCGAAAACACTCGTCTGAAAGGAGTGTAATTGAAATGATGTAACCAAGAGGAATACCGTGTTAATTCAATTGTAAGTCTGGCCGAAATATCAAATAAGGGGCAGGATCTTACAGGGTTTTAAATTACAGGACACCAATAAGGGGAGGTCTCTTTCGGAGCATGATGTCATTATCACAGTAAGACAGAGTATCGTCACTTACAGATCGTAAAGAATTTCTGAAACCTAAAATTAATTTCAGTACACTTTGAAGAAGTTTAATACGTTATCTCTAATAGCTTATCAGCTACTAGCTACTTATAAGCTCGATACTGCAGTACACTGTGGCGGTTTGTGTACATATTGGACATAGTGCATATTATCGAGTACATTATGGCTGGGAATCGTTCTGCAGAAAAAAATGTTCAATAAAGTTGTGCACATTTTCAAGCAAGAAATGGTCTAGAAACGGAACTTATCAACAATTTGGATGGAGAGACTTGGCTGAACAGAATTCTCAGTAGGGCGAATGTATTCAGTCGATGATGTGAAATATCACTGTAGTAACCTGGAACCCAATAAACAGTTGATTCTGCGTCAAGTGGTAAAATCTTAAGACTTAAAGTTACGGGCAAATATCTCGAGACATGTACACGTGCACTGTGCAGTGTAGATATTACGACGCTGTGAGAGTCTCAGTAAGGTAGTGTGTAACAAGAAATAGTAAGGTAGTGTGTAACAAGAAATAGTAAGGTAGTGTGTAACAAGAAATAGTAAGGTAGTGTGTAACAAGAAATAGTAAGGTAGTGTGTAACAAGAAATAGTAAGGTAGTGTGTAACAAGAAATAGTAAGGTAGTGTGTAACAAGAAATAGTAAGGTAGTGTGTAACAAGAAATAGTAAGGTAGTGTGTAACAAGAAATAGTAAGGTAGTGTGTAACAAGAAATAGTTTAAAGGTAGTGTGTAACAAGAAATAGTAAGGTAGTGTGTAACAAGAAATAGTAAGGTAGTGTGTAACAAGAAATAGTAAGGTAGTGTGTAACAAGAAATAGTAAGGTAGTGTGTAACAAGAAATAGTAAGGTAGTGTGTAACAAGAAATAGTAACGTAGTGTGTAACAAGAAATAGCAAGGTAGTGTGTAACAAGAAATAGTAAGGTAGTGTGTAACAAGAAATAGTAAGGTAGTGTGTAACAAGAAATAGTAAGGTAGTGTGTAACAAGAAATAGTAAGGTAGTGTGTAACAAGAAATAGTAAGGTAGTGTGTAACAAGAAATAGTAAGGTAGTGTGTAACAAGAAATAGTAACGTAGTGTGTAACAAGAAATAGCAAGGTAGTGTGTAACAAGAAATAGTAAGGTAGTGTGTAACAAGAAATAGTAAGGTAGTGTGTAACAAGAAATAGTAAGGTAATGTGTAACAAGAAATAGTAAGGTAGTGTGTAACAAGAAATAGTAAGGTAGTGTGTAACAAGAAATAGTAAGGTAATGTGTAACAAGAAATGCGGCCGCTTTTCTTTTGTGGATGGCCGCTCAATTTCCCGATCCGTGAAGGCGTATTTTATCTTATTCCATACAACCTGGGGACTCCAGGCTTTACTGTTTATAAGCATGCAGATATATGGCGGAGTGACAGGCCGAGCGTCGCCCAGTTAATATAATTCCATATATAATTGAATTTGAAAATCGTGTAAATTTCTATGTAACCATATGTTTATTGTTTATGCAACCTGATATGACACGGATCTGTGCATAATAGTAATACTAACTCGAAATAATATGCTATCAATTAGTGCCTAGTATAGTGGGATACGTACATGGTGAAATTAACGATTTACTTGATCAGTTAAGCGCTGTGCGCCAAAAATAATTTAATTCAGCATATCGCGCAAAATAACTTTGCACAGTTAGGCACGTGGGCGACATCTGTGCGCACGGGCACGTACGTACGTTTGTTTGTACGACGGTCGCTACCTACCATATATGAAAAAAACCTCGTTCGTTAACCCTTGTCCTTGACTCTTTTGCATTTGTGTCTTCGTCACTTGAGTCATGGATCGGGAAAAAATGTCGTTGCAGAAGAAGAAAGAAGCCGTAATTTGATGTTTTTTGGCGTGCCAGAAGAAAACGATGAATGTTGAGTGAAACAAGAAATGCAGCCGTATGTGTACAGCCGCTCAATTTCCCGATTTATGATGGCGTCTCATATCATATTCCATAATATATTGATTTAATTATGAATACCATTTTTATTTCTATGCAAATTGCAACCCTATGCTTATAGTTATTGCCTATCAGAATCTGACACGGATCTGTGCACATAATAATTTAGGGCAGGAACCGAGAGTGCCCCTTTTCCCACGGTTTGTCGAATATTGTCGTTCCCTGTCATTATTCCTTGTCATTCCCTGTCATTTCCTGTCATTCCCTGCTCATATTGTCACATCTTGTCGTAAAATTGTCATGGCATTGGGCACTCTCGGTTCCTGCCCTAATTTATACTCACTCTGAATGAGATTTGTGCATGTTGAAGAATGAAGATTGACCAGGAGGTGACTGGGACATGATTTTAGGCCTGACCGGGACCGGGATACAAAATGTGACTTGACCGGGACCGGGACTGAGATTATCAATTTACCGGGACCGGGACCAATAATTTCTGGGATTTCTATCTTACCGGGACCGGGACCGGGACCGGGACCAACAATCCAATTTTACCGGGATGACCGGGATTTGACCGGGATGACCGGGACCAAAACTGGTATTCTCATATATTGAAAGCTGCAACTTTCATTTACATTATAATTGAACAATTTGAATAAGTAATAACTAGAATATTAAATTAGAAAAAACTTTTAAAAAACCGTCAATATGGGGCATGGGCCTAATGTACTACACCAATAATGTTCATGTACTGATTACTCAAGTTCACCCTCATTCCTCAATCAATGATCCCTCAAATTATTCAACAGTTTCATTCTCCAATTCCAATTGACAATTGGGCGTAGCCCGAGTTGAAAACTTGATGTTAGTTTGCACTTATGAGTTATGTAACGATATTAGTTCCCTAAAATAAGTAAATAAGTAAATAAATAAATAAAGTCAATTTTTACAGCACAGCAATATATATCTAAATATCATTTCCTCTGTAATCATAATGTATAAAAAAAGGAGCTTTGTTTAGCAATTTTAAATATTGTTTTATTTGGCTCAGAGGTTGTTTAAAGATGAAATTCACAATGAAAGAAAGTAAAAACTTAAAATCACAGTGAATGAAATTATGTAAAAGATCCCGGTCAAAATCCCGGCAAATTTGAGTGATTGACCGGGACCGGGACCGGGACCGGGACCAAGAATCCTGAATTAACCGGGACCGGGACCGGGATCATAAATCAGCATTTGACCGGGACCGGGACCGCGACCGGGATGAAAAATGTGACTTGACCCGGTTGACCGGGATCGGGATGGCTCAAAATTGCCAATCCCGGTACCGGGATACCCGGTCACCTCCTGAGATTGACAGTCACTTAATCCATAATATCGCGCAAAATAACATTGCGAAGATGTTATTTTTTAACGATATTCGATAGCTAGCTAGTAAGCGCTAGCGGCTAGCTAGCGCAGAATGTTAAAATTGGATTTTGCGATATCACTCGATAGCCAGCGCTAACTAGCTAGCTATCGAATATCGTAAACTCCTTAGCGCTTATCAGATAGTTAAGTAGTTAGCACTAGCTGTCGCTATAAGCACTCGATATGTCCAGTTAGCGCTAGGTTGCTTGGTGGCGCAACGTGATAGTTACTGCTATAAGCGCTAGAAAGGTAATGCTGGTTAGCGCTAACCATTGTGTTTAGTTTATCGCTAAAGAAGAAAAACCCCATTTTTTCCCTGAATAGTGGATGAAAAAATATGGTATCGACTCAAGATACAAAGTATTTGCTCACTATGTTAAATTAATAACTAGCTAACCCACTTATTAACTTATTAACTAGCTAACTCACTTATTAACTTATTAACTAGCTAACCCACTTATTAACTTATTAACTAGCTAACTCACTTATTAACCTAACAACTAGCTAACTGACCTTGTTTTGTTGAAGAAGATAGCACACCCGTCCACATGTTTACGTTCCTCCTCCGGTAGAGTTTTGGATCGAGATTTGGGACAGAAACACGACTCGTAGCCTTGAGCCTTGAGCGCAGGCAAGAAGTAGTTGTAATACTTATCTGTTTCAACCTGTCACAATAATATAGTATGAGAATAGTGTAAGGTGTGTATTGTCAATTGTTTAAGAATAGTGTGTTTCCTCCACTTATAATATGTTTCCTGTACTCCACTTATAATATATTTCCTGTACTCCACTTATAATATGTTTCCTGTACTCCACTTATAATGTGTTTCCTGTACTCCACTTATAATATGTTTCCTGTACTCCACTTATAATATGTTTCCTGTACTCCACTTATAATATGTTTCCTGTACTCCACTTATAATATTATGTTTCCTACACTCCACTTATAATGTGTTTCCTACACTCCACTTATAATGTGTTTCCTGTACTCCACTTATAATATGTTTCCTGTACTCCACTTATAATATGTTTCCTGTACTCCACTTATAATATGTTTCCTGTACTCCACTTATAATATGTTTCCTGTACTCCACTTATAATATGTTTCCTGTACTCCACTTATAATATGTTTCCTGTACTCCACTTATAATATGTTTCCTGTACTCCACTTATAATATGTTTCCTGTACTCCACTTATAATATGTTTCCTGTACTCTACTTATAATATGTTTCCTATACTCCACTTGTAATATGTTTCCTGCACTCCACTTATAATGTGTTTCCTATACTCCACTTATAATATGTTTCCTGCACTCTACTTATAATATGTTTCCTACACTCCACTTATAATATGTTTCCTGTACTCTACTTATAATATGTTTCCTATACTCCACTTATAATATGTTTCCTGCACTCCACTTGTAATATGTTTCCTGCACTCCACTTGTAATATGTTTCCTGTACTCCACTTATAATATGTTTCCTGCACTCCACTTATAGTGTGTTTCCTGTACTCCACTCATAATGTGTTTCCTGTACTCCACTTATAAAGTTATAATATGTTTCCTGCACTCCACTTCTAATATGTTTCCTGCACTCCACTTATAATATGTTTCCTGTACTCCACTTATAATATGTTTCCTGTACTCCACTTATAATATGTTTCCTACACTCCACTTATAATGTGTTTCCTGTACTCCACTTATAATATGTTTCCTGTACTCCACTTATAATATGTTTCCTGCACTCCACTTATAATATGTTTCCTGTACTCCACTTATAATATGTTTCCTGTACTCCACTTATAATATGTTTCCTGCACTCCACTTATAATATGTTTCCTGTACTCCACTTATAATATGTTTCCTGTACTCCACTTGTAATATGTTTCCTGCACTCCACTTATAATATGTTTCCTACACTCCACTTATAATATGTTTCCTGTACTCCACTTATAATATGTTTCCTGTACTCCACTTATAGTATGTTTCCTGCACTCCACTTATAATATGTTTCCTGTACTCCACTTATAATATGTTAATGGCGTAGTAACGGCGTAGTAACGGCGTACTAACGGCGTATACAATAACCGGCCCGTGCATGAGACGTGGCCCCCTCTATTATATTGGAGGCGTGCTGATATTAAGTTAATCATCTCCATTTTAAGCCTCAATATCTCGTGTTAATAATTACACTCAGTTACTGGGAGAGAGCCAGCTAGTGATTATCACACTACACACTCTCTCTCTCTCTCTCTGTCTCTCTCTCTGTCTCTCTCTGTCTCTCTCTCTCACACTACACACTAGCACCTATGTTAAACTGCATTGTGCTCTGCACACGTCATCACTAATAATGGAACGGCAGTGCACATGACGCTATGTGATCTGGCAATACGCCAGCTCTATTATATAGCAGTTTCCTGGGGAGGGGGGTGGGCCGTGGGGTGGGGGGGGCTCTATTATATTTAAACAGTTTTCTGGGGGGGGGGGGGGGCTCTATTATATAATAACAGTTTCCTGGGGGGGGAGGGCTCTATTATGTAACAGTTTCCTGGGGGGCCGGGGGGGGGGGCTCTATTATATAACAGTTTCCTGGGGGGGGGGGGGGCTCTATTATATTTAAACAGTTTTCTGGGGGGGGGGGGGGGGGCTCTATTATATAATAACAGTTTCCTGGGGGGGGGGGGCTCTATTATGTAACAGTTTCCTGGGGGGGGGGGGCTCTATTATATGACAGTTTCCTGGGGGGGGGGGGGGGGGCTCTATTATATAACAGTTTCCTGGGGGGGGGGCTCTATTATATGACAGTTTCCTGGGGGGGGGGGGGGCTCTATTATATAACAGTTTCCTGGGGTGGGGGGGGGGGGCTCTATTATATAACAGTTTCTTGGGGGGCCGCGCCGGGGGCTCGATTATATAACAGTTTCCTGGGGGGGGGGCAAATTTATGCCACTGGGGCTCTGATTTGTACCAAATAGATGATTTTAGAAGAAAAATTGTCTTAAATAATTTTCTAGCTCGAACACAAGGGTCGGGTCCCTGTATAAATTTTGTACAAATTGTACACATTTTTTTACAAATTTTGTGTCTTTAAGTATTATGAATTTGGTACTAAAAGATTCGTCTTACCAAGCTGATTACGATTCTGTAAAAATTATTTCAAAAAAAACTTATACCTACTTTTTGAGTTATAGGCATTTTAAGCCTTAAATCTGCCATTTTTGGCCCTTGATGGATGTTTTTTACGATGAATTTTACCAGATTTCATACCTTAAAACTCAAAATTGAGAGTTTTAAACCATTTACTCTAATATTGGAAAGGAAATTCAAAATACTTCCTTAAACGATCAAAGACTCTGTACCTCGAATCAGAATGCAAAGTGTAGACTAGATCAGTTTAAGGAAGTCCCATTATCAGAACTTGAAACCTTAATTAAGAGTCTTCCCAATAAATACCCAAGTGTACTCGATGTCATACCAATGTGGCTCTTTAATTCTTTAAGGGGGCCACTTTGGTATTACAGTTGTTTCTGATAGATGGGAGTGATATCAATCAGATGCTTTTGGTCCCATGGAAAGATATTGTTCCTAGCCGAAATTATTGTCGGTCAAAGGTCAGCGCTTATGTGTAATTGTATTGCGCGAGCGATTTTCAATCGCACATCCTGAAAATTGAGTCTAAAAATCTATCTTCTCCTACATTTTTTCGATTTTGAAGATCGTGGATCTCGTTTTTTGACGATTTTTTGAGGTCAGCTTACCCCAGAGCTAGGGACCTATTATTATATCGGGTCTCAATAAGAGGTCTCGACTGCCTAGGCATCAAACCTTGGCAATCGGTAATTTTCCTCTGGCCCGGAGTCAGCTGACCCTAGGGACCAGAGGATAAAGACGCAGAGACTGTGTGTGTATCTACAAAAGTGGTTGTTTTTACAAGAGACAGGGCTTGCAATGCAAGGGAAGAAAAATGGGGAAAAAAAATTATTATTATTATTAAAACTGACCTCTTGAAGCGCGATGATATCAGCTCCTGAGGAAACGATCTGATCCATTATGAGGTGTTTCCTGTGGTCCCAAGCCAGGGCTGAGCTAGGACAGTAGCCATACTTCGTCCCTTTTGCAAGAGAGTCCGACAGAATGTTATAACACATAACTTTGAACGACACTGAAAAAGTAATCTATTAGTAGTAAATAGTAAACTATTAGTAGTACTACTAGTATATTAGCGACAATAGCCAGGGTTATAAACCTACAAATAAAGACCGTTCTCAGTGAATGGGGATTACATTTTCAATCTTAATAATATAAACTTTTTAGAATTTTTGAGTACTTTTTCGGACATAGTTTCACTGAACCATCGAGATGGAATGGATATCATGTTCATTGTCATGGGTATCATGTTAATTGTCATGGGTATCATGTTCATTGTCATGGGTATCATGTTCATTGTCATGGGTGTCACGTTCATTGTCACGGGTATTTCTCCAGCCTAAATATTCTTTGTCACCATTGATTTTATTTTTCAATGCTGTATAATTCTGTATAATAATTAATGAAAGTTTCAAATCAAACCTACTGAGCTGTGTTTTCCTGGTTATCGAAAATTAACAATTAATAATAATGATAAAATTAACATACTGTGTTTTCCTGTTTTTTCCCTCACAGATAACCAAGGTCTGTCTGGCGGAGAGTCTGGAGCTGAAAAGGGAGCAACACTTGTATTCTCTTTTTAGTGTTAGTTTTAATGTAAATCTCCCTATAGAATGTAGTATAATAGAGGAACAGAGTGTGACATAATGCACTGTGTGCCTAGATTCTTGCATTGGAACTAGATTCTTGCATTGTTAAACAGATGATTGCATTAAAAACAGAATATTCGAATTAGAATTTTAGAATTAATAATAATTTAAAGAAGCTTCAAACTGAGCTGCTGTGCATGACAATCAAGTCAGAATATGATTGCATTGTAAAATAGATAATTGCATTGTAAAACAAATAAATGCATTGTAATACAGATAATTGCATTGAAAACAGATGATTGCATAGTAAAACATAAGATTGCATTGTAAAACAGAATATGATTGCATTGTAAAACAGAATATGATTGCATTGAAAACAGATGATTGCATGGAAAACGGATGATTGCAGAATTGCATTGAAAAACAGATGATTGCATTTAAAAACACGTGATTGCATTGAAAAACAGATGATTGCATAGTAAAACAGAATATGATTGCATTGAAAACAGATGATTGCATGGAAAACGGATGATTGCAGAATTGCATTGAAAAACAGATGATTGCATTTAAAAACACGTGATTGCATTGAAAAACAGATGATTGCATAGTAAAACAGATTATTGCATTGTAAATAGAATATGATTGCATTGTAAAACACATGATGATTGTATTAAAAAACACGTGATTGCATTGAAAACAGAATATGATTGTATTGTAAAACATATGATTGCATTGTAAACAGAATATGATTGCATTGTACAAATTTGTAAAACAGATGATTCGAATGATTGTGTTGTTTTACCTTCCAATGTGTCTAGAAGGAACTGGAGCAGCTTCTGTGTACCGTTCACTTCTCTCGACTAAAAGAAGATCTGTTATAATATTTATATATTTTTACTTCATATATCATGTTACATAATATGGAATTTTTATTTTATTTATTCATTTACGGGTAAATGCCTCACAGAATGGCTAGCCTCACAGAATGGCCAAATTTGTAAATGTTTTTGTAACTAATTTTTTATAAAAGACTGGTAGGTTTTGTGGATACCATATGAAACAAAAGTCTTCTGGCAACACTTCCTGTGGTGAAATCATTAACTAGGACCACATTTTCTGGCATAAATATGACTGTTTATGTAGAAATTTTGAGCACTGAAAAATTTGTTTTCAAATTTTTGAACTAAGTTTACATTTTGGTGAGAACTTCTGGCACCAGTATGACAGAAGATGTTCAAAGAATAGTATTCATCAAACAAAACGAACATTGTTCAATATAGGAAGAAAAAAATGCTAAAATGGCTAAACGCCTCACAAAATGGCCAAAATATGCCTCACAAAATTTGTTTTCAAATTTTTGAACTAAGTTTGCATTTTGGTGAGAACTTCTGGCACCAGTATGACAGAAGATGTTTAAAGAATAGTATTCATCAAACAAAACGAACATTGTTCAATTTAGGAAGAAACAAAATGTTAAAATGGCTAAACGCCTCACAAAATGGCCAAAATATGCCTCACAAAATGGCCAAAATTTAAAACTCCTTTTATTCAATGAAACCATAAGTCTAAAGTATTCACAAGCTATTTATCATACAATAACACCCCAGATGGAGTGTTTTTACAGCCGAATGAAGGTTATAAATCATGAAATCAGGGAATATGAACAACGCCACACAAAATGGCCATTTTTGGTGTAGGAAATTATGCCCTTTTTATTCAGTTCTAAGAAATTTCACCTATATGGGGGTGTTAACAAGGCATATTAATACCAGCAGCATGCCTGAAACAAGAGCCAAAGGTTTTAGAAAAATAAAATTTTCTCGTTTTCTTTTTTTGTTGCCATTTTGTCAGGCATTTTTTCTTTTTTGTGAAATAATTTTTCACAGCTCAGTTTTTTCGTGAGTTTTAGGTTATTACCCCATTCCTTAATAGGTTTTCTAAGAACGTGTGGTGATAGAAATTTAAAAAGTATCTCCATCAACAAAATTATAGAAATTCAGATTTGGCCATTCTGTGAGGCATGTTTTTTTGGAGGAAGATTTTCCGGCCAATTTTTCTCAAAGAAAAAATGGTTATGAGATTAAATGAACCCCCGGGAAGAAAAATATGAGTGTCAACTTAGCTTCTTATGAGATAAAAACTGGAATTAAGTGTGTTTTGTGACTTTGAGAGACCTACCTTTTTTTTGGCCATTCTGTGAGGCAAATACCCGTAGGATACTTATGAAATTCTTGCCTCATAGAGGTTAGGTACAAAATCAATTACCCAAAATCAAGAATTAGATACAAATTATCATCTGATATGTCTAACAGTTCAAATTAAGTTGAAAATATTAATATTAAACAAATGAACATAATTATATCATATTATATTAATTATATCATCACACGCCAACTTTCTCACAAATACATTATACGTATACAAAACAAGAATTTTGCCGCGCACGATAAAATTTCCCTACAATGTAATTGTTTTACTTATATTGCATCCCAGATTGTTTTTATTATATTAAGCGTGCAAAACTTAAAAACTCTGCACGCATCTGACGTGTCGCCATCTGACGTGTCGCCATCACGTCGATTTGTGGCTTGGTTGTAAACCACTTCATATTTTGCGCGGTTTTGTTTCATTTAATATATGTGAAATACATTTAACGAAATCCTAAGCTAACTCACTAGACTAGGTCTGCCGTTTTCTGACAAAAGTGCAATAGGCGATTATATTTCAAAACCCTCTTTTTTTGTCACAGAGCATCTTTGATGGCTTTGAGAGCCTACCAAGGTTTTTTCTTTCATTCACCATAAATACTTTTGATCCCAGAATGTTGCCTATGACACAAACTAACTTCAGCGAAAAAATTATGTGGCCAGGTCATTCTTTGTAGGAGATATACAGGATTGAAGTTTTCGTCACAGAGCATCGGATAGAATTTTGCATTTTTGTATTTCTGTGCTCATCGTAAAATTCCATCCCAGCAACTTCAGACACGCCCATAGAAATTATTGATTCGTAAATTTTGGACCTTTTTCTAAATTTTAGTACCAAATTTAAGCTTCTGTCTCAAACCGTTAAAGTTTTACAGCCTTTAAAAAATTCCCGTATTTTGTCACAGAGCATCAGTGTCATTTTGTCACAGAACATCCCATAAAATTTTGACAGATAATGACGACCTAACCAAGAAATTACCCATAGTATTGTTAGAGGGCATAAATGCTAAATTTGGTCCTCTATCATAATAGAATCCTGAGTTATTGACTGAAAACGCTAAATTTTGACCAACTTCAGAGAAATTCTGAAAAAAGATCATTGTAGACTTATCATCTATTGAAATTTTACCCAATCAGGTTCTTCTTAGAAGCAAACATGTTTAAAAGATAAAAAGGGGCAATTGAATGAACACAATGCTCAATATTGACAAAAAAATTTCGTCACAGAGCGTCAATTTAGCAATTTTAAGCCAAAAATTTGCCCTAGAAGCAGATAATGTTATTTTAGGGATGTGATGACTTGAAAATCATAGAATATTACGACCAGGTACACATTTAAATCAAAATGAAGGATGCCATTGTTCAAGAGAATTTGAGGAAACGACCTCAAAAATCTGATAACCGCAAATTCAAAATTTCAAATTCTTATTTTTTGGGAAAAAATGTTGTTTTATGTTTGGTATGACTCAATTCTTCTGAGTTGTAAACAACTATTTTGGCACGAAATGAAGGCTGTGTGATGATTTTGTGTGATTTTTGGAATTTTTCGTCACAGAGCTTCATAACTTTGAGAGCCTATATCTTTGGCTAGGTGCATCAGATAAATCCAAACTGTTGGTTACTCACTATTTGCACTCTTCTGAGTTTAAAGTGATCCAGGTCACTCTGAGAAAACTTTTCTCGCCTTTTTTCGACTCCTCACAGAGCTTCATCAGCTTCTTTGAGGAGTCGCCTAGAAAAACCCATTCACGATGGACAAAATTTGAAGTTTGCACAATCATCTGTGACATCTGAATATCCTATGACCAGAAAATTGGAGCCAGAACTTCAATAAGCTACGTACTAAAATTTTTCTGTTCCATATTTTTGCATAAAATTTGTTGATCCTGACCCTCAAAACATCTGTCTACAAAAATTAAACCGGAATTTATGGCCAAACGGGGTTTTGAAATTTTGGCCTCTGTGCACCCGGTTTTGAAATATCGCCAATAGTCCTCTCCAAAATCTGAGGTTTTCAAACACTTTTGTCACATTTCCGGCCTATTTCGGCATTTAATGGGGTTTCTGGGTGTTGATGATTGGTTCTGCTGGTTTCTGACGGTTTTAAAAGGTAGTCACGGCAGAATTGACACTGGGATTCGAACCCGGACCTTCTGCTTGAAAGGCAGACGTTCTAACCACTCAGCAGTTACAAACACACATAATATCATACATAATATCACACATAATAACACACATAATATCATACATAATATCATACATAATATCACACATAATATACCACATAATATCACACATAATATCACACATAATATAACACATAATAACACACATAATATACCACATAATATCACACATAATATCACACATAATATCACACATAATATCACACATAATATCACACATAATATCACACATAATATCACACATAATATAACACATAAAAATACTTTTATAAACGCATTGTATTTACCTTCTGTAAAAGTTCAGGGGTGAGAGGGTTGCCCTCTAGTTCTAATTTAGTGAGCTGGAACAATCTGCCTAGCTCGTAGGGTAGGAGACGGATAGAGTTGTTAGTGAGCAGCAGATCATGTAGCTTCAACATGTCACCCAGCTCCACCGGCAAACTGAGGATCTCTTCATTAGGGACAATCATGTGACAATCATGTGACAATCATGTGACAATCATGTGACAATCATGTCATGTGACAATCATGTGACTATCGTGTGACAATCGTGTGACAATCATGTGACAATCATGTGACTATCGTGTGACTATCGTGTGACAATCATGTGACAATTGTGTAACAATCGTGTAATAATCATGTGACAATCGTGTGACAATCGTGTGACAATCATGTGACAATCGTGTGACAATCGTGTGACAATAGTGTGACAATCGTGTGACAATCGTGTGACAATCGTGTGACAATCGTGTGACAATAGTGTGACAATCGTGGGCAGTATCGAGATAGCCCGACCACGGTCCGCGGACCACTGTCCGCGGACCACTGTCATATTACCGTATAATAACAGTATCCCCTGAATCAAGCAGGGTTCACATCATCCCCTGAGTCAAGCAGGGTTCACATCATCCCCTGAGTCAAGCAGGGTTCACATCATCGCACGCGAATTCCAATCAGCGGTGGTGTAAAGGCTTATTAAACGATTAAGCAACCTTACGAGATCAGTTCACATCATGCAATATATAAAGAATAACTATTATCAGACTGCATCAATCATTTCTATCATCAACTCCTTCTTGAACAACTACAACTATGGTCTCAGAGAAACGGATGAACTCAGCCCTACCCTGCGACCCTATCTGCAAACCTATCTCACCTCTCGACAAGTGGACTCAAGCTGGTAAAACCCTCATCGTCTCCAGAGCCAACCCAAGCTTCTGCGTTTTCTGAGTTTTCTGCAACAAGAGGTTGTAAGCTCCCCACTCGTCTGTGTAGATGATAGACCCAGGAAGAATCCACCGCCGGATGAGAGGGAGGAGAGTAGTTGCTCCACGTTTGTTGTTCGGACAAGGGAGGAGGAAGCATTGTCCTGTGTTTCGGTCAACTCCACCAAGTACCCACATACCCTCTCTGTATCCACCTTTGTTGTATTTTCTCTTTCCGAACTTAGCTTCGTCTAATTCGACAATTACTCCAGGACCACCAAGAGGACAAGGGTTTGCAAGCAGCCAATCAGCGATTCGAGTGTGGATGAATATCTTCCAGTCAGACACCGCGTTTTCAGAAAGTCCAGTCATCTGTGATACCGCAATGCCAGCTAGTCCTTTTATACTCAAACAGAACAGCAGTTGTATGAAGGTCTTGAGAGCGAGCTTCTGTCCAGAGAGGATGCTGTCTGTTCTAATATTCTTGTACTTCTTGCAGGGGGAGCAGCGCCATATCAGTCCATCTGGAGACTTCGAGGACGAGCAGGGAACCAGGGACATAGATGCATTACACCCAGGACAGGACATGGAGCTCTTTAGGAGGTTTTTCTGGAATAGGAAGTCTCGAGCATTCTCTAGGGAGGCGGTGGGTCCATTAATTTCGTCCATTAGACAGAAGAGTACCATGTCAGGAATTGGAATAGTTGTTGTTGTTGATGATGGCAACTGATAATACTTCACCAAAAACGAACGACTTTTAATCGTAATCATTTATTTCATTGAGCAATCAATATTATTCGTAACTAATTATATCCGAGAGACCACATTTGAATCGTAATCAATAGTTTGATCCAGTAATTTACTACGCTACAATTAATTATGCTAGTCGTAACTAATTGCATCCAAGATACCATACATACCATTCATATGATCTGGTAACCAATCAACTATTCACAAACACCTGTTGCTTGATTCAGGGGATACTGTTATTATACAGTAATATGATCTGGTAGACAGTGGTACGCAGACAGTGGTACGCAGACAGTGGTCCGCGGACCGTGGTCCGCGGACCGTGGTCGGGCTATCTCGATACTGCCCAATCGTGTGACAATCGTGTGACAATCGTGTGACAATCGTGTGACTATCGTGTGACAATCGTGTGACAATCGTGTGACAATCGTGTGACAATCGTGTGACAATCATGTGACAATCGTGTGACAATCATGTGACTATCGTGTGACAATCGTGTGACAATCGTGTGACAATCGTGTGACAATCGTGTGACAATCGTGTGACAATCATGTGACTATCATCGTGTGACAATCGTGTGACGAAATGAGAAGAAAGATTTGGAAATGATGTGAAACTTGAGACTAGTTATTTGGAAGAGTAGTGTTTTTTACAAATTTTCCGCTATTATCTCTATAATACACAGTTACAACGATCTAATCAATGATTTTAAGTTGTCAAATTGCCAATAACAGGGCATAATTTTAAAAAATGATGTTTTAACACACGTAATCCGAGACATAATTTCTGTGTTATCTTTGACCTTATCACTTGAAGTGTCACATTACCATGGCAACCAGATTATACGTCGACAATAAATACTACAGATGCTACAGATGTAATAAAAAGAAGCTTACCTCCTGAGTTTGTTGTTGGAGAGGTCCAGGTGGACGAGGTTCTGTAGCTGGCAGATCTCCGGAGGCAGTCTGGAGATCTTGTTATTGTTGAGGTAGAGAGCAGTAAGGTGGCGCAGCTCCCACAGGTGTGGACTAAAGTTCTTGATTCCCTTGTTTTGAATATCTAACTCTGTCCAGCAGGTCGTCTTACCAGCTGCCACCTGCAATTAATTAATTAATCACTCAACTCATTAGCTAATTATTTGCTTAAATGGTCATTTGATAGACGTGTGCTTCTTGTTGAACAGGGTTTTAATTAATTCCAGTCGACATATCGCATCTCCTTGCAGCCCAATAACCCATATCCTAATATTAACATCATTTAATATATCCCCATTTTATCAACAATTTAAACGTAGATTTGAATTTAAGTTTCAACTTAAATTTCGTTATAGTTAATCCTGACCATTACAATAATATAATGATCTTTCATTCTTGTAAAATCCGGATTGGAATATTATTTATGAGTTGCATAGTTGAAATGTTTTCTTGGGTTAATTTCTATTGATCCCGTTTGATGCGATGAGGAAAAGGCTCTTATCAGTAAAGAAATTATTCAACGTAGTGAGTGTTGTAATTAGTGTTGTAATTAGTTTAAAACTAATTACAACACTACAAATCTATTACATTTATTGAGATCATGAGTACGATGTTGTAACCTTGAAACGTTGAATAATTCCTTTCCTGATAAGAGCCTTTTTCTTGTCGCATCAAACGGGATCAATAGAAATTTACCCAAGAAAATATCTTTCATTCTGCTATAACAATAATTTAATCTAAACGATAACTGTATGTTATTATCTATACGGACAACGCTTTAATATACTACATACGTCATAGTAATAAAACACAGTAAAGTCCAAGTAGTGATCTGATCTATAGTTAGAGATCTGATAGTAATGATCCTCACTGTGCTTCCTACTCAGTCTATTCTTATGATTTCTGTGGTATGAGCGTCTCTTGGATTTTTCGGATTTATCTGTAACCTTTTTTTCATTATGTGAGTTTATCAACATCTGCTATGGTGGTACGAGGGAGAGTAATAAACATTTTACTTGAAATTAATATAATATTTTAAATCAGGCTTTCACAAATGAATAGGGTTGGCAAAATTTTCAGTTACTACTAATTTGAAAGTGACATTTGATAACTTTAGGTCGAGAGCACTCAGAGCAGGACCTATAGCTATATTGCAGATCTCAGTATATATATTGGTGGTCATTAGATCACCTGTAACTGGTTACTAAATGGTTGGTAAATGGTTGATAAATAGTTGGTAAATGGTTGATAAATGGTTGGTAAATGGTTGATAAATGGTTGGTAACTGGTTGGTAAATGGTTGATAAATGGCTGGTAAATGGTTGGTAAATGGTTGATAAATGGTTGGTAAATGGCTGATAAATGGCTGGTAAATGGTTGGTTACTGGTTGGTAAATGGCTGGTAAATGGTTGATAAATGGTTGATAAATGTCTGGTAAATGGTTGATAAATAGTTGGTAAATGGTTGGTAAATGGTTGGTAAATGATTGGTAAATGGTTGGTAACTGATAGGTTAATGGTTGGTAAATGGTTGATAAATGGTTGGTAAATGGTTGGTAAATGGTTGGTAAATGGTTGGTAAATGATTGGTAAATGGTTGGTAACTGATAGGTTAATGGTTGGTAAATGGTTGATAAATGGTTGGTAAATGGTTGGTAAATGGTTGATAAATGGTTGGTAAATGGTTGGTAAATGGTTGGTAACTGATAGGTTAATGGTTGGTAAATGGTAGGTAACTGGTTGATAAATGGTTGTTAAATGGTTGGTAAATGGTTGGTAAATGGTTGGTAACTGGTTGGTAACTGGTTGATAAATGGTTGGCCAAGAAAAATTTAAATCCACGTATGTTTCATTAATAATTTATTGTTCAAATATGAAATGCTTATCCAAATTAGGCAATATAAATAAGCCCTAACGTCCGCAACTTTTTGGCTACCTGGCCTAGAATGTCCAGCAATCCAACTTACATCACAAATGTTTACCTTCCAATTGTTCATATATTATTGTGTTATAAAGGCTATGAAAATGATTATTATATTATATAATGTGAGCCATACATACCTCCTCAGGGGATAAAATGACATACATGCGTCTTTTTCCATTTTCATATTTTTCACAGACCCCATTATAGGGATCTAAATTGGTTATCAAGTCTTGAGCCATTCTTCTTTCGTTTACATTGCTATCAGGACACATTTTGATGTTAAAAAGGATACCTGTCATACTCTGTGGCAGAAGTTTAAAAATTCCTTCAATTTGGCTACTCCTTGTTTACACGCTATATTTTAAAAACGAAGATTTTGACTATCAAGGCATACTATGGTATTTAAGGTAATAAAACCGCAGATCTGCACCCATTATTGAGGTAAATGAAATCATTTATAATTTCCAAACAGTGAAAAATAGTTTCCACTGCGCCGCGCCGCTGGGGCTATATAATATAATATATATACAGGGCCAGGGGGGGCAAAAGTCAGTACCCATACGTTGGGTTTTATACCACCGCCATGGTTTATATTTGAGAGTTGTTGCTTTGCAGATGGCATACTGTACCTACTTGTTCAAGGATTCCGTCACAAAAATTTGAAAATTCGATTTTTGGGGTCCACACCCAATCAACATTGAATTGCTTATACTGGTGTTTGTGAATATGTTAGAGACTCCATTGTAACATATCGCAATAGGTCATTTGATCCGGAATATAATCTGAAAAGATGGTGCAAAACGGATTTAAAATGACGAAGTTAACAAGCAATTTGTTTATCTCGTTAGCAAAATTGATTGGGTACTGAATGATTACCCAATTACGACACCGTAATTGGGCTCTCTGCACGATTCCACTTCAGACCCTCACCTAACAAGCACTCCATCAGGTTAAGGTCCAAATCACTTGACACTTATCACTGTGGGTGGAAGAGTTCTGGCACCTCTGTAACCCCTGATAGAGATTGTGCAGTTTCTGAGTAAATCAAAACGCAGTCGTTTTGTTTTAAAAGAACTGTGTCAAAATTAGTCTGCGTCTGACAAATAACATCACATTGCTGTACCATTGGCCTTTCTTAAGGCTGATCTTTTCAGCGAGATGTTTTAGGAACTGCGAAGCCTCAAACGCCATTCCTCCTGTAGTACTGAACACCAGTGGTGTGAAGGTAGCCTTTTCTACATTCAAGAAAACAACAATTTCAAGAAAACAACAATTTCATTTAATATCAGTTAAAGCAGACAAAAATATATGTTATACATATATAACTTGCACAAACTTTAGACCAGCTATCTTAGGATATACAGATATATATACCACACTCTCTTTGAATCTCATCTAGGATACGGCAGTGGCGTATTGAAGGGCCCCGCTGACCCCGCTGTGCGGGGGGGGCGCCGTCTTAGGGGGGCGCCAAATCGTCGTTTGAATGTGGGGCAATTTCAAAAACTCAACTAAAGTACTAGCAAAACTGCGCGTTTTGCTCTAGAAACACACTTTTTAGGAGATTTTACGTATCCTCCAAAATCACCTAATTTGTTCAATTTTAGGGAGGGGTGCCAAAAGGGGAGGGGGCGCCAACAGGGGGGCGCTTTTCGTATTTGGGAGCAAAATGTTGGAATTCAAGTAAAAGAAAATTTCAAAGTAAGACAAAAAATCCCAGTGAGCATAAGAAATATAGAATGTACTGCCAAATTTTCACAATAAAATCCTGTAATTTTCGTAATAATTTAATGGTTACCTTCATGCCTAGTGGGTGGAAGAGTTTTGGTACCTCTGTAACACCTGATAGAGATTACACAGGTTCAAGTCAATAATTGATCAACTCATGAAATGGTGGGAGGACCTAAAAGACCATGGTCCCATGTATGGCTATTACCCAAACCCAGCAAGACAACAAAAAAAAAGGGGGGGGGACCCCCAACCCATGTAGCTGAGACACCTCACAGCAAGTAGACCAAAGTGGCTCTTGCTTGTGAAAGGTGCGTCAACTACCCGCCGAAGCGGTGGGTTGGGAGTCCCCCCTGGGATCATTTCGTCCGTAAAATTATATACAACATAAAATAGTACAGTAACCCAGCAAGACATGGCTAATATTGAAACAAAGCGCCGCTTGGCAAAATGCAGAGATTTCATTGGACGAGAGCAACTGTATCATTGGGGTTTATTGCTTTTGGCGAAGTTTGACTACTGGGCAGCGCTCAGTATGGGGTTGTTTTGTAGCGCGATGCGTTACTGGGCCGCGCCGTGCATCCAATAACATGCTTCTCGCGAGATCCAATAATGCTTGTTCCCGAGATCCATTGACAAATGTTCTCCGCAGCTTTTTGTCCTTCATCAGTCTATTTGTCTTATCGACTTGATTCACGATGTCAATCCTTCGTTGATTCACGATGTCAATCCTTCGCAGCTCGGTGAGGCACAGTGGTGCATCTCGCCGATCTACCGAATTGAAGAGGTGTCGTTGCGAGACGAATTATTTGATGCGCGGAGCGGCCCAATACTGCATCGCGCTACAACTCATTGACTAACTTCAGCTTTCAGGTTATCTAGAAATGATAAGTGAGGCCTTACTGGGCGGTGCTCAGCCTGTCATCCCGCCGAATCTCTATTCGGGCTGAGTATAGAGTGAATTACGATCTCCATCGCCCCAGTGGCGTAACGTTGCCTGTTGGCGCCCCCCTGCCGAAAAATGCGCCCCCCTGTTGGCGCCCCCTCCCCTTTTGGTGCCCCTCCCTAAAATTGAACAAATTAGGTGATTTTAAAGAATACGCCGGTAAAATCTCTAAAAAAGTGTGTATCTAGAGCAAAACGCGCAGTTTTGCTAGTACTTTAGTTAAGTTTTCGAAATTGTCCCACATTCAAACGACGATTTGGCGCCCCCCTAAGACGGCGCCCCCCTGCACAGCGGGGTCAGCAGGGCCTTTCGTTACGCCACTGCATCGCCCTGAAAAAAGTGCAAATGTTGTTTTCTTGAATTGGAAAAAAAGTGACATATGCGCTACAAAAGCTGCGCGCTGAATTAGATTGTAAGATCTGGATATTTGATTGTAAAATTGCATAAATGCGCCTACTTGTGCGTTTTAGAGGGTTCAATTACGCCAGGCTATGTTTATGAACATAATAGCCTGGGGTCCCCAGGTAAGTGAGGCCGAGGTCGCCCCTCTGCTAGTATGTCCATGACTTAGCTTCCAGAGGATCATTTTGTTCAATGTCAGCTCCTGATGTCGTTGAGCATGACCTGAAAGTCTGAGCCTTCGCTGGGTTATCTTGGAGCTGACTTCAGGGAGCTCTATTGTGCTGTTACCCAGGAACTTGATGGTATCAGCATTCCTGATGTTCTGAGTTATGCATTAGGTTTAACCTTCATTCATTCTAAGTTGCAGCAACTTAACCCTTTCTACCTCTTTGCAGTACATAACATGAACCGAGTGCTTCAATTGGAGAAAGGGTCATTCTTCCCCCCTTGTATTTACCAGGAGGGATGGCACATGATGCTACAGACAGGTGATGTGTAACATATGTCTTTCAATCTGATCCCTGAGGAGAAGAGCTACGAGGGATAGATGAGATTTATGGCTCATGATTTATGATTGTGCTCTGCCAGTTGCATCACTTGATTTAAATTATTGTATTATTACTCAGAAGAAATGTATAAGAATTCTATTCGGAGACCATAAAAGGTATGTAGACAAATTCAAAACATGTGCTAGAGTTAGACCGTTCGGCTCCCAACGTTTGGGTTGCGATTTTTATGTTAAGGAGTCTACCAAACCTCTATTTGCAAAACATAAATTACTAGCTGATTAGCTGTAGAGAACCTATATAGACTACGTTGCCTAATGGAATTTTTAAAGATAATTAAGACAAGAGTACCAATTTCAATGTTCTCTTTGTTCACCATATCTCATAGGAAATACAATATGTTAATCACACCTTCTCCAACTAAACAATTCATCTATAAATCAGCGTGGCTGTGGAATGAGTTTTGTAAAATTGGCTCATTTAATTTTAATTCCTCTTGTTCTTCTGTTAAGAATAAATTACAAAAGTCATTGATGAATGCCCAAAACAGGTATGGTGCTGAATGGAATGACAAAAATTTCACTGAATTCTAAGTTAAACACAATATAATCCAGGTATCGGCAGGCGCTGCCGCCAAACGACATTATCATGCATATACTGTTTGAATGAAAACTGGCCACGGGCCTAAATATTACATATCAATCAATTACAATTCATTAATATTACCAATATTAAAAACTATCGAAAATATTCAAGAAAGTATTCTCTAGCCAAAGGGCTCAATATTTAGATCTAAATCTTCAATATTGTCTGGTTTATATCGCAACTTGGGCCCTCTGTCCCCCCTTATCGAAATAATAATCATGCATATACTTCTTTATTTTCAGCAGCTAGTATGTTAGCGCGCATAACAAGGCGCGCTAGCATTTTACCGCCATTCTAGGTTTCACTGATTTCACAATACACAATACACAATATGTCCAATTTGATTCTAATTGTTGCTCCTAATCTGATAATTCTAATGACAGTGACTGCTCCCTATTAACCAACCGACCAACATTTTCGGTCGAACCCTAAAATTACTAATACCAAATTTAAACCCCACATATGCGTGTATAGTCTCCAAATCTTCTCTCTGCTCTCGTGTCTCGGACTTTGTTCTTTTGAATGGAACTGTTTGTATACTTTAACAAATAGTGATTTTAACTTTGAGATAAACTGCTAGATTATTATATTTTTGTACCAATGTTCACCTAACTTAACGTCTCTCACTGACACCATCACCCGGCAACCAATTTTAAAGTATAATTTATTAACGATCTGACTACAGACTGGCGGTCAACGTTCCCCGTATAGTAGCTCAACGGAGGGGGTAATCAGGGCACGTGTTAATGAAAAATGTACGTGTCCTTCCACAATCCCCTCTGTTGGGTCACACGTTATTGGGAAATGAGATCGCTATCGTGTAACTAGAAGCAGTATATGCAAAGTAATTTAGGTGATAGGTGATAGGCAATATGAAATTACACATCTGACTTTATTTTTATCCCGTCACCCATGGACTTATCAATTAACGGCTGGTGGTGGTGTCATTGACCATTGTTAATGGTCTGGCCCGGCGCGCGCTACTTCGTAGCACTTGCCATCGAGAAGAAAGCGGCGCGCGCTACTTCGAAGAAATTTAGACGAGTAACATCCGTCAATGGTGTCATCGTTTGTCGTACTCAAGCAAACGTCGAAAAAGCAAACAT